TCTATGTCAGGCACCATAGTCATTCCTTTCATCCTATGCCTGTTTTACATAGAAAGAAACCAAGATCAGAGAGGTTAAGTAATCTGCCCAGAGTCACACAGCTAGTACATGGCAATGTCAGGATTTGAGCCTGGGCCCCAAGTGAGATATATCAGAGGTTGAGATGAGAAATAAATGAAGTAGATCATAAAGGGCCTCAATCACAATGAGTCTAGAGATGGTGGGAGTTAGGGAGTTGGGTCTGGGTCCCAGCCTGGAGTGGCAGCACTGGGTCACACAGAACTCTCTGGAGGTCCATGGAGCTGGGATAGCCCTGACCCACAAGCCCTTGGGCCACCCTGCATACCCACCCCCTGGGACCTTGGCTGAGCCAGGCAGCAGCAGCAGGGAGCCCTTGTCTTTCCCTTGGGGCCTCAGCTCCCCTTCTACACCAAGGGAGGGCTGCCCCCCGCCCCCCCACCACTCGAGGCACCAACACTGGGGCTCTGCTGCCGCTCTGTGGGCACCAGGGGAAGTGCGCCCGGGAGCACCCAGTTGGAGGGCCCCAGACTGTGAAATTTTTAATCTGCGCCTGCAGCCCGCAGGACCCTATATCTGCCCAAGTGCTCCTCTGCTCAAAACCCTCCATGGGAAGCTGCTCCCAACAGCCTATTGTTAGGTTTTGGGAATTTTTGTGAGTCAGTTGTCAAACAAAGCTGTTACTTAAAAGTTAAAAACAAAGGTAAAGATCAGAACTAAGTGCTTCCTTTCTTTCTTAATTTTCCTCCTCTGCTGCCCTTCCTTCACTAACTGCATCTGTGTGATGGCAACACTGTAGTAATACATACAGCCAGCTGGAAGTCCGCTGCAAGGGAGTACTGGTGGCTCCGCTGGCAGATTCCCCCTGCCATGCAGGAGACCCTGGTTCCATTCCTGGGTTGGGAAGATCCCCTGGAGAAGGGACAGGCTACCCACTCCAGTATTCTGGCCTGGAGGATTCCGTGGACTGTATAGTCCTTGAGGTTGCAAAGAGCTGGACATGGCTGAGCAACTTTCACTGTTACATCACGGAAACAGACCACCACCAGTCAGGCTGGTTTTCCTTGTCTAGACTAGTGCCATTCAACAGAAACACAATGCAAGCCACATATGTAATTTTAAATTCCCTAGCAGCCAGACTTAAAACAGTAACAGGTTAAAATTAAATAGCATATTTTATTTAACCCAGGTGAGTCCAAAATACTATCATTCCAATGTAATCAGTAGAAAGTAACTAATGATATTTTTTTTACATCCTTTTTTTGCACCAACTCTTCAGATTCTGGTGTATATTTGACATTTCAAGTTCCTCTCAGTTCAAACTAGCCACATTTCAGCTGGGCTGTCCAGCTGCTGCCATGTTAAACAGCACAAGTTTAAGCTTAAGATTTAAATGAAGAAGGTACTGATGATGCAGATTAAATTGGAAAGTAGTGTTGAGACTGAAACATTTCAACCCAAATAAGTTTGTTCAATGATGAGAGGTCATAGGTCATGTATCAAATTTAGTGACATACTTATTGGGAAGAGAGGTGTAGCAGGCTGAACAATGGCCCCCATAAGGTTATCAGACCTTAATCCCCAGAATGCAAATTGTTTTACATTTCTTTTAACCTTGCAGATGTGATTACAGCTCTTTACATGGGGAGATTATTTTTGGTTATTCAGATGGGCTCTGAGGGAGAGGCAGAGGCAGAAGAGGTGTGGGGCACAGAAGAAGAGGTGGCCATGTGGCCACGGAGGCAGAAACAGCTGAATCTGAATGCACAGATTCTAGTCCAGGGGTAGTGATTTTGGGTTTCTGACCTCCAAACTGTGAGGAAATCGATGTCTGTTGTTTTAAGCCACCAGGTTTGTGGCCGTTTGTTCCTGCAGCCACAGGAAAGCAATGCAGGCAGATGGGGTACAACTCCATTCACCATATTGTGGCTGAATTACCATGGGTGAGCTCCCAAATATAAGAATTCTGCAACAACAGATACAAGCATCCTGTGAAAAACTGGCTGAACAGCTTACGAGTGCTGTGTACTCTATTATTGGTAATGTAGGTGCTGCACACCAATCGGCATGACCTACAGAAACCTCACATGTATGTGACACACACCAGATCGTCTCATACCCTCAGCAGACACGCAGATGTTTTCTGAGTGAATGGATGTGACTTCGGGCCTCAGTTTCCCCCACCACACAACAGGATTGTGGGAATGGGATGGGCTGCCCAGATGGGAGGGGCTGGAGTCAGATGTTGTTAGAGCACCTACTGTATGCAGGGTTGGGCAGGGGCAGAGATGGGACTTGGCACGTGGCCCAGACACTGGTGCGCCAGCAGAGGGCTGGGGACAGCCCACTTCAGGGAATCGGATATACATCCCCACAGCTGCCTGGGGAGTCTCAGAGACGGCATGCCATGGAACCACTGCACCGGGACAGAAACCAGAGCCAGAGACACAGCAGGGCTGGACACCCCATCCTCTGGCCTCATCCCTCAGTCCTGCAAGGCAAAGGGCCTCACTACTCAGGGACTGGGAAGGACCCGTCTGGCTCTGTCGCAGTGGCAGTGGGGAGTCCCTCGCAGTCCTGCACACAAGCGCCCATCCTGTGACCCCAGAGTCAGGCCTGGGCACAGTTGGGGAGCTGCCCTTGCCATGTGGGCTGGATGACCTTCCTCTCAGCTCCTGAGCTCCTTTCAGGGGCGGCCAGGGCCCATCTGCCCAGCCCAGTGGCTACCCCTGCAGGCTCAACTGGCCACAGACCACAAGGAAGCGCTGCTCACCTCGCCTTCACTTCACATCCTGTCACCAATCTGCAGGCCTGAGCCCTGGCCACTCACTTACTCCCTATAGACTCTCCTCTCCCTGTTAAATGAGGAACTAAGTGGCTTGCCAGGTTTTCACAGCAAGAATTCAGCCAAGCAGAGTGACTCTGGGCACTGGGAGTGAGTGAGTGAGACTAGACCAAAGCCCTGGCCAGAACCTGGAAACCAGGTCCAGGATCTGAAGGGACTAGAAGTTCCTGGGTCCCAGCATCTGCATCCTCAGCTCTACACGCTCACCCTGAAAGCAGGGGCTTGAAGGGCTGTGCTCACCATAGGGCCACAGTGAGCGCTTGGCCAGCACGCAGCAGGAACTCGACAGTTTGTTCAATGAACAAAACTACTGGTGCATTTGCTACAAAGGCCAGGCTCTCCCTGCCTTTGCTCATGCTATTCCTCCTCCACTGGCCTGCACTCTCTCTGAGCACTCCAAAAGACAGGCATCTGCAACTCAGCAGTGCAGGATGCTGGCTCCTGTGGGCCCATGGTGCCCACGACAGGCATCTGGACACATGGGTTACAAAGTCCATCCTCACTGCAATTTGAGAAAGACAGTGAGTGAGCCGGTCCTCAGCCCTGGGTCAGCAACTGCTCACCTCCTCTGGAGCCCTGGTGGGCAAGGGATTCTGCCTTCCCACCCCCTTCAGGGTTTCAGGGCAGAACAAAGGGATTAAAGAAGAAAGGCAAACCCTCTCTTACAACAGCATCAGACAACTGTTTCAAAATATATTAGATTTGGTTTTTATTGTAGAGCACACATATCAGGGCAAAGTGCTGCACACACAACTACAAATCATTTTTGGGAAAAAAGCTGTAAAAAAAATAAAACTGCAACTGCTTTAGTTACGAAGTCCCAACTTGAGGAATCCACGCTGGCAAAGGAGTTCTGGCCCCAAAAGGGGCATCTTGATGGTGGCTGCCCAGCTCTCTGCAGCCTCCTCTTGGACCAGCCCCTGGATGGGGCAGCCTGGGAACTGGGAGGGGCTCTGCTCTCAGTGGGCCTGGGTCTTAGGCCTGCTGGCAAGGAGACATTCCTAAGGAACCATGATCAGCAAAACCTTGAAGCCCTCAAAGATGAGTGGGTTGAAACTGCCAAAAACTTCACTTGTTTCCCCTTCTGTTATTATTTTTTAAAAGCCCCTTCCCCAGGTCTGATGCCCGAGGTGGAGGAGGCTCCCGCTCCATCTGCAGGCCCAACCTCTGGCCCTGGATGCATGCTGCAGGAGGGCCCTTCCTACGGGGATGACACAGGGAGAAGGCCCACGCTGGTCGATGGATGAGAAAAGAAAAGGAAAGGAAAAAGCCAGGAGGCCAAAGGAAAAAAATGAAAACCCAGAACAAAAGAAAACAAAACCCTACCACACACCACAACAATTTTCCATACCCCAAATGCTAGACCTGGAAGGACACCAGTCCCTCCAGCTAGAAACAACTCCTAAAACTGCCCAACATGGCAAGTCTATAACTATTTCGTACAGTCGCACGCATATGCTTGAAAGGAGTAACCAGCAAAGAGGTGGGCTCCCAGCAAGAGGTCAAGACCACTGCAGCCGGTTCCTTGGCAGCCAGGGACCCGTGGGCAGAGCAGGCCAGAGGGTGTGCAGGAAACCAGAGGTCTCAGCCAGTAACAGCTCTAGGGCAGCAGGGGCTGACACCGTCCAGGCTTCTGCTCGTCATCCCCCCAACAGCTGCAGGAGGTGTATCCACCTGACCTGCTGGGCCTGGAGAGTAGGTGAGCGGTGGGAGGGCAGCAGGCCCCCTGCAGAACCAGCAGGACCTCACCCCAGTGCAGACATAGGTGGGAGGAGAGGGAGGAGACTGAACTTCATTTACAACACTGAGAAGATTTACATTTAAAGCAAAACAAGAATTTTCTTAACCAAAACATTTCGCTGCTTTTAAATAACCCAGCATGACACAGCCCTCCACACCTCTACTGGCCCCTCCGGTGTGCGCTTCTGTGCCTACAGATGCCAGCAGCCTTTCCATCCAGGAGGAAACCCAGAACAAGAGAACCAGGTCCTGGCCAATCCCATTCTTCAGCCTTAACAGGCAACAAACCAAGGGGAAAAAAACAGAATCGGAAAAAAAAAAAAGTGGGGGGAAACCCTCAGAACAGAACAGAAGGAGGGGCAGCTAGTGAGGGTCACGGAGTCCGGAGGCGCTGGCTTTAGTGCCGCCGCATCTTCACCTTGCGGGCGGGGCTGCCCGCCGCCTCCGAGCAGTCCTCCCCGGGCTCGTAGGACTTGCGCCGGTAGTTCTCAGAGCTGAAGCGGCCCCCCCGCCGATGTGCGGGCAACAGCACAGACCGCCGGTTCTCCTCCTTGTCCATCTCCAGAATCCGAGGCCTGTGGGGAAGTGTGGGGGAGGCATTACCCAGCCACCCCAGCTGGCTGGTCCTCTGTGGGGGCGGCACTGGCAGAAGCATTGCCCCATGTCCTGGTCCCACGAGGTGCCAGTGCCCCCAAACCCGGTTTCTAAGACATTCCCCAATCACCCTGTGAGGTCTGCTGGGCTCTGAGTCTGTACCCCAGGACACTGCCAAGGTTGCCAGACACAAGGTGGCCTTCCTATCGCAGCCTTGAGACCCTGCCCGGTCCTGCTGCCTCCCTGGCTTCTCAGTCCTTCTCAACGCCCACTCTTTCTCTCTGCTCACCAGCCCCACTACCCGAACAGCTACCAAGCTCTTCCTGTCTTGGGATTTCAGCCTACATGGCACCTTCTGACCATACTGCCCTTCCCACATACCATCCCATCCTCCAGTCTTGGCGTGAACAGCTTCCTCAGAACCCTACTGGGAGGAAACCCTGCTCCGCAAACTTCCAAGTCCCTCACTTCGCCTCGAACTCCCAAAGAACCCACAGGAGCACCTCAGCATGTCCTGAGCAAGGGGAGGCCTGCAGCATCCCCACAGGAAGGTAGTCAGGGCTTAGCTGAAAACGCAGCAAAGCAGACAGAAGGCTCTGAAAAAGTGGGCGATGGTAGGCTCTGAACCACCAACCCCAGACCGCCCACCCATCTCATTCTGCAGTCAGGCGGTGGCACCATTCTGCTGGCCTGCATTGAGGGACCACAGCTGAGTACCTGTGGGCAGCATCAGGGTCTGCCTTGCGGTGGGATCGCTTAGGTTTCAGAGCGGGGTCCCTGCTGTTTCCCGACAGACGATCTGAGGCATAGCTGGGTGGCAGTACAGAGCTGCTCAGGGACTTGGTTTCCAATCGGGGTGCATCTAATCTTGTCCTGCAAAGGAAACGCACGTGGGGTCACCCGCGGGCCTCTGGGGAGGGCATGGCCCCATCAGACCAACTCTGGCCAGACTAGGTGAGGTCAGCACTCTGTTCTGTGCTCTGGTCTCCTCGTGTGTCAACTAGGGACTGGTCCAGCTGACTTGCCAAGACCCTGCTGCCCCAGGGGAAGGACCCCAGGGCTCTCTCAGCCGGACAGGGTGGCCCCACCTCACCCCCCCCTCAGACCTAGAGACCCTCTGGGGACGTGAGCTGCACCTGCCAGACTGAGGGCCCCACTGGTGGGCCCCACACTCCCAGACATGCCTACCCCTGCCTGGAGACCCGACAGGAAGGTCCCCAGGTCCAGTGTGTGGAAGGGCTAGAGGGGAACAGAAGTAGAGCCCAAGGAGGCCCAGGCCCACCTCCACATTCACGCTTGGCTCTGGTCCCACCACAGCCACCTGGTAACCTTTGCTGGTTCCTGAACACTCGCCAAGTCAAGGCCAGAGGGCTTCTGAAGGCAAAGCCCCCACCAAGCACTGGAACACAGTGCCTAGTCAAGGAGGCAGGAAGAAAGAATGGAGAAGGTGGGTAGGGGGTAGCCCAGGACAGCGATCTGAGTTCTTTATGTCAGGCCAGGAGGAAGCTGGTGTGGGAAGCCTCCGAGAAGCCTAAGGTCTTTTGCGTGAGAGACAGCCAGCAAGTCAGGTGGCAAGAGAAGCCAGGGGCGCAGCTGGCAGGAGGCCCTGAAGGCACCTTTGCCATGGGCTGCTGGGCACAAAAGACAACTGGGTCCTGAAGAAGAAGGTGCTGTAGCCAGGCAGGGCTCAAAGGACAGCCTCCCGAGAACACTGGGGGAAGAGAGCAGAGGGGAACGTGAGAGCTGCCTTGGGTTCTTGGGAACAACTGCATCCAGTCCTCACAACAGACAGGAAAACTGGGTCAGTGAGGAGGGAAGTCATGTGTCCTGGAAGTCCTGAGAGAGCGCTAGTCTAGGTGAGACTACAGGCCTGGCAAGCAGGAGCCACAGGGCTCCAAACCTGGGCCGGGGTAACTCTCTGGAGGCCAGCAGGGGATGCCTCTTGCAGCAGGGCACCAGTATTCTGATGTCATTAGACCCAAACTGGTGGAAAGGCAGGCAGGGCCCGTCTCCCTATCCCTTTGCTCTGGCCTCTTAGATGGAGAAGCTAGAGGGGCCTGGCTGCACTGACTGGCCCACCAGTCTCAGCCTCCCCTCTGGGGACCACTGGGTGACAGGACCTGGTAGTAAGAGGAAGATGCGGCCCTGAGGCTGCCCTCAGAGTCAAGCGAGGCACATCCCGCCCCTTCTTAGCAAAGGCTTCTCTCAGTTCTCAAGGTCCAGAGACCCAAGACAAGCCACCTCCTTCAAGGCCAGGGCCACTGGGAAGAACTGGTGCTGGGCACCCCTGACCCGAGGGTGGGAACCAGAATCACCGCTAACTCTTAAGACACGTGCCCCTATACTGCCGCGCTGGAGCTGGGAGCACACACGCGGGCAGGAAAGCCTGTGTGGGCAGGACTGAGGGCCCATGACTACAGGGAAGTTTCGTCAGGTGAGCGCGGATGGCCAGAGAAGAGTCTGGCCCACACCTCTGGGGCTAGAAGGCACACCCCGCCATGCAGGCAGGGCTGGCGCTCACTGAGCCTGTGGGCCCCACCCTCCCTGAGCAGCTGTGACTACAGCGGTGGCCTGAACAGTGGGCGGGCTTCACTGTGGGCCCACGACCACTGGGGCTGTAGGGAGATAGGTGGGACCAGCTGAGTGGACACCAATCAGGGCCACAGGCCAGCTCTGTCTCTCTCTAGCTACCTGAGAGAAGGAGAAGAGAAAAGGGCAGCTTCCCACAACCGCACTCCACCACCGTCACATCAGCCCACGGGGAGGGGTGATCAGAGGCGGCTCTACCAGGAGCCAGTCTCCCTACCCACTCTGGGGATCTATAAGCTTGGGGCCCTGAAGGGCTCCTGACACTCCCTAGGGGCTATGACAAATACATCTCACAACCGATGGAGGAACACCCACCAAGCTGCAGGAAGCCAGGCTAGAGCCAGACCCCCAGCCCAGAACCCACCAGCAGTGCACCTTCAGAGCCCACCCCCTTAAAGGGCAGCCAAGGTCAGGGCACAGGCCAGGGTCCAGTGGACAGAGCCACAAGCTTGGAGGCAGGAAGCCTGGTTCTAGCAGTCTGATCTAGGGTCTGGTCTCCTTCAGTGGTAGCAGAAACAAAGACCCTCCTTAAAGACCTGAGTCAACGTCCGGGGTCACAGCAAGGCACCCCAGGTATGTCAGGAGAGTTCCCAGGACAAAGCATAGATTGGGTGTAGGTATGGGGGAAGCCACAACCAAGAGAGTATGGCCAAACATTAATAGAACATGTTAACACATGACCTGAGAGGAAGGGAGAGGGCTGAGTGTCCCAGGCACTGCCCTCAGATTGGGGAAGAACGCAAAATCAGAGACCCAGTGTGGACTCAGTCCACAGCTGCTATCCCTGGTGCCCCTGAGGCCCAGTTGGGCTCTCCTCACTGTGGCAGAGCTGAGTGCAGTCCCTGGAGGTGGACCACAACTTCTTAGAGACGGGGAGGCAGCCTGCTCTTCAGGCCCCACTGCCAACCACCTCTGACTTCTGGCCCCACCCCCACCAAGCACCCCTGTGCCACAAAGCCTGGCCTTTTCAAGGGAGCAAGGAGACTGGGGTAGCGAGGCAGGTGCGTCTGAGTACTCCTCATCTTCAAGTGCCCTGGCCGCTCTAAGCATCAGATTTAGTCCACGCCCTGTCCCTCCCCTAGCAGGACCACCAGCGGTCCTCAGACAGGTGCAGCAGCCTGCTGTGGTCAGGGGGCCAGAAGAATACCTGAGCAGTTCCCCAAAGAGAGAGGCAGCCCAAGCACATACATGGTCCTGGGCTTCCAGCAGACTGTCCCCCAGACCCAAGCCTACAGAACCACCAGGCCCTGAGGGCAGCTTCCTCCAGCCATGCAGCCTGGCTACCACCACGCCACACCACACGAGTTTAAGCCAGAGGCCCAGGAGGCAGGGCTCCACAGAACCCAGCCACACCACAGGGCCCAGATGATAGGCGTGCAGGGATCCCCCAGCTGAAGCCCTAGTAAGGGCTTCCTGCCCCCCTCCCTCAAGACACAGGCCTCCCCACACCTGGGCTCTCCCTCCTCCCGCTGCACCTGAGTTGAGCACAGCGTCCTTACCACAACCCCAACCCATTAGTTGGGAGACCTGCACTGGGCAGGCTAGAAGACAGCAACATGCCAGGAGGCTGGGGGCACTGAGGGGCTGACCGACCTGCAGCTGCAACCTCACCACACATCCTGGAGGGTAGCCCTCTTGCCACTTAAAATACCCTCAGCTCCCAGTTCTCTATTGGTACAACAGAGGCAAGAAAGCCCTTCTGTATGTGAGGCTTGGGGCTCTCAACTCACAGCACCCACCCCAGGGTGGGGCTCAGGGTGTTCCACTATGCAAACCACCGCCGGCCACAAGAGCCAGCACCAGGAAACCAGGGTCCAAGGATGCACTCAGCTATTTACTGGTTGTGATCCCAACACATTACAACACTGAACTGCAGCCTGAGGAACGCACTCAAGGAGGCTCTCCTAAGGTCAGTTCCGGCCTCCAGGCAAGAAACTACAACACCACGTCCTATGTGAAGACTCAGCATCACTCACCTGCAAAGGAGCTGTGTTTTGCTGAACCAAAAAGCACCTGGCCACCGCCTGCCCATCTCTCCCATGAGGCCTTTAGAAAGACTACCCCAGTGCTGACCAGCTTTAAGTGGTGACAAGAGCCCCCAGGCCCACTCTCAGCAGCCTATGTGATCTTTATCCAAACCCAAGAGAAGGCAGGGCTGGTTCCCCCACCTACCTACAGGGAACAGGGCGGGGCTCAGAGCCCATCCGAGGGGGCCTCACTCAAGGACATCCACCAAGGCCACATCTGTTAACCCTGGCAATGCCTAAGCAAGGATGCTCCCCTCTCCATCAGGTCACCAGCTTGTACTTTTCCACCTGGTGCTGCTCCTAACTGGCCACCTCAGTCCTCCTCTGGACCACCTCTGGAGCAGTCCTCCTCTGGACCACCTCAGTGCCAGGGCCCAGATGACCAGGGCTCTCCCAGCCTCCTTTGCTTTCCCAGTATCAAAATGGCTGACCTTTGAGTCCTGAAGGACAGCTAGAGTAACCAACTTTCAGTGTGTAGACACGGGTCACTTGGGTGGGGAGTGGGGTTGCTGTGGATCAGAAGGTGAACATGTTCGAAGAGAAAGTATTCCCAACAGTGGCCACTGCTCTGAGAGCCTGGGACATCAGCTCACAGGCCATCCTTGGAGCTGCGGGTCCTTTAATGGCAGCGACGAGCAGACAACAGGGAAGACACCGAGAGGAGCTGACTCACTCAGCAGGTGACAGTGTGGCCCTGCCTCTTCTCTGCTCCCTAGGGTGGCTGCTTACAGCTGGCATTGCACACCTCAGCAGCCCCGCACATCCACCACCCCTTTCCGCCCCCTTTTCAAGGTCTGTGCTTCTGTCCTTCAGCCCAGTCCCTGGCTGACTCCTGGGCCCACTCAGGTCAGAAGGTCAACCCACAACAGCCATTCTCCAAGGTCAGAACACTGGCAAGGGCTCAGCTGGTCAAAGAGTGCAGATTCCTAGTCCACCAAGGAGCACACAGCTTGGGCAGCCAGGTACGGGGGCCACCACACGAGGAAGGATGACTTGGACTCTGGCCATTTTCACCTGCACCTCCAGTGAAGATCTCCCTGGACAGGCTTATCATGTGAAGCTGGGAGGGACAATAGGAGGCATCGTGTTGGTTCTACTCCCCTCCAGCCCCGGTTCCCAGGCCAAACTTATCTCCAGCTGCTCTTGAAGGTCCCAGGCACATCTGACAAGAAATCACTGGGGAGGAAAGCCAGAGAGAAGCGACACTCAGCTGCCTCACTTTCAGGTCATGGATTCTGGAATATGCTGGGAACCACAGGAAACACAGCATAAAGACAGATGAAAAACCTTCTTCCGATGGATCCTGGGAATATCCTTAGGCCAGAGGAGAGAGGCTGCCAGGCTGGCCACTGTCTGGTGCTCCCCTTGGTGCCCAGTGCTCTGCCTGCACCACAAAACTGTCCACAACTCCATTCTACAGATGATAGACTCAATGTTCTGATTTGGCAAAGTGGCAAAGCCATGCCAAAAAGACATCACCATCACAATACTCTGGAGTTCTGGACCCAAAGGGCCAAGACAGTGAAGTTATAAACTGAAGTCAGAAAGATGGTAGGCCAGAAAGTGAGGATGTACTTTAAAAAAGATAGAGCTCGCAATGGCCAAAGCAGAAACAAGTCGAGCATAGACTAGACACAAGTCCATGCTGCCGTCAGGAAACAAGGGAACAAAGAAGTAAACAAAGGGAACAGAAAAATCTCCCACAGAAGATCCCAAATGGCCTTCAAGGAGGTGGCATTCACCCCCTACTCCTCACATGTGGGCCACCCATAGCAACGTCTTCGCTGAGAGGATAGCATGGACAGGGGGCAGCAGTGACTCTAAAGGCAGAAACCCAACACCACCACCTTAGCCAGGTGCTTGAGGTCAGTGTGGACAATGGAAGGCCCTGTGCCCAGGATGTGATGTGACAAGAAGGGCACTGCCCCTCTGCGGCCTCCTCGCCAAACCCACAGCTAGTGTGACCGTGAGGCAACACTGCATACTCCCCAGCTGAGGGCCTTCTGCCATATACCTGGCCGGTCAGTGTTACCACGAATAAGGTCAGTGTTATTACGAGTAAGGCAAGTCTGAAAAGGTATCACAGCAGGCGTGACACAGAAGTGACATGACCACCAAATATTCTTCTGGGACAGAAGAGGACGTGAGAAGGAACCGGGACATGTGAATAAAGGATGAACCTCAGTTAATTGTCCAGGTCATTACTGGTTTCCCAACTGTGATAAACGTGCCACACTGACGCGAGACATTACCAGGAGGGGACAGGGTGCGTTCTGCTGTCTGCATGGCTCTGTAAATCTAAATCTGTTCTAAAAAATAAGGCAAGTTATAGGACATTCTGTTCCAGCCTGAGTCTAGGCACTGGACTTGCCCTGCTCATTGATTTCCACACAACCTGAGCAATCAGCCAGCCTCTCAAGACACCAGCCTCCATCCAGGGAGGACTGTCTTGACCCAGTGTCTGCCCAGCTCAGTCCAAGCACCGCTTGAGCACACACACACAAAAGTGCTGGAGATGCCAGGATTGGCCATGTTGGTCATTGCTTCCCTGACCCCCGGCCAAAGAGGAGGGACAGCAACAAGGCACGCACCTGCTGAACACACGGCCAGCCACTTACCTTCATCCCCACTCCTCACTCCCTGCTCCTCACAGAAGTGAAAACCCAGGCAACTTTACAGCAAGCTGCTGAGGCACACCTAAAAATATTCAGTGAGATGCACACGCAACAGATCGGAACAAGGAGGAAGGGAAAGGAAGAGGTGGGGGAGGCGGGGTCTGGAGGAATACTCCCAAACCCTGTCTCAAGACCCAGGTCAGAAACCCTGGGAGTGTGTGCTTTTGCTCAGCCCTCACACTAGAGGCTAATGAGAGAGGGAGCCAGACACCAGGGCACTCACTTCCTGAGGATGATGACCGCTCTGCGCTCCTTGATGTCCTGAGGCCGGATGCAGTGGGTGATTTCATCAGCAGCATATCCACTGAAAAGAAACAGCACGTGAGCATGAGTGGACAACCAAAGATCCCAGGGGTGAGGGGGCAGAAATAGGGTCCTGGTCTTAAGGCCACCCTCCGCCCCCTTACTTAAGAGGTCCAAAGATCTACATGGAAGGAAATAACGTGTTAAGTTTCATGATATTTCTGCCCAGAAATCATTAAGGGAAAACCTGGGATGAGATAAAGGTAGGTCTTAAAGCAGAAGCCCAGAAGGAAATCTCCTTGCACAAGCAAGAAGCCCTTTCAAAGGGCCCCCAAGAGGGCACAACTTGAGTGGCTTTGGAGGCAGGCAGAGTGACTCAGGCCAGACAATGGGGAGAAGAACCGCATCCCCTCCCCCCACCCTACCCCTGGGCTGGCAGAGGAGACCAAAACAGACGCTGACAGCACTGAGTCACCAGAGAGAACTACAGCAAAAAGAGAATTTGTCTACTTGGAAAAAAAGCTTTCCATAGCCTTCTTTTTAGGGGATCCAAAATCTTGATGACAGCTGTGTTTGGAACGTTTTAAGAATTCCCAACACACTCAAGTATCTATTTATTTTCATCAAGCTACATGATTTTTAAAACTGCTCAGACCAGTGAGTGTGGGTAGATGGCTGTCCTCTTCACAGCTAATGTCTCTCCAACTTGGAACACTGGAAGCAAACTCGGCTCCCTGAGCACATGCCCTCACTGGGGGCCTAGCAGCCAAAAGGCACCCCCACCCCGAGTTACCCAACTGAGCACAGGGAGCGCCACACCCAGAAAGACACCCAGCCCCAGGCCGCCTCCTCCTGCTCAGGGGCCCCTGGCCGCCTCCCACCATCCTGTGTTCAGCAGCCAGTCAGCTCCTTCTCAGCTGTCAGAAATACAGCAGGCCTCTGAAGGACCTCTCAAAATGGCCAGGCTACCCCCACTTGGGCAAGAACTGGATGCAAGAGCAAATGAAGTCCAAGAAAGAACCATGCCTGATACGAAGATCTGATATGAAGCCATGTGGAAGGCAGAGGAAAGGACCCTTATGTTAGGAATTTTCCCCTCTGAGCTGCTCCTCAGCCAGTTTTTCAATTTTCTCTGTAAATAACAGTCCCACAAGAAACTACAGACAAGTATCCACAGTCAAATCAATCTGAAAACACTGATGAGTTTAAAAAAGCATTGGTACGTTAAAGGATCTGAGAATTACTACCGCAAAAAGAATCTGCTGACTTCGTTTAACTGAGCACTGACCAAAGAACATTCTCTCAAATAACACCTATTAATATCTGGAGGCACAGAGAGAAATGCCACACAGGATGGAGAAGCTGAAGAGACCCAAAAAGAACCTGAGCTCTGTCACCTCAGCTGAGCTGCATGCTGGGTTGAACCCTCAGTGCCTCCATGTGCAGGGACAGCAGTAGGTTCTCAGGTGCTGGTGTGGTTGTGTTCTGTGACTTACGACTCCTTAGTGGTGACTCATGATAAGATTTTAAAAAGAGGTCAGTGCCTCCTCCCATCCAGTAGAATTATGTCCCAGGTCTTCCTGGTTGGCACCCTGGAGAGGAGTAGTGGGAGGCCCACCTGCAGGATGACTGTGAGAATTCAGTTAGACAATGTGGGGTGCCTGGCGCCCACATTTACCAAACAGCTGACACAAGCCAGGGGCCCTGGACCACCTAGATCCAGGCTCTGCCTGCAGCAGAGGCCTCCTGGGCCCACTCCCAGAGCTGGGAGCTCTAGACCTCATCCTGTATTCTCTCGTCACTCCACTTTGCGGAAGCACAGGTATGGTCTGTGAGACAGTCCCATGTAAATCCAGGACTTTCCCAAAAGCAATCCAAGGCACATCTCTATGGCCAAGATCTGCAGTATAGGCTGCAGGCAACCTTCCTTGGGCTAACAGGATGACCTAACCTGTCTGACTTGGCTACAGGAGCTGCCAAGGGCCCTGACTTCTCATTTTCAACAAGGAATTGCATCCTGTAACACAGAAGCTGATCAAATTTTACCTGTCCCCACCTCCCAAAGGCTTCAGAAAGAAGAGCAAGCCAGGCCAGGTTCCTGCCACCCAGCCCAACCTCAGAACTAGGACAGAGGTGGGACTGCACGGACTCCACCTCAACAGCTCACTAGCAGTGGTTTTTCAGAACTTCTGGCAGCTATGACACAACGTACTGACCCCTCCTCAGTATCAGGCTGCACTGGAAGTGGGAGGCTCAAAGTCCTGATCTATGGAAGCTCTTCAGTCTGAATTTCAGCAGAGACCACAAAAGGTTATTTACTGCCAAGGAACCTATCTGCTACAAGAGAAACTGTTTGAAAGTCCCATTCCGCCAACTTGAAATTTAATATGCCCTGGGTCCAGTCCAGGGCTGGGTTGAACATGAAGAAAAGTGCTGGCACCTCCCGCCCTTTTGTGTTCACGGGGAAGGAAGAGGAGAAAGCACCTCGGGATGGTATGCACCTGGACAGGGCCCCTCACGGCCCTCTCTACGCAGCAGTGACCAGTGCACCACCAGCACACAGAGCCAGAGCCTGGCTGCCACCCACCACGCTGCACCTTAGAGTGATTCTTCAAGAGTCTCTCCTCCCTTGGGAAGCTCTGCTCAACTCTCTAGGCTGGGTTTCCCCAAACCAGTCACCCAAATCTCTTTACTACTACTGTTCAGCCTGTGGCAACTGTCTTCCCTACAAGACAAAGCTCTGCAAAGGCCTTCCACATCTCTACATGCAGCAGATACTAAATGACATCTGTGTTGAGCTCAACGTTTCCACTGCTTTGAAGACTCAAGAGACTGCGGTAAGTCAGTCCTTCCTCAGAGGATTAGGTGCAGGTCAAAGGAGGAGTCTGGAAGACTCTTTATAAGGGACTGTGCAGGACTGCACACCTCTCCTCAAGGGGCCAGCCCTGCACACAGAATTATTAAGGCACAGTTCCAAGGAGGCTGCCATTCCCCATCTACTACATGTTTTGCCCAGGGCAGACAGAACCAGAGATGGAGGGACTGCCTGATGACAGCCTCCCTCCAATGGGGGCGAGCTGTTTTGGCAGTCCTCATGAACCTGCCTCACCTGTAAGAGGCCTAGAAGACCCCCCTGAGGCTTGGGGCGGGGGGAGGGGAGGGGCAGCAGGCCGGCCTCCTGGGCACAGGAGCAGAACTGTGAACTCAGGCTCAAGTTATAACCACATGTGAACCCCCTAGAAGACACATAGCCAGTACGATGAAGCAGTCCTGGGGCTTTCTGAACCCAGAATGAAGGCAGTCAACCCGCTCCAAGTCCCAATTCTGTACACATCAAGGTATAAACAGAACATGGCTGAGCACAGAAGCAGCTCATCTTCAGACACTCCACCAAAACCTCAAGCTTCAGTGGTGTGAAAGAGAGTCAATCTTCCATAACAACTTTAGATGTCAAGAGCCCTACAATGAGGAGGCAAACTAAGGGCCAGAGAGATTAAGTAATCTGCCCAAAGGCAAACAGCTCAAGTGGTGGCACTGGAACTCTAATCAAACTCTTGGTTTCAGTGTCACTGCTACGCTGGTTTTTGCTTTTTGGGTGGAGCGTGGTGGGGAGGGAGAGGAAGAAAAGCCATCTGTGTTTCCCAGTGACAAGGTCCAGTCTGTCTGGGGGGCCTCACTGACCTCAGCAAAGGATACAGGTGTTCCCACCACTCCCAGAAAAGAAGTCTGCAAAGGTGAACCTCTGCCTCTGAGTAGCTAGCATCAGATCCCAGCAACAGCCACATACCAACTGCCCAGCTGAAAACGGCTCTCTCAAGTTTCCGCTGAGCTTCATGACTGAGACTGTCACCAGCCCGCCTGCTTCCTTCCCTTTGCTGCCTTCTGCCTTCTAGTCAAGCCTGGGAGAACCAAGGCCAGCCAACACCCCTGGTCCAGAACTCCTCCTGAGAATAAACAGCCCTGACTTCCTCCTGAGGTCCCTCCTCCTCTCATGGAATCAGAAGACTCCACACAAGAGATGTGGCCCAGACCTATCTGCCCTACATTCCCGACTATTTTAAGCCAGAAAGCTAAATTTTGCTTTCAACCAGCTGAACAAAATCAGTCCTCTGCCCAGAACTGACAGGGTGCCACTCCACCCAACATCAACTGTTATCTGGAGGTCACAGGCTGTGCTCACCGCAGCATGTCTTGTGGCTGGGCGACCCTGCCATCTCAGACAGGCCTGGGTCTTCCGGCATGCGGCCACCACAACCACAACCCAAGAAGCAGTGATTAAAAATAGCACAAGTAAGCAATTAGCCTTGTAATTATTCCAGTTAATCCAAATGAAATCTGTCTTAATCTCTCATTTACTGTACAGAGAACAGGAGAAGGAATATGGGATGAACTGATACATAAAGAAGAGATAAAAGATATTTATTTCCCTAGAGAACCACATTAAGAGAGGACCTATTGAGGCCCAACATGGAAAGGTTACAAAAGCACTTCCAAAAGGGTCCGTAAGGCTTGCTCTAAATGCCCACTTTTGGACACTGCTGAATCAATGTTTGCCACACACTGAACTCCATTCTGACAGCTGTTAAATACAAAACTGCACTCCTGCCATGTTGCCTTGGACGGGTACACCCCCCCACTGCCATGAACAACACAAGTCTGAGTCAGATGAGAGTGACTAGAACCCTCCACATCTGTAGAGAGCCACTGTCTTCACCAGCCCCTTCCTATGGGCAGCTCACAGCTCTGGGCTGGGATACACACTGGAAAGTGCATGCAAGCTCCCCTCCCACCAACCTGGGGAAGAGCCCAAGCAGGACTTGAAGAGTCACCACCAACAGGCAGGTGTTCACCCACCTGCACAGCAAGCAAGCTGAGAAAGCTAAGCGAGCAGGTGCTGGAGAACTTAAATTAGTGGGGGTGTCTAGAGCCCAAGAGTAGTGGCTCTCCACTGGGGAACATTCTACCCGCGGGAGATATAGGGCAACACCTAGAGATGTTCTTCACTGTCACAGAAGATGCTTCCGGCACCAGTAGACAGAAGGCACGGATCCTGCTAAACATTCCACACCACACAAGACAGCCCCCACCAACAGATGATGAACCGGCCCAGATGCCAACAGCACTGCTGCTGAGAAGCTCAGACCTAGAGCTTCATCGAGGCAGCCGCACCAGAGCCCTCACCCTCAGGTTCAGGTTGGCTCTGAGGACTATAATGAGCGCCATCTGCCCCTAGTCAGCCTCAAGCCATAGCCCCTGACCTACAGCTCCCTCCGCCCACACCTTCTCTGCTTGGCTTACTCTCAGTCACCTCCAAGTCACTGTTCAAGCTGCTGCTGACTTCCTCCTGAAAGCTTTCACCCTCCAGAGTGGATTCCTGCAGTTACCTTCCTGGGCTGTCACTAACCGTCTGTGGCCTCCCCTGGGCCAAGAGGGGTTTAAGGTTCTCCCAAAAGCAGCAGGGGAACACTTGTCATCCTGTGTATGAAAGCACCCGGGTAAGGGCCCACCTGGTGCCGGGCCCTCTTGGAGACACTAAATCAACAGATTTAGTTCTAACAGGCCTTGAAGTTGGCATCAGCCCCACTTACAGGCATAAAAGCCGCCTCGGAGAACGCCCACAAAATGCCAGAGCAAATGAGAGGACAGCTGGGTTCAAAGGCCTGGGGCAGCACTTTTCAGGACAGGGCTAAGCCTCCCACACTGATTCCTCAGCCAAGTCAGAACCCAGGAGGAAGGGACTGGGAAAGCCTCAGGACTGTATACTCTTCTAAGGAAAAGATGAAGAAAATTTTCCTGGTGATGCAATCCTGCTGCTGATCACTAACAGACCTGCACTTTAAGAACTTGAAACTTCTTCAATACAGGGAGTGCGTGTGTGGGAGGAAGGGAGACTCTCAAAGTCACAAACTGCCTCTTATGCCCCCACATTTTACACATCAGACCACTGTGAGACCTTGAGCTGACAACCCAGAGATTCTGGGATTATTTGGGACACTAGTATCCCATTAAGAGACCAAATAGCCCTTGAGTGAAACCCTTTTAGGACAGAGAGCCCTTCAGTGAAGTCAGACACCAAAATGCCTCACACAGCGGGCCACCTGGGAAAGTCTGCCCTGGAAATCCCATCCTACAGGGTTCCACTAAGACTTCAATCTGCAAGCACCACACAGAGAAGCTCAGGGTCCAGGTGACAAGTGGGCACCTAAGAGGTGAGTGGTCCTCTTATCTTTTGATGTACAACGGAGCCAAAGCACTGCTTCTGCTGCTACTAACTTACCCAACTTTCCTTTGGGAAGACCTTGGTATCACCCAGCTCTGCCGCCACTCCTAGAATGGGAAGCAGCCTCTGCTGCTCCCCTGAATGAACACAGAAGACTTGCCTCACGATGTTAAGAGGACTCCAGCAACCCTGTTTCTACCCATGACCGTGGCCTATGGCACTGACTGAACTTCAGAAGTAAAGTGGCTCACAACGAAACCAGTGTGTCCTGATCCTGTACTAGAATCTGGTGGTCAACCAAGCCGCTGTGAATAGCTGCAATCTAGATCTCCTAAGAGGTTTTGGGGATTACTTAAGTACATTGCTAGATGTGCTTGTTTCAGTACCGGAAAGCAGCAGCTTTCAAATACATTTTTTGCTTCATAGAAACAGCAAAGGTGTTCCAGAAGGCAGTCTCCTCCAGGGGACAGGGGAACTGAGGTAATTCTCAACAGGATCCTGGACTGAAAACAGGCCAAGAGCCCAAGTTGTGCTGACACAACTACACAGCACAACACCAGGTAAAAAGACAAGCTTTATTGTGTTTCATCTGATCCTGATTACAGGCACCACATCTTACAAAGCAGCAGTGGGCTCTCCTGCAGCCAAAGGGGGCTGCGTTTTAAGTCTGTTCTCCTGGCCCAACCACTGATGTGTTCAGCTCCAGGGCAGCCACTCCCCCTCTTGGGAATGGAGAGCACCATCAGTTAAATTCTCCTGGGGCCTTCCTCTGTGAGGATCTCCTCTGTTACGAATCCTCTGGTTAAGCAGACCAGAAACTGCAGGTTTGGGATGACTGTTAGGCAGTAATTCCAACTAATTTTCTTAAAAACACACACACTTGGAGCTGGAGACCCCAAATGGAAAAGTGACTTGTTTAAATCAGGAACGTTAAGAGACTCTTAAAATTAGCCTTCTGGAAAAATACCTTTAGACTAGTTCTTGGGTCAACTCCTAGATCTCAACAAAGGTGCCCTGGGGATGGTTTTCTAGCTCCGCTGCTCTTACCGAACACATTTTATACGCAGACCCCGTTTCCCCGCCTCCACCCCCGCCCCCCACACAAAAGCCGGGGTCAGAGACGGAAAGCTCAGGCTCCCGTGGCCGCCCCCTCCTCCCAGGAGGTTACCTGAGCACAGTCACGCTCCCCCTGCGCACCGGTAGGGAAAGCACGGGCTCCGACACCCGGATAGGCTTGAACTGGAACTTGCAGCCGAAGCAGAGCGCGGAGTCGCTGAAGAAGGACACGGACACGATGGGGCGCTCAAAGATGTGGATGGGGTCCACGTGGGACACGATGCAGCCGCCGGGCTGGTAGTCGTTGATGACGGCGCTGTTGACGAAGCCCTCGGGGATGACGCGGTGCTCCACCAGCTTCTGGATGACCAGCTGGTGCACCCACTCGGGGATCTCGTCCACGTCGCCGGGCGGATAGAGGCGCTCCTGGCCGGGCCCGCGCTTCTGCAGCTGCGCGCCGTACGTGTAGCCCTCGCCGAAGAAGTACTTGTTGCGCAGCGGAGCCCGGTCCACCGTGTGCTCGTTGTACAGGCCCTTCTCTGCGCGGGACACCACCTCGTCGATGCGGGCCTCGATCTTGGCGCACTCGTCCTGGCTGAACAGGCGCATCTGACGGATGCCGCTCTTCACCTTGCGTGCCTCCTCCTCCTTCTGCAGCTGCTGCTCCTCGAAATCGCTGCGCTCGGGGTCCGAGTCCTCCGGGTACTTGCGCTTGGCCCCGGACGCCGTGTAGGGCTCGGCCGCGGCGGCGGCGGCGGCGGCAGCAGCCACGGCGGCGGCAGCGGCCGCCGCGGCCTCTCGGCTGCCCGCCTTGTAGTTGTCCCGGGACGTCATGGACTTGAGCTTCTCCCGCAGGTCCGTGTAGCCGCTGGCGGCCGCCATGGCCCGCGCCGCAGCTCTAGGGCCCTCCGCTGCGGGCGGGGCGGCCGGGCATGGCTCTGGGGGACGCGCCCGGGCCCCTGACCGCAGGGGCCCTCAGCGCCAGGCCCGCGAGCGAGGCCGCGCGGCCCGGCTGGGGCGTCGAGGGGCGGCCTCAGGGGCTGCGGGTCATGCGGCGGCGGGGGCGACGGGGCTCCCTCCTCCTCCGCGTCCGGGGGGGCAGGAGCGCCGGCAGGGCCTCATGCCGCGCAGGGCGGCCGCGGAGGCTCGGCCCGACTCCCGGCCGGACCCTCAGACGCCCGGCCCGGCCCGCACTTTAAAGCGCTCCTCACGACGTCACGGCCGCCCGCCCGACGTCCGCCAGCGCCGCTCCTCAGCGGGCTGCTCCAAGCGCACGCGCAGTACAGCCAGCCACCGCGGCTCCGCGCGCACAGAGCATGCGCGTGCGTGAGGCCGGGTCAGCGGAGAAGTACGCGCACGCGCAGACGAAGACCGCTCGCCGTCCGCCGCCCCTCCCCCACCTACTGAAGGGGTCCGCGAGCGCCCCAAACAGCAGCCTGCCTCCTCGCCGCGCCACCCACGCGGCCAAAGGGCTCCCTCCACGGGAATGCGCTCACGCCACCAACGTTGTCGCCACGCTGCGTCACAACATCGTCCGAACGCCCAAAATCGCCTCAGCCCACAGCGCGCAATCACCGGGGAACCGCCACAAGCAAGGCTCCCCGGGCACCGCCCCTTTGGCGCTTCCGATTCTGTCATTGGGCCACCTGCCACGGGCCGGGCGGGACCAGACGCCAGCTTCCGGAAGCCGGTTGGCGCGCGTGCCTGTCCATCCGACGGTCGCCTTGGCTACTGCGTCCGTCCCCCTAATTCGCCGCGGGCGGGATGTAAGGACCCCTAAAAGGATGACCGGGTGGCTAAACGAGTGCCTGAGTGGAGAAGCGACCGAAGTGAAGCCCTTTGCGCGCAAGGGAACACTCAGATTCCTGGGTTGAGAGCCCCGGCCGAGCGCCCTGTCCGACGGCTGCCGCCGCAGATGCCACCCCCCCCGCCCCCTCCCCGCGTGGACGTTGCCCGAGTCACGTCCAGGCGGCCGCGCGTGCGCTGCTCTCCTGGGCAGGGTGCCCTAGGGATGGCGGGGAGCCGGTACTGGAGCGCGGGCCTCGGACCCAGGAGTCGCCGATCTACCGGGCGCCTAGCCCTTTGTTCAGACCCTCCAGGCCCCGCCTGACCCGCAGGCCTGCTCGCGTGGTCAAGCTCCTGGGCCCGTCCCTCCCACCCGCGCCTTCATTGTGGTTTTTGGAGGCTTGGTTCACTCCTCTAGCAACCTCCCCAGATTTTTCTCTTGAATGAAATGCATCTTGGGTTTCGTAGTCTCTCCTTTCTGACCATTGTGCGCCCGCCCCATTGTCCCTGCGCCCTCTCCACCCACCGTCCCCGGCTGGTCAGGGCCTGAGATCCGGACCCTGCGACCCGGCAGGAGTGTTTTTGAACCATTACCTCCGGCTTAGGACCCCGACAAGCTCTGGAGGCGGGAATGACATCAGTGCCCACACGTGCGGTGGGTGCGCGGATGAGATGCAGTCCCATGTCCTGTCCGTTAAGCAGAGAGGACTACTGGCCTCCATTTTGGGCCTGTTTGCACGTCCTAACTGAGCGCCTAACGGTCTCTGCTGGGAAGTGGGGCCTGTCGTGGGGTAACTTGGCAAGGCCAGGCCAGCAGGGCCAGTGGGATGGGAAGGCCTGGACACCTGGGACTGTGGCCCTAACCCCCTTGTGAGCAGCAGCAGGTGTAAGGGAGACAGGACAGGCACGGAGCCTGTAGGGAATGGCTCCTGCCCTTTTCTGACCCAAGCTGGTGGGCATCGCTTGTAGTAGTGGCAGGAAGGTAGCTGCACATGGTGAGAAGGTGGCCAGTGGGCAAGGCAAGAGCCAGGGAGCTAGGCTTGGGCTCCAGTCCTGTCTGGGCCATTCTAGGTGAAGGCTTGGGTAGGGCCCCTTTACCTGCATACTGGCAGTGTGGCATACTGACATACTGGCAGCCCTTCAGAAGCCCAGCACCCACCTCTCAACCACCCTCCAAGAGGGGGCATCGGACTCTGCTCACACACCTGGTGGCAGGGAGTTCACTACCTCAGTCATCAGAAAGTCCTGCCAGAGCCCCCCAGTGCTCCACTCCCTGGGCAAATGTGGGAGTCACCTCCTCTTCCAGGGCTCCAAGACACCCCCTCTGGGTGGCTTTCCCATGCTCTGCAGCCAGGGCCTTCCTCTCTCCCATCAGTGGGAAGCCTCAGTGGGAAGCGAGAAGCTCTGGAACGAGACTGCCTGTGTTTGCCTCTGTTGCTGCTGCTACTGCTAAGTCTCTTCAGTCGTGTCCGACTCTACAACCCCATGGACGGCAGCCCACCAGGCTTCCCTGTCCCTGGGGTTCTCCAGGCAAGAACACTGGAGTGGGTTGCCATTGCTTTCTCTGGTGTTGGTGGCCCCTTTTACCTCTGGGGTCTCAGTTACCCCACGAAGACAGTACAAGAGTGTATCAGGCTCCCACGCCTTCCAGATGTGTCTCCTGTTCTCACCCCACATCAGGCCGGGCACCTGGGGCTGGGTTCCTTCGGTTCTTGCTCTCCCCATAACCACCTGGAGTTCCTGTCTTCCTGGGTCTGGGGGACACGGAGGGGTCTGACTCTCCTGCCACTCCTGAGTTTTCCCACTCTACCTCTTGGGGTCGTTAGCTCTGATGAGGGCTCGACCTGCTGCTGCAGCACAGCACCAGAAGAGCTGTAAAAACAGGAGACTCACCCTTAAGGTCCAGATCCTGAAATTCCAAAGCTCTGGTGTTCTGGTTATCTGATTCTGTGTGACAAACCTCTCAAAACTCAGACCTGTCACCACCCAGCACATGAATCTGCAGTGTGCCCTGGGATGGGCCTGGAGGCTCCTCCCTGTTCCATGCACTTCAGCTGGGGCCTCACTCACATGGCCTGCTTGCATTCTACAACCCAAGAGGTCTCTCACCTGGGCAGAGCCACTAACTATGAGCGACTGTGAGCAACTCCCAGTGCCTGGCATTTGCCTAGTATGCAGTGGATGCTTAATAGCTACTGAATGAATAAATAAATCCTTCCTTTGACACTATGGCTCCAGCCAATTATGACCCCACACACCCCTCCAGTCTTCCTCTCCCAAGCCTAGTGCTCCACTCCCCAACAAGTTCCTCAGAGCACTAGCACTCTCCATCAACATTCATTCAGTTATTCTTTCATTCATGTGACAAATATCTTGTAAGCACCTACCTTACGCATTGTCCTAAGCTTTGAAGGATACAGTAAGGAATAAACACTGTTTTCTCTGTTTAGAATATTCATTTTCCTCTCCTCCATCTATTCCTAGCAAACTCCTACTTATCCTTCAAAACCCAACCCCAACATCCCATTCTCTGGGAAGCCTTTTCCCAGATTTCTGCCTCCTCAGCCACTGACATGTGTGACATCTCTCTCTCTACTATACCACTCTCAAGTCTTGTGTGACCCATCCCATGACAAGGACCTGGGGTTGGGACTACCCAAAGTGGGGGAAGGTTGGGAGACAGGGCCCTGCAAGGAGAGGTAAGGATGGATATCTCTGCCGACAGCTCTGTTCAGGAGCATAACTGGGCTTCCGACTCCTGCTGCCTCCCTCAGGCTCATTTTCCAACTCAACAACAGTTTCCACTCAACAACTGTATTCCAGAAAAGAATACAGAGAATTCCAGAAAAACATTTGCTTTACTGACTATGCTAAAGCCTTTGACTGTAATTCTTCAAGAGATGGCAATGCCAGAACACCTTACCTGCCTCCTGAGAAATCTGTATGCAGGTCAAGAAGCAACAGTTAGAACCAGACATGGAACAATGAACTAGTTCCACATTGGGAAAGGAGTATGTCAAGGCTGTATATTGTCACCCTGTTTATTTAACTTACGTGCAGAGTACATCATGCAAAATGCTGGGCTGGTGGAGAAGGAAATGGCAACCCTCTCCAGTATTCTTGCGTGGAAAAGTCCATGGACAGAGGAGCCCGGCGGGCTGCAGTCCATGGGGTTACATGACTGAGCATGTGTGCACGAGGGTGGAGGGAGATGGGTTGGTAGCAATAAACTGGTAGAACTAAAAAAAAAAAAAATGCTGGGCTGGATGAAGCACAAACTGGAATTAAGATTGCCGAGGGAAATATCAATAACCTCAGATATGCAGATGACACCAACCTTATGGCAGAAAGCAAAGAGGAACCAAAGAGCCTCTTGATGAATGTGAAAGAGGAGAGTAAAAAAGTTGGCTTAAAACTCAACATTCAGAACACTAAGATCACGGCATCAGTCCCATCACTTCATGGCAAATAGATGGGGAAACACTCATCTCACACACTAGCAAAGTAATGTCAAAATTCTCCAAGCTACTCTTCAAAAGTACGTGAACCAAGAACTTCCAGACGTTCAAGCTGGATTTAGAAAAGGCAGAGGAACCAGAGATCAAATTGCCAACATCTGTTGGATCATCAAAAAAGCAAAAGAGTTCCAGAAAAACATCTGCTTTATTGACTATGCCAAAGCCTCTGACTGTGTGGATCACAACAAACTGTGGAAAATTCTTCAAGAGATGGGAATACCAGACCACCTGACCTGCCTCTGAGAAATCTGTACGCAGGTCAAGAAGCAACAGTTAGAACCAGACGTGGAAAAATAGACTGGTTCCAAATTGGGAAGGGAGTATGTCAAGGTTGTATATTGTCACTCTGCTTATTTAACTTATATGCAGAGTATATCATGTGAAATGCCAGGCCGGATGAAGCACAAGCTGGAATCAAGATTGCCAGGAAGTCTTCCTGCCTGTTGTTCACCTGGCCAGGCCAGGCGCACGTCACAAGCTTATCCTCCTGACTAGACAGCACGTAGACCGCCCTCCCTGTCCTGTGGCACAAGTGAGCCTGAGGCTGCTGAATCTGGGACGTAGGGGTCTTCTCTTTTTCTGTGCTCTGTGTTTTTCTTTATTTCTGCCTTAGGCTGGATGCCCCGGGGCTGCTTACACACAAACAGCGTGAGGGCCCAGGGCCCTGGCGCCCCCCAGGTGCAGCCTAGTGCCCAGGGCACAGCTGCCCTCAAAAAAAAAAAAAGATTGCCAGGGGAAATATCAGTAACCTCAGATACGCAGATGACACCAACCTTATGGTAGAAAGCGAAAAACTAAAGAGCCTCTTGATAAAAGTGAAAGAGAGTGAAAAAGTTGGCTTAAAACTCATTCAGAAAACTAAGATCATGGTATCCAGTCCCATCACTTCATGGCAAATAGATGGGAAAACAATGGAAACAGTGACAGACTTTATTTTGGGGGGCTGCAATATCACTGCAGCCATGAAATTAAAAGATGCTTGCTCCTTGGAAGAAAAGCTATGACCAACCTAGAAAGTGAAGTGAAAGTTGCTCAGTCGTGTCCGACTCTTTGTGACCACATGAACTATATAGTCCATAGAATTCTCCAGGCCAGAATACTGGAATGGGTAGCCTTTCCCTTCTCCAGGGGATCTTCCCAATCCAGGGATCAAACCCAGGTCTCCCATGTTGCAGGCGGATTCTTTACCAGCTGAGCCACAAGGGAAGCCCAACCTAAACAGCATATTAAAAAGCAGAGACATTACTTTGCCAACAAGGTCTGTCTGGTCAAAGGTATGGTTGTTCCAGTAGTCATGTATAGATGTGAGAGTTGGACTATAAAGAAAGCTGAGCGCCGAAGAATTGATGCTTTTGAACTGTGGTGTTGGAGAAGACTCTTGAGAGTCCCTTGGACAGCAAGGAGATCCATTCAGTCAATCGTAAAGGAAATCAGTCCTGAATATTCATTGAGAGGACTGATGCTGAAGCTGAAAATCTAATCCTTTGGCCACCTGATGCAAAGAACTGACTCACTAGAAAAGACCCTGATGCTGGGAAAGATTGAAGGAGGGAGGAGAAGGGGATGACAGAGGATGAGATGGTTGGATGGTATCACTGACTGAATGGACATGAATTTGAGCAAGCTCCGGGAGTTGGTAATGGATAGGGAAGCCTGGCATGCTGCAGTCCATGGGGTCGCAAAGAGTCAAACACGACTAAGGGACTGAACAACAACAACTGTATGAGAAAAGGCTGCCAGATGAACCTTTTATTTGCACTGAAATGACCAAGAGCCATGAATCCAAGCTCAGCAGCAGTACAGAGGGCACCTGGGATGGGCGGGGGGAGGACAAATGAGGGGCTAGGACAGGGAGATGGAGCAGATTTAAACATCAGACCCCAGGAGAAGCGAAAGCAGGTTCAGTTTGCCTAGGCTTCTGGTGTGGGGCTACCATGCCGCAGCAGGGGTCAGGGCAGGGCCACAGTGGTAGGTGGCAGGAGAGCCCATTGGTCAGTCTTTGGAGGTTCCTCCAGCTATCTGACCCCAGGTTTCCATGCTGTAACTCCATCCCAACTCTCAGTTGGTTTTCTCAGGTTCCTGGGGACTTGGGCTTTTCCACCTCCTGCCTCTTGGTCTCCCCTAAGGTTCTGGCCCAATAGCTCCCCTGGGACCACACAGCCAGACTCCTGCCAGAGGGGGGCCTGGGGGCTGGGTCAGAGTAATGTGATCTCGCTGGGGGGCAGCGTGAGCCGCTTCTCACGGGCACTGAGCAGGTTCTCCACATGTATGGCCACCACTCGACACAGCTCCAGGCCCTGCAGGAGAGACATGAGTCAGCACTCCCCAGCTCTCCTGTGGGGAGAGAACGTGGCTGGGAGAGAGGTGGAGGCCAGACTCTCCCAGGACTGGGGCCCCACCCTCATCCCCACCTCCTCAGGGCCCCAGGAAAAGCTCTGGCAGCTGGAAAGGAATCTGGGCTGCAGGTGGGAAGGGGTGAGCCAGGTGGAGACCCATGCATTCACCAGCTCTGCCGCAGGTAACCTGGGCCACTTACTGCACCTCCGTCACCCTCAGCGACCTTGCCCCTGGGGTCTCAGTTTCCCAGGGCCTGCCTCACAGGGCCGTGGTGAGGATGACATGAGACTTCACGATATGTAAATCCTTCACATTTAAAAACTATTAGCCCTGTCAATAAATGAGCTGCCATGGTTACCACCTGGTACCCATGGCCTAGAATGAACTGGGCCCCAGCCTCAGGGCTCCCGTGGGCAGGGGAAGGGGGATGCTGTAACCAACTGGAGAAGCCAGAAAGGCTGCCTCTTCCTCTTCCTCCTCCATCCAGCCACTTCCTAAGCATCCACTACACACCAGGCGCTGTGCTATGGACACCATGTGGACACAGCCCGGCCCTCTTGGGGAGGGGTTCTAATGGGGAGATGGACAACCTGAGAACCAATAATAAAGTGACTTCCAAGCCATATGAGAGAGTGAATTATCAGGAGGATCAGGGGAGGCTTCTAGAAGGAGGTGATGTTTGTGCTGAAACTGGAATAAAGGGAGGGAAGAAGCCCTGTGATACAGGGGGAGCGTGTCCCAGGCAGAGGGGACAGCGAGTGCAATGGGAGGGTGTTCTGGGGCAGGGAGGGGGCAAAGGGGAGCAGGGGAGCTGAGATCACAGAGGTAAAAAGAGGAGGGGGTAGGGACAAGAAGGACTGCTGGGTTGGGGCCCAAGGGCCTGCGAGGGTTGGCAGTGAGGGCAGAGGCCTACTGGCCTCCAAGAATGACACTGAGGGAGAGAGAAATAGGAGGCTGTCTCGCAGAGCAGCTGTGGAAGCCTTAGGGCAGAGGGGTGCTGGGGGGAGGGCCCGGCCTTGCACTAGTTAGGAGGTCGTCCAAGGGAGGGGGGCTCCAGAAAGGGCCCAGAAAGCAACAGATGGGCAGGTCCGAAGAGGTGGGGTCTCTGGGGGAGTCCAGGAAACAGGCTGAGTCCAGGTGACGCCAGCATCAGGGTGACCTCAGCAGGAATGGGACTGGGGGGTGGTGGGAAGCAGACTGATCCCCAGTCACAGTCTCCCCAAGGAGCATTGCAGGAGTGGTGGGGGGTGGCAAGGGATCATGCTCTGGCCTTGACCCTCAGGGGCAGGGCTAGGGTGGTGCGAGCCCCTGTCTCGTGCCCTGGAAAACAGCCCAACTAACGCAGGCCCTGGCTTGGGGTGGGGGAGTTCTGGGCCCACATCTTCAGGGGTGCAGTGGGCTGGCAAGGACAGACAGGTGGGCCCAGCCCCATTCAGCCCCTTCTCTGGACATCAGCCCCCTCTCCAACAGGTGAGAACTCTGGTCTGGCCCTACCCTGGGGGCTGTGAGACGTGGACCTGGCTGACATAGAGGACTTGGCTTTTGAGGAACACCCACGGATGCTGCAAAGGGAGAAGGCCCAGGACAGGGAAACCCCACTCTCCATCTGTCAAGCCCCGACCCCACAGTCCAGCCTCCAAGCCTTAGCCCAGGTGAACTGCCCATGTCCCTGCCCTCCTAGCAACTTTCTATGGCTCCCAAGTGCCCTCGGGAGGAGGCCCCAGGTTCTCAGCTTTATATTCAAGGACCGTTAGGACCTTCCCAGTTTCCCATCGAACACCTTATTCTTCTGCAAACAACCTGGGCCCTCATTTCTAGGATCCCACCATCAAGATGCCTCTCCAAGACCACCTTGAGACCGGCAGGTCTGTGTAGTATGGGCTTAGCTCTGTCCCCTGCACTGGGCTGGACGCTCCCCAGAACTTGGCCGGGCCAAGAAGAGCCTAGTATGCGGAATTCGGGAGTGGGGGGCTGGGCAACCCCCCGGGGGCCCACCTGCTCCAGCTGCAGCTGCACAGTGTGCTGGGCAGTGACGTCCCCGAGTGCGACCTCCACATAAGGGCAGCTGGAGCCGGCTGTGGGCCGCTGGGTCCGCATCAACTGGATCTCCTTCAGGGGGAACTTCACCATCAGCTCCTGGGGGGGATGGGGAGCAGACGGGCTTGGGGGTGGGACAGTCTCACCTATCGGTACCCCTGCCCTAAAGGACAGATACGCAGGGGGCACGACACCCCGATTCAAGTACTCATCCCCCAGTGACTGGCTGTGTGACCCAGAGCAAGCAGCCTTACCTCTCTGGACCTCAGCGTCTCACCTGTGACATTACTTCAACAATGATGCACACGTGTGCAGCATGCCAGGCACCACTCTAAATGCTTGAGCTCCAGGTAATGCTGGTGTACCCTGACCTTCCCACCCCTTCACACCCACCCCTCTGGCCAGGAGTGTTCTTTCTGGCCCCAGGAGCTAACACAGAGCTTCCCCAGCTCGCCCCAGGAGAAGCCAGAGTGATGAGAGCCAGCGGCCCCTTGTGACAGATGGACACAGCAGACAGACACCCCAGCTTTCCCACCCACAGAATGGGGCATCCTCTGAGGCTGGTGCTTCCCGCTGGACTGAGTCCCCGTGCCCACAGTGGGAACCTAAATGCTCTCACAGGCCCCACCCCGGCTGTATCCCCCCGGCTGTGACCTCCTCCCTTCCTCGCTCCACTGTTTCCACACAAGCCACTTGCCCTGGAGCCCTCATGTCAAGGTCCAATCCCTGAGGAAGAACTAAGAATGGGGGTAGCAGGTCCCTTTTGGTCTGGACTGCATTGTGTCCCCAAATCCTGACCCACCCCCTCAGAAGCTGAAGACAGGTCTTTGAAGAGAGGAGTCAGGCTGTGGTGGGCTCCCATCCCACGGGTCCTTATGAGAAGAGGACCTTGGGATTCACGGACCCCAGAGAAAGGGCCGTATGAGGGCTCAGCCAGGATGGCCATCTACAAGCAAGGAGGGAGGCCTCAAAGGAAGCCGACCCTGCTGGCACCTTGATCTTGGCCATCTGGCCTCCAGACCCATGGAAACAGTTTCTTGGCTGAGGCTCCAGTGGAGCCACACAGGCTTTTTGGGTGGGTGTGCTTCACCTGTTTCGCCTGGACAACAGCCTGCGTCATCGTCCCAGGTGAGGAAGAAGGGGGCGGAGCCTCGCCCAAGGTCACGAAGGTGTGAGCAGTGGAGCTGGACTTCCCTGGGGGGCGGGGCGGGGCGGGGCGGGAAGGGGCTGAGCCACTCACGTGGGTCTCAGTGCTGAGGAAGTTGAGGCCATTCTGGTTGACAGCGAGGATGCAGGGGGCTGGCACAGCCGCGGTGCTACAGCTCTGGACCAGGAAGAAGGAGGAGCCGAACATGGGCGAGGCGCTGAGGAGGCCTGGGGGTGGTGGTCAGGCGACAAGGGCTCATCAGTGCATTAGCACAGCCCTCCCTCCACAGCCCACCCAGCACAGGAGCCCCCAGCCCGGTGCTCCTCCTGCCAGTGCTGCCGCCCACACTGGACCTCCCTCCATCCCCGGTGGGGCCTTGGAAGGCCTTTAGAAACCTGACCCCAAAGATGCTTTTGTACAAAGGAAAAGGCCTCCTCACCACCCCCCTCAGCCAGGCCCCCACGACTCCCTCCCCAGCCCGACTCCTTCTCACCCAGAAACTGGGCACGGGCCTGGTGGGGGCTGAGCGCCTGCACCTGCTGCCGGTGCTGGCCAAGCAGGCGGAGCCACGTCGAGCTGGCCTCGATGCGGTACAGCTGGGCCGGAATGTACCCCTGGGCCTCCCGCCTGGCAGGCAGGGAAAAGCCGGCTGACCATCAGGGGTTCCACCAAACCTCCTGACGGCTGAACGCTGGGGGAATGAGGACGACAGGGTGGGGACAGACGGTGGTACAAGCGGGGCTGGGCACACAGCACACGCTCAGTAACCGCTGGCCAACACCAGCGGGCTCCTTGTTTGCTGACAAGGGAACGCAGGCTCTGAGGAGTTCACCAGCTCATCCCAGGTCATACAGTGACCCCACATGGGTTCGTCCTTTGTAGCCCCCACCCCCTGGGGAATAGCCCAGATCAGAGGGGTGAGAAGGGAGCACAGGGTGGGGGAAACATCAGGGCAGCAAAGCAACCCCCAGCAGTGGTCAGCAGAGCAGAGCAGTGGGCTCCAGATGGCCCCCAGGACCCTCAACTCCCACCTGTCCAGGCCTCCCCTGACCATATGCTGGCTGCCCTAAGGCAGCCCTGGCCTCAGGACATCTGAAAAATACCAACAAGTACCAGTCTGGGCTGCACACTGGGGAAGGGAGGGATGTCAGGGGAACCCCTAAAAGACTCTCTGGGCTACATCTTTCCTTCTCTGCACTGCTGGGTAAGAGCCTGGCCTCTGGACCCAGCCTCCCCAGGTCTAAATCCTGGTTGCCCCCTAGGGAAGCCATATCCTGTCTCTGGGGCTCAGTTTGCTCATCTGCAAGAGGGGACGTTAGAGTGCAGTTTGGGGCATCTGCCGAGGCGACGGGTGCAGGTGCCACACAAAGAGTAAGGGCGCCACAGCCGTCTCCATCCCAGCCTAGGTGACACCTGTATGTGCTTCCTCCACTTTCCCTTACATCATAGCATCAGAAGGGTGTAAGTGTTGCACCCTTACAGTGGGATAAACCCTGTCCACACACTGCCTTTCTTACAGTTATTCACAGCTGCTGCTAAGTCGCTTCAGTCGTGTCCGACTCTGTGCGACCCCATAGATGGCAGCCCACCAGGCTCCTCTGTCCCTGGGATTCTCCAGGCAAGAATACTGGAGTGGGTTGCCATTTCCTTCTCCAATGCATGAAAGTGAAGTCACTCAGTTGTGCTCGACTCTTAGCGACCCCATGGACTGCAGCCTACCAGGCTCCTCCGTCCCTGGGATTTTCCAGGCAAGAGTACTGGAGTGGAGTGCCATTGCCTTCTCTGGTTATTCACAGCAGGGGCTCTCAAAGTGTGGTCGAGGGGCTGGGAGGGCAAAGTCACTTCCATAACAATCTGAGCGGTCATCTGCCTCCCCCTCGTTCTCTCACAAGTGCAGATGCAGAGGCCGCATGACCTGTGCGGTCATAACAGACTGACCGAGAAGCAGGGATGGGTATCCAGCTGTCAGCTATTAAGCCAGATGGTACAGAGATTTGCAAAGGGTAAAGCAGTACAGCTGCTCTCACTGGAGCTCTTGGGAAAATACATTTGTGTTTTCATGACTTATTTATATTAACACGTAATGTTACCTTACACTATTTGTATTATAATTATCATATGTCCACATTTATCTTAACATTAATATGTAGTGTCCTTGTTTTTCATTAATAAATCAGTATTTTAAGTTCTTTCTGTTTTCATTTCAAATAGTATAAATATATCGATAGATACGACCCACAGACACAGAAGCTCTTTGGGGCCCGAGTTTCAAAAGGAAAAAGATGGAGAGTGTGGGGACAACCGAGGTCCCATCGCTTCAAGAACATCAGTTTAAAGGCCACCTGACACCCCACAATTTAAGGAATCCTCTGCTGTTGGAGATTGTCGATGACATCACAGTGGACCTTCCTGTGGCCAACACTCTCGCAGGGCCGTGTGTACTTCCTGGACCACAGTGTGTGTGTCCTGAATGCATTTTATCATTCGTTTGCTCTGAGCTATTAATACCAGTTGGAAGTGACCTGTCCTGCTGGGAGGCAGGGTCCTAGCTGGATGGGCTGGGCTGAGGGGGGGTGGGCAGCTCAGGGGTGGGGCAGGGGCAGGTGCGTGCTCACGCGCTGGGCAGGTAGAAGTGGTCCTTGGCCCGGTGCTGCAGCGCAGCCAGCTTGGACACCTGCTGCAGCTGCTGCTCGCTGGGTTGGCCAGCCGGCACAGTGCTGAAAAGGCCCTTCAGGTAGTCAGGCAGCACCTACAGGGGCGGGAAGAATGTAGGTGAGGGGCTGCAGGAGGCCAGGCACCAGGCACACAACCGGGGAGGTCTAGACACAGATGCTGAGCCGTGCCAGCGTCTCGCTTCTGGACGGGGGGTGGCAGTCACTTTCCTAGGCTTCGGGGAGCAGTGACAGAAGCACCCAGATGGTGAGCGGGGAGGACCGTGGCTTGGAAGCCACAGGAACTGGGGAAGCGCTGGCCCCTGCTCTGCAGAGTGCAGGACCCAGGGGTCATGTTTCCACAAGTCCCAGGGGGGCTGCTGGCTGGCCCACAGGCACAAGAGCCCAGTGACAGGCCTTGGACACAGAATGGCCACAGCTTCGGGCCCCAGCTTCTGAGAAGCACGCTGTCTCTACCCAGCACGTCTGTGAGGGTCCACACATGAGGGAGACCCTGACTTTGTCAGGACCACCACCCTGACTGAGATGACCTAGTCCAAAAAGGGAGTGATAGCACCCCAATGTGAAAAGGCCAGGCAAAGCCTCATAGTGGGGGAGTTCCCTGCTGGTCTAGTGTTTAAGAATCTGCCTTCCAAGTCAGGGGACACAGGTTCGATCCCTGGTCGGGGAGTTAAGATCCCACATGCCTCATGAGAACTAAGCCTGCAGGCTGAAACTAAGACCCGGCATAGTCAAATAAATAAATATTAAAAAACAAAAAACAATGCTACTGAGCACGGGACAGGCGAGGTGCTCAGTGCTGGAGGAGAGCAGGAGGAAAGAGGTCAGAACGGCCTGAAAACGCGTCGTCTGGGCAGCCTGGCTGGAGGGGCCTGGACCAGCAGCGACACAGGAAGAGCGGGCTGGCCCAGGTGACAGAGGCCTGCGAATTAGGAAGTGAGGGTGACGCCGACACGCCCACATGGGGACCAGAGGCCTCAGGGCTGGAATCACAAAGGCCTCAGATGCCAAGCCCGGGGGAGCCCAGAGGTTCTGGAGCCTCAGAGCAGCCACACGTGCAGACCTGGTTGTAGTGCATGGTCACGTAGAGCTCGTTGTCAAACTTGAGCGGCTGGTCCCAGAGCACACGTCGGAACCACAGTGCGTAGCCCCCATCCACCTGCACCATCTCTGAGGCCACGTCCAGGATGTAGGAGCTGCGGCTGAGTGGACACACGTGCTGGCCTGCAGGGAGCGGGGGCAGACGTGGCGAGCCCCCTCTCTGTTAGGGGGCACGGCATCCTTGGTGAACAGGACGGGGGACCCTGATTTGTGGAAGTTGTGCCCCCAGGTGGGAATAACGCCAACTCAAAGCTCAGCTCACCTGGGCCTAGGGAGGTGCCCCGCCCAGGTGCTGCTCAGAGAACACCCGGCCTCTCTCCCCTCTGCAGAGGAGGCTGCACCCGGAGAAGCACAAGAGGCCTCAGGTCCTGTAGGCACCTTTCTGTAGGACTCCTATGGGGAGATCCCTGCTGGGCTCCCAGGGGTGAGGGGAGGATGGGGGTCTGGCACTGAGTGGGTCTTGGCCTCAAGTTTTTATTTCTTGAAGTGACATTTCTGTTTCCTGTCCCACACCTTTGAAAAATTTCACTGAAAAGAGGGGTGTGGCATGATGATAAAGTGCCGGCTCTGACCTTGGGCAAGTCCCTTGGGCTCCGTGGCAGGCTGAGAAACAGCCTGACCTCAAAATGCTCCCCTCCTAATCCCCACCTGCCGTGAACGCACATCTTCATGGAGAGGAGATGTGGAGTGTGATTAAGGGTCTTGAGAGGGGAGATAATCACAGGGACCCAAGTGGACCCAGCATAGTCTCGAGGGGCCTATGAGAAGGGGAGGCAGGAGGGTCACAGGAAGAGACTGGAAGAGGCTACGCTGTGAGCTTTGAAGACGGAGGAAGGGGCTGTGAGCCAAGGGACTTGGGTGCCTCCAGAAGCTGGACAAAGGAAGAAACAGGCTCCTAGAGTCTCAGAAGGACTCCGCATTCTGACTTTCAGAACCATAAGGTCATACACATGTGCTATTTGAAGTCACTGAGAGATTTGTTATGGCAGCAATAAGAGACTAACACAGGCGCCCTGGGCCCTGGTTTTCCCATCTGTAAATGGGAAGGACAACACATTTCCCTTCATGCGGCCCTGGTGGGATAGTTGATAGGATTAAGTGCTTTCAGCTGTCACCTCTGCTTCGTGAACTCCCTTACTAAGATTATTTTGTTACTGCCTTCCCCACCCCATGTGTTGTGCTGGACTCAGGCAGGGCTGAGGACGTGTGGTTCAGAGCTGAGCAGCCCGAGAGCCAGCTGGAGTTGGGTGGGACTGACCGGCTGGTGGCAGAAGCTCAGCCACGGCCTAGAGCAGGTGGGCTGCAGGGGGAAAGGGTTTGGCCTCATGGAGAAGGGCCAGGTGAGGCCGAGGGTGGGGCTCTCTTGGCCGCTATGAGGACAGTGGAGGCAGGATTTGCACGTGTGGGTTATAGGAGCCAATCCTGTTAAGTCCTGCCCTCCCAGAGGGCAGGGCCTACTGAGTACCGTGGGGGGGCAGATGGAGGCATAGGGGAGCCCTGCCTTCTGCCATCTCGCGGCCTGACAGACCAGATGAGCTCACACAGATCGAAGTGGGGTGGTGGGAGGGAGATGCAGGGCTGGGGGTGCTCCATGCAGAGGCTCCTCTACCTGGGCGGGGGGCTCCCTGGAGGAAGCAGCATCTAATCAGGGCCTCACAGTCGGGATGGGGGTTGTGGGCCCAGACTGCCTCATCCTCTGGCTGCTCACCTCGGTTGATGACAACAAAGATGACATACTCGTCAAAGGCCTCAGGGCGGGTCAGAGCCATCTCAGCGCAAAGCTCTTCCACTACGTCCAGGGCCACCTGTGGATGGGGGAAGTGAGAGACTGCGCCAGCCAGGTGACCTCTGCCCTGAGCCCGCCCTGGCACCACTGCAGAGGCAAGGCTCCCGGGCCCTGGGTCAGCCCCACACAGGGAAGGACGCAGCTTCTGGAGTTGTGGGTCCTGAGTCGGCCCATCTCTCATTTGCAGCCTGACTGTGAGCTGAAGGCCACCCGCCTCCCCTAGGCTTGGGCTTGGGCTGCAACAGAAAGCTAAGTCCTGCCCCATGGGGGAGGTAGTGGGTGGCTCAGCACCCTTGGGGTCCCACCCCACAAACACCCCCTCACTCACAGTGCATGTCTTGATCTTAAGGTGGCGCTCCAGGCCCCCGGGGAGAAGAAAGAGCTGCCTCTTGGAACTGCGGCCAGCCTGGGGGAGGGTGCGGAGAGAGGAGAGGATGGGATCTCACCAGGGTCTCACCTAGCCCCAGTCCCCTCCATGGGCATGCCTGGGCCGGGACAGGGGTCTCTGGGTAGGCCGTCCCCCTCCCCAAGTCCCACCTACGCTCACCAACATGGCCCGCAGCTCCATGCTGCCTGGGAGCTCCAGGCGGCCGCCGAAGCGCAGAGTCTTTTTCAGGTTCTGCTCGCAGGCCTTGGCGATCCCTGCAGAGACAGGGGTCAGAGGGGCCGGGGCAGGCCCGGCAGAAGAGCTCCTCTGGCCCCAGCCCCAAGCCCCCTGTGGGGGGTGCTGCTCTCCCTCCAGAGGCCACAGAGACCATTCAGAGGGCAGTGACTGACCCAAGGTTAAGAGCCAGAGTACAAGAGCTGGATTCGAACCCACATCCCATCAGAGGCCCTCACGCCTCGGTTATCCATGAGCCCCTGGAGACAGCTGGTGCTGGGGGCTCGTCCCCGGCGGCTGTGCCGAGTCCCATGCAAGAGACCCCATCGTCTGCTTCTCCATTTCTCTGGTTAAGCAGTGCCCTCGCCCTGCTCTGGGGAGGGGCCAAGTCAAGAGTTCGGGGGCACATTCAACCCTCTTCCCTGGAGCTGATGCAGGGGTGTTTGTTGATTGACTCAAAGAGGAGGCTTCAGAGGCAGAGAGGGTGAGGTCTCATATTTCCTCCATGGCGCCACGGTAGCCACAGGGGCCCTGACCTCTCTCCTAGGGGGACCCAGGGGTTCCTCTGGAAGCTAGACTTCGGGTGAGGCTGAGGAGCAGCCCCTTTCCTCTAAATTCCACGGAGAAAAGGCCAAGACCCTGCCACCAGCCTTGGCGCCCTCTCAAGACCCTTATTGATTCTGAAAGACCAGAGAAAGGGCCATGCCGCCACCTCCTCCTCTTCCACATGCCACACATCATCTCCGGTCTTTATGCCTGCTACTCAGCTCATCTAGAAATCCCTCCTCTGTGCTCACTACCCAGAGCAACACTTCCTCCGGGGAGCCATCCCTGATATGCCATCCTCCCCGTCATATCAGACAACCCATGGCATCAGCCCCTGTGGGACCTCTGCCAACATTTGGGGACAGGATTGATATTAATAAGCCCTGCCTGGGCAAGAAGAGCTAGGCCCTCCTGCTGGCTGCCCACCCAGTCGTCGTATGGTGCAGACAAGGCCCTGGCCCTGGGTCCCCACTTGCTCGCCCCTCACCCTGGAAGGGCAGGCCCGGGGTCCGGCTCACATCTTGGAGGAAGTGGGTGAGGTGCGGCTGGAGGACTTCAGAGCAGCTGTGGTAGGCGGCCACGATGTACAGCAGCCTCCAGCCTCGCTGGCAGCTGTCCCTGCGAGCACACACGGGCTCCATCGCAGCGGCCACTGCTCTGCAGCCACACCAGGAGTCTCACCACCCACCAGGCTCGTATCCTGAGGAGGCCCCCTGCCCCCTGCCCAGTGAGAGCAGGGCCAGTGGGCACAGAGTCACACCAAAGGTGCATTCTGTTGGGAATTCTGGGTGGGAGGGAAGGGAGGGGGTGAAACCCCTGACATACCCAACGTGCACAGAGAACAAGTCTTCCTGGGGGGGGGGGCATCTCTCTGGGCGATGGTCCCTGAAGGAGGGCCAGGGACCCTGTGCAGAGCTGGTGGCAAGTAAGACTGGGTGGGAGGGGCAGGAGGACGCACTGAGTGGTTCTGAAATTCCTGGGGGACCCGAGCAGGTGGATAGGAGGGTGGCCCAGTGCTAACAAGAGCAGCACAGGCTTTGGGCCCCGCCATGTGCTAGTCATGTGCAAGACACGGACGCTTACCTTTATGCTGCCCTGGCTCCAGGGTTTCACTTGTGGGAACCTCTGGTGTCCGGGGGCAGCACTTGGGCTTCCTTTGGGAAACCAACCACCCCTCCCCAGGTCCCTGTGGGTATGAGAGCCAGGGGACTTCCCAGGCGGCTCTAGTGGTAAAGAACCTGCCTGCCAGTACAGTAGACATGAGTCGCAGGTTCAATCCCTGGGTCGGAAGATCCCCTGGAGGAGGGCATAGCAACCCACTCCAGTATTCTTGCCTGGAAAATCCCATGGACAGAGGAGCCTGGCGGGCTATACAGTCCATGGGGTCACAAAGAGTCAGACACGACTGACATGACTTTAGCATGCACATATGTACCCATGAGAGCCAGGACTGGCCAGTTAGAACCCTGAAGCCCCTGGCTAAAGTGACTGGTTCATGTCAATGGACATGAACTTGGGCAAACCCTGGGAGATGGTGAAGGACAGGGAAGCCTGACATGCTACAGTCCATGGGGTTGCAAAGAGTCAGACATGACTTGGCGACTGAACAACAATAAAAAATGGGAGCCAGGCTTGGTCAATTAGAGTTCATCCTCCCTCTGGCTATGGTGATTGGTCTGGGAACAGGCACATGACCCAGGTCTAGCCAATCAGAGCTCTGTATCCTCCAGCCACTGTAGTTGGCTCAGGGATGCCCATGGGACAAAGACAGGCCAATAAGGCTGGATTTGGGGATTTTTGCTACAAATATTGAATCAGTCTTTCTTTGCCTGGGATTGATTGCTGAGCTGGGGAATGTCCCCCCAGAGCTATCATCTTGCCAGTCTATAAGATATATTGCTTGGGAGTAATATCAACACATAGAAAAGCAGGTCCAGGGTACAGAGAAAGACTGCTTCCTGATGACACCTAGATCCAGCTATACCTAAAGTCCTCTGTTAGACTTTTCAGTTACCTGAACCCTCTTTTGCTTAAACCCGACTGAACTGGGTTTCTGTCACTTGCAACCAAGAACATGGACTCACCCATTATCAGTGCATTTGACAGATGAGGAGACTGAAGCTCAGAGACCAGAAAGGGCTTGTCCCAAACCAAGCAATTTCAAACATATGTGCTCTGTCTCTGGCGTGAGGAGAGGACGAGGCGAGGAGAGAGTCGGGAGGGCAGAGGCTGGGAGATGGGAGGCTGACTTGGCCTCTCCGGAGCAGGAAATGGTGGGGAGGGGAGGACACTCACTGCTTGGTGCTGGTGTTGTCTGTGATCTGCTTCATGACCTGGCAGTAACACTCGTCCCGCATGACCTCATGGTCCCTGCACAGCTGTGGGAGGGTGGGCTAGGTCACAGGTCACATGTCCACAAGAACACAGTGGGCTCCTGAAGACAGGCCTGGCGTCCCCTCCCCAGAACCCTCCCCACCAGCGGGATGCACTCCTCGTTGGGTCACATGGTTCCCACCCCAAAGGCTGCAGCCCTGGCTGACAGATGGGCAGGCAAGGGAGCTCCTGTAGGGGCTGGACTGACCTTCAGGAGGGTGCACAGCACATCCAGTTCACTCTGGCCCTTCAGCGGGGCATCCCCCATGAATCGCATCACAGCTGGAGGAAACACTGTCCCACTCAGCCACCGGCCTCCCAGCTGCCCGCCCACCAGGAACCCCGGGTTGGACCCCTCCCCCAGAGGCTATGGCCAGGGCAGGTAGGGGGAAGGGGGCTCCTCCTCTCCTCCCACATCTGAGGGAAGGGGTGGTGGTCACCAGGGGTCACAGTGTGGCGTCCCTCCTTGCCCGGGGCCCTGGCCGCTGTCCCATCCCCACACCTAGAAACATGTCTGTGGCCATCTTGTTGAGGCTGCTGTCACTGAGCTCAATGAGGGAGTCCTGGAGCGGGGTCTGTGGGGAGAGGAATTGGGTCATGGCAGGAGGAAAGGAGAGGGGAGGAGGGGGGAGGAGAGGAAAGGGGAGGGGAGGAAAGGGGAGGGGGAGGGTCCTATCTTAACAACAGAAGGGTCCACACCACAGAAGGCAGCGGGTGGACCCTTGAGAAGATGAGACACTTCCTTTCGGAGGAACCCAGGCCTTCAGGGGGTACCCAGTGGCGGGGGTCCAATTGAGGACAAGGCTGTTTGGCCCATGGACCTGGGATGCACTCTTGTATGGCCATTTCAGAGGGACCTGGGGCTGGGCACCTTCGTAAAGCAAAGCATGTCCTCCAAGGTTCTGGACTCCCGACCCTCCTTGGATTTCAGCCTGAGACCATCCCTGCAAGGGGAAGTGGATGCTACTGATCAGTCTTGCCTCTGAGACAGCCTCTCCCACACGAAGTGAGCTGGACCCAATGTCAGCCCACCTGGCAGCAAGGCCCCTGAGGCAGAGGCTGCAGACAAGCCTCCCTCCTGGGGTTTCTCATTCCCTCCCAGATCTGAGGCCTCCTGCTTGGGGGGCTGGGAAAAGCCCCACCCCAGAAGGACCCTCCTCAGGGCGGGCCACCACTCACTGGGGTCTCCTCTGAGGGTCTCGGAAGTACTTCTGGGCAAACTCGAGCATTGTGTACGGTGGAAGAGCCAGGCCATCCTCCCCACAGTCCATGGAGCCAGCTCTGACTGGGGGACACTGCAAGAAGGCCGTCTGCTACTCCCACTGGTCAGAGCCCGCCCAACGCCAGCCCAGGCTGACTGTGCACAGACCCTCTCTGCCTGCCCCCACCCGCCTTGCCCCATGTGGCCCCACTGCCTCCCCGATGGCCTGGTCCAGCCGACTTTATCCCTCCCCGCTTTATCTCCCTCCACCCTAGCGAGCTCCGTGCTACCACAGGACCCATCCTGGCCCACTCACCAGGCCCTGCCCCGTCGAAGGCGGATTCACCATCTGGCCGCCCCAGGCTGGTCCTGCCCCATTGGCCTGGTCACTTAACTCTTCCACTGACCCCATCCACCCTACCTGGCTGGCCACACCTCCAGCCGCCTCTGGTCACGTATGGTGGCTCATATCCCTCAGGTCACACGTCTGGCTGGCCCTACCAGGCTGCCCAGTCCCAGGATGGCCTGCCCTTGGTTGACCCCACTCCCCTCCACCTCAACAGTCAGGCCAACCCCACTGCTGTGTCCGCTCCTCTGACCAGGCCGTGTTCTCACCTCCCTCCTGCGGCCCACCTCCCGTGCAGCAGCAGTGGAGGCCACAGCGGCGGCCACGGCGGCAGCGCGGCCCCGGCCTGGCTCGGCAGGCAGCTGTAGGAAGTCAGGGGCAGCCGCAGGCTGCACCAGGTCAGAAGGGAAGCGGCCCACGCGGCCATGGATGGTCCCAAACCGCCAGCCTAGGGGTGGATAGGGTCTGAGCAGTGAGTGGGTCTCATCTGGGAAACAGTGGGGTACAGAGCCAGGGAGGGAGGTATGCCATGGGGCCAGTTATGGAGGAGGACAGAAGGACACTGGCTCAGGGAAGGGGAGGCGGCCCCTCAGCGGCGGGCTGGAGTGGGGGTCTGCAGAGAGGAAAACGCAGCGCCTGTGGACCTTTGGGCCACGACACTGAGGCAGTAATGTCCACGGAAACCCGTCAGCCCGATGTGTGGACAGGGGCTGGGCTGCATAGCCATCTTAGCAGCTACAGCCTGGTGAGATCCTTGGGGACCTCAGGACCCGCATTGCGCATCTGCTCTGTTTGGGGTTTCCAGGTCTGGCAGCTTGGGCAGCTGAACGGGGGTCCCAGGGTACCCACCGAAGTCAGGGCCCCGGCGCCGCAGCTCCTCCAGGTACACCACCTTCTTGCCGACCACACAGCCTGCACTGTAGCCTGCGGGTCAGGCCCATGTCAGTACCCACCGGGGAGGCCCCCGCCCCGCCACCCCTGTGCTCACACCCCGTCCCACCCTGGCACTGACCCAGTCGAGGCGGCTCCAGGGGCTGCAGGTGGATGATGTCGCCCTTGTGGAAGGCCAGCAGCGCAGGGTCCTCAGGCAGGAAGTTCCTCACAGCGACCACATAGTCCGAGTCCTGCGTCAGTCAGGGGCTGGGTGAGAGCTGTGGGCCCATGCCCTCCTCCCAGAGGCCAGGGCCCATTCCCCTGCCCCGCACACAGGCTATAAGAGCACGGTCACAGGCCTGACCCACCCCTACCCCTCCCACAGCCTCAGCACTGAGGCCAGGTGCCAGGCCTGGGGACTGCCCGGTCTGGAGGAAGCGTGGGACTGGATGTGGTCACAGGGCGGTCAGTGATGGGCCTGCAGGAGGGGAGGAATGCGGCTGCTGCGGAGCCCAGAGGCCTAAGTGAAGGACCCTGGAGAGGCTGGCAGCAGGGGCACAGGCCCCAGGTTGGAAGGCAGAGCTCGAGCAAGAGCCTGCAGACACAGTTGCAGACACACAGGTGCATCCATGCCTCCCAGGTGGGCGTGGCTGGTACATTTGGGCCCTCAGCCTGCTGCAGGCATCTGCAGGAGGGCCCTGACCTTCTTCAGCTCCAGGATGAAGTCATCCACCAGGGTCTTGACCTGGTGAGCTCGGGCTGAGAAGAGAATGACCTTCTCACTGGCCAAGTTGAACTCCAGCATGTTCTGGGAGGGGATGGTCACAAACAGGATGTCCGCAAAGCTGGAGGAGGAGGAGATGGCATGAGGCAGGACACCACGGCCAGAGGGACACCCCCCACCACAGTCTGCACCTCTGGCCCCTGCCTGCCTCCCCTCCCCTCCTGCCCGCGGCTCCAGCGCTCTGCCCATCACTCTGAACCCACAACCTCCCAGCACCCCCACACTTTGTCTTTTATTTATTTTTCTGCCTCTTGATCTGGGTAAAACCCCCCAAGATTTTACCCACAAATCTCTTTCACTAAGCAAATGCTCAGTCTCTGGAAGGAAGGAGCCTGCACCTCACTGATGCCTGAGACTCCCCGTGCTGTGGCATAAGGGACTGTGGGCTGCTGGGAGGGAGGGGTCAGAGGATGCAGGAAGGTTTCACACTCAAGCATCTGCACTTGGCTGTTCACATACGGTAGCCCTGCCCTCAGTAGGCTCTGGGGTGGGACTTCAGGGGTATCCAAGCTGGGGATGGGGTACTAGCTCCCAGCTCACCACTGCCTGGCTGTGTGACCTAAGACAAGCAACCTCTCTCTCTGAGCTTTTTTCCTTGATTAAAGGGTTTGGCATAGAACCAGGCACTTGGTAGGTACAGTCATCCCTTGGGATCTGTGGGGGACTGGCTCCAGGACCCTTGGAGGGCAACCAAATCCATGGGTGCTCAAGTCCCTCCCATAAAATGACCTGGTATTTACATATAACCTATACACATCCCATTTAGATTACTCTTAACACTTGAAGTGAAGTGAAGTGAAAGTCACTCAGTCGTGTACGACTCTTTGTGACCCCATGGACTGTAGTCCATGGAATTCTCCAGGCCGGAATACTGGAGTATTGTATTGGAGTGGGTAGCCGTTCGGGTAGCCGTTCCCTTCTCCAGGGGATCTTCCCAGCTCAGGGATCAAACCCAGATCTCCCACAGTGCAGGCAGATTCTTTACCAGCTGAGCCACAAGGGAAGCCCAAGAATACTGGGGTGGGTAGCCTATCCTTCTCCAGGGGATCTCCCCTACCCAGAAATCAAACCAGGGTTTCCTGCATTGCAGGTGGGTTCTTTACCAACTGAGCTATCAGGGAATTCAATGTAAACGCTGTATAGATAGTTATAAAAGCAAGATAGATGTTATGGGAATAGCTGCCAGTGAGTGAAAAATTTGTTTTGCTTTTTGGAACTTTCTAGAATTTTTTTTTTCTGAGTATTTCCCATCCACCGTTGGTTGAATCCGCAGATGTGAAGCCTGTGAACAGAGAGCTGACTGTACTCAGCCGCTGGTCATTGAGCAAGTCGGTATGTGGAGGAAGTGCTGGTGTCAGCCCACGCCCCAAATCCTGCCAGCCCATGCCCGCCCACACCCTGCGTCAACCCTCCCCCTGGCCTGCCGCTCACCTGTAGGTGCGCAGGACCTGCAGCTGCCCACTTGCCTCGTGGCTGCCCTTGACCACACGCAGGAGCTTGATGCCCGTGTGGGACACAGCCAGCATCTGCACCCCGGTGCCCACGCTGCCCTGGGGAGGGGACAAGGAGCACGTGAGGGTCTTACAGGCTCATTCCCGGAGCCCCTGGGCAGGCAGAGGGTGGGCAGGGGAATGGGCAGGGGGATCCTACCGTGGCAGGAAAGAGGCGGGAGAAGTAGACCTCCCAGCTGTCCCGGGCAGTGCTGACCACAGCCCGCTTCACGCTCTCTGTCACCAAGGGCCGCTGTGTGTCCAGATGGTTCTGGGCTAAGGGACGCGGGTCGGGTCAGGACTGGGGCCCCCTCCCCTGCTGACCCGCAGTGCATGGAGGGGAGGCTGACCCTCAGCAAGGAGGTGTCAGACCACTGCATTCCTAGCGTCCATACTGGGAAACTGATATCCACAGACAGGACAGTGGGGACTGCAGCCAGGCCAGTATAGCCCAACCCAGACCTGCAGCCAGGCCCCGGGGAGAGGCCAGGAGCAGAGCAGAGAGGGTGGCAGGGGCTCCAGCAGGCTGCCCCTCCCTCCCCACACCCTGCAGTACCAAACAGGGCTTTCATCTGGAGCCGCTCCTCGGCGGAGATGCGCAGGCAGGCCTCGGAGAGTGTGTCGTGCAGGACCTGCAGGAGGGGTGTGAGGTGGGATGCTGTAGGGCGCCCTGAACCTGGAGCCCAGGCTGGACTGTGTCAGGATGACTGGGGATGGGGGGGCTTTCCACGCAGTGAGGGCACCTTGTAAATCAGACCCCACTTCTGAGGACCCTCACCCTTCTCATCTCCACCCTCCCCAAGCCCTAGTCTCCTGATCCACACAGGGGATCTTGGGGTGGACCCTGGGCCCCACGAGCTCAGACCAGCTGTGAGTCTGCTTAGATGGGATGTGGGCTCTCCAAGCCCATCCACAGCAGGGGGTGCAGCAGACCAGCTCCCTGTCCTCACTGCGGGCAAGGACCCCAAACTCGAGCAGGAGGCTTGGCAGACGGCTGATCCACACGCCTGCTGCCGTGCTGCCACTCGAGGCTGGGAAGCAAGACAGGCCCTCACCTGGCGGAACAGGAGGTCCAGCTGCACGGGGTGGCTGTGGTCGTCCTTGGGGTAGAACACCTGCAGCGCGGGGCTGCCATTAGGCTCCGCGCTCCTCACCAGCTGCGCTGTGACCCGCTCCCCTGCCCGTCAGGCCCTGTGCCCCCTCCAGCCCTGGTAGGGCCCCAGCACCTCTTTGCGCAGGAAGATCTGCCAGGGGGCATCCCGGTAGCCATAAAAGTCAGGGTTCGGGAGGCGGTGCAGCTGTGTCTGCACGGGATCCTCAGGAGGCTCCAGTGACCGCGAGGGCAGCACTGGGGAGGCAGGGCCCAGGGAGGGCAAGGTTGGAGCAGAGGGGCCTCCTCCTGCCTCGTGGGTAGACATACCTGGTCACGCAGGCACATGGGCACACTCTCTCAGCCCTGCCTTCCTCCCACAGAGACCCAGCCCTGCAGTCCTAATGCAGTGGGGGTAGGGGTAGGGGCCAGGGCAACCCGGAGCAGCAGAGACCAGGAGCTGCCCGGAGGAAGGCCCTGGTAAGGTGGGTGAAACAGACAGTTCGGAAAGGATAGAGCTCTTGGTGCTGGAAGCTGGGGCAGAAATCAAATGGCGACCTGGGAAAATCTGAGGGCTCGTCTGTGAGGGGCCAGTGGTCTTGGCGGTTGAGCAGACCTCCCTGAGGAGGTGAGGTCTGAGACTTCTTGATGAGAAGGGGCCAGGCATGCAAGGATCTTCTGCGAAGAGCATTCTCAGCAGGGGGAACAGCAAGGATGAAGGCCCTGTGGCAGGACTGAATTCTGGCAGACCCAGAAACAGTGAGGAGCAGAGAGCCCCGGGGCAGGGAGCAGGAAGAGGTGAGGCTGGGGGTGGGCCACAGTGAAGAGCCTGGGGTTCATCCCAGGGGCCGTGGAATGTCGTTGGGTGGATGGGAACTGACTGATCTGTTACGATCACTGTGGCTGCCATAAGGCAGGAGATGCAGAGGTTAGGACTCCAGCTGTGTGTCAGGAGGCCTAGGATTCTGTCCCTGGTCTAACACGTAAGAGCTGTGTGATCTTGAGTGAGTCACTTAACCTCTCTGTGTCTGTCTTCTCATCTGTAATGTCTACAGGCAGACAGTACTCTGTTGGAGAGTCTGAGTGAGGATTTAGAGTGGGCCTGGCCTGAAATCAGTGTCATGCAAATGCTGATACAATTGCACAAACATCCACAGTGTGTCCACACAGGCCCAGGGACATGGACACACACACCACCACATCATGCAGACCAAGACTCACCTGTGCTCATACTGACTAACTCCTGCATTGAGACACCTGCCCTCCGGCCTCTCCCTCCCTCCTGGCCCTCACCTGGAGCGGGTCCCACGGATGGCCGCTGTGGGCTGGTCACTGGCTTCACCAAGGCCACGGCCTCTCTGGAGACCTGTCCCCACAAAGACGGCCCACCACAGTACACAGAGGCTCCCCCAGAGGCCCCCCTTTGTCTTCTGTTCCACCTGGGCCCTGCCAGCCCCAGCCCCTCACCTGGGTGCCGGGTGCTGCCGCTGGGGGGCCCATCTGCCCCCTCAGGATCATCAGGGCCTCCTCATGGGGATCGGGCCGCTTTACAAACACCCTCCCGCCGTCCTTCCTAGGGAGTGGGACGCTGAGCCTCCTCTTCACAGCCACATAGTCCCACCCAGGAACTTCCTCTCCCCCCATCACTGTACACGATAACCCCGAGAGGACCAGGGACAGGCAGGGGGTCACACACAACCCCTAGAGAGCGGTCCTGGCCTCCCTCTGCCCTGGAGGGCGGTCTCATCTGGACCACCTGGGTGAACAGATACTCCCTAAAGGCTGCTGGGCAGGGTGCTGTAAGCCCAGCAGATGGGCACATGGAGGGGGGGGTCGGCCACGCAAGAGGGCCAGAGGGCTGGGTGGGTGGGCTGACCTGAGGGCCTCGGGCCGGCTCCCCCGGGGCAGCTGCTGGTGCTGCCTGACGATGTCCTTGATCTGCTGTGTGGGTTGTGGGAAGTGTTCCGAGTTGAGGGTCGAGGACCGGACCGGCTCCAGGCAGGGCGAGGCTGTGGCGGGGCATGGTATAGGGGACAGGTGAATTCACCCTCCTGTCCCATCTTGGGAAGCTCCTGTTGCAACAGGACACTCACTGCTTTCTGGAGAAGCCCAGCCCTGAGGCAGAATGGGGGCAGCCACAGGCTTGGTAGGGGGCCTCGGGGCCTTGGCCAGAGAGGCGGGGGTCGCGGGCTTCGGAGCAGAGCGCAGGAGCACGGGCTTGGCCGGGGGTCCAGTGCCTATGAACTTTGGCCGGGCCTCTGGTGCTATGGGTTTCTGTAGAGAGCAAAGTGTAGGAGGGCTTCCTGGGTCACATTAGTCTGCTCTCAGGAACCCCATGTTGGCCCAGGAGAGGCGGAAGGGGCTCCTGGTTCAGAGAGGTGCAGCAATGCCCTGGGGCAACATAGTACTCATGGGGGCCCAGGCTCACCTCTGGGGGAAAGGGTCTCGGGGTGGGACTCAGGGGCTGCTGCTGGAGTGCCATGGCCTGCAGGGTCATCTCCCGGGCCTGCGGAGAGTTGGGGTGAGTGGGTAGGCCCAGGCTTGGGCCCCACAGGGCCCCCCGGCAGGACACCCTAGTCCCCTGGCACTCACCAGCAGCACGGCCTGCTTGTGGATGAAGGCTTGCTGCAGGGCCAACGTGGAGGCGTCCAGGCCTGGAACTGGGGTGACCAGGTCAGGGGGCACAGATCCAGAGATGAGGGCGGTAGGCGTGGGAATTCCCTACCCTGCCTGCCCTGCCAGCTCACCCCCAAGCCTGAGGCTGCCTCTGTTCTAGGGCTGAAGCTGCCCTGAGCACCGCGGGGCCCCGCCGAGCCCAACCCTGAACCCGACCTGGAGTAGGCACTGACTTGGCTTTGGCTTTGGCTCTGGGGGTCTCCTGGGGGGTTCTTCAGTGCTGCTGCTGCCATCTCTACCAGGCTGGCCTCCCCCTTTCATGCGGTAGGCAATGGCTGTTGGCTTCTCCAGGTCCTAGGGGGCAGATGGCTCAAGTGACCGCCCCAATGCCATGCTCCCCAGACTCCAAGGCAACGGGCACCTGACACCGCCACCACCTCCTCCCAGGGGCCCCCCTCCAGCCACCCCAGGGCCTGGCTGCAAGAGGCTCCTGTGCACGCACCCTGCTGTGGCCTTCAAAGGCCCCCTGCGTCCCTACCGCGTCCCCGTAGGACAGCACGGGGTCGAAGAGGCTGTCCAGGTAGCAGTCCAGCCCCTTGTGGGGCACAGCAGGCTCTCCAAGGCTGTCCGAGTCTGGTGGGGTTGGGAGAAAGTCAAGTTCTTTCCTCCTGCTGATCACCCCTCCCGCCCCCAGGCTCCCTCCCCACCAGAGACAGCGGCCACTGCTGGTGGATCTTGGAGGGTCACTGTCCCTCTCTGAGGCTCCCTCTCTCAGTCTCCCCATTTGTACCGTTCTCATTGTGGCTGCAGTACCCATCGGAGTCAGCCACGACAGGCACGAGCCCCTGGTGCTGGGGCCTGGAGGGTGTGTCATCGTCCGAGTCCCAGCTGTTCCCGAACACACTGGGGGATGGGGCACACAGTAGCTGAGCCCCCCAGCAGACCCTCCTCTGTACCCCGCAGTTCTCCCTTTGAAGGTAGGCCCCCTCCCTGAAGACCTCGAAGTTCAAGTTCAGCTCACAGCCACATGCAGGAAGGGAGCCTCAGGCTGGGAGAGACCACCTCTACCTGAGGCCTCCCCTGCAGGCCGGGGGCCCCTCCGCACCCACGAGGAAGTAGGCTTTCCGTCGAGGGAACTCCCTGAGCAGCTCGAGGTCTGACACCAGGTCCAGCACGTAGTCATGGCCGGCCAGCTCTGCCCACTGGACCCCGTTCTTCATGGCCACCGTCCAGCCTCGCCAGCCGTCGACCAGCCCCCTGGTGATAGCATGTGGAGGGATGGGAATGAGGGACGGTGCCAAGAGGTACCACCCGGGGAGACCCTGGATGGAGCCAGACACACGACTGAAGCGGACCCTCTGGGACTGGGGGACCTGGCCTCCTGCTCCCACCTCCTCCCTCCTGGGTGTGCAAGGGTGTGCTGGGCGGGGCATCCCAGGAGCCAACCTGTGCCTCAGAATGTCTCCGGCCACCTCCTCCCCCGTACTCCAGGAGTGCACTGGGCAGGAGAACTGGTCACCTGAGCAGCAGTGGGTGTGGGGCTCAGCTCCAAGCATCTGCGGCTGGTCCTGCCACCTCCCCACTCTCATCCTGGGCCCTGACTGTGCATCCTCACGGCCCTGCTCCCAGCCCCGGTCCAGGTCCTGCCCCCTCCCCCCACACTGACCTCTCTCCAGGCTGCTCACAGCAGGGCCACTGAGCTTCTCCTAACCCTGGGCTCTGCTGCCCCTCCATGGGAGGTAGGGGAGGGCAGCTCACCATTGAAGCAGCCCACATCCAGTGCCATGCCGGCCTTCTCCTGGGTGGCTGTCCACTCAAGCTGAGTCGGAGGGAAGGTGCGGGCAGCCCCAGAGACCATGGCCTGCATGAGGCGATGCTGACACACGGCCTGGAAGCCACCCCGCCCGTGATCAGACACAAACCTGGCAGGTAGGAATTGGAGCAAGGATGAGGCCAGATGTGGGGGAAACCCTGAGACTGGTCAGGGACGCCCAGGCCAGCCCAGATCTCCTAGGTTGGGCTGCCAATGATTAGGGCAGCTTGGAGCTCCCAGGCTAAGCTGAAAGCATCTAGGCCAGCCAGGGGCACCTCAAGCCAGCAGGAGTCCAAGGACGCCAAAAAGGTTCCAGGCAGGCCCAACTAATCTCAACAGAGCAAAATGTCATTGCCAGGATGGGGCCTACAGGAGGTGTGAGCAAAGACCTGGCCTCCGGGGACTTCGTCCATTTTACCAGGCCATCCGGGTGGTCATCAGTCCTCTCTGAGCCTGCCACCGAGTTCACAGATGCTATGGGGGTTCCAGCTGACCCAGGGTCAATCAGCCTGCTCCCTGCCAGGGGTGGGCACTCCTCGTGCCCGGCTCCCGGCCCCTCCCTGTTGCTGGTGGCCTGTGGCCACCACGGGGAAGCTAGAGCCATGCCCACGGGAAGCCCAGCAGGTGGTAGTGGCCCTGCCGCCAGCAGGGTCCCAGGGAGCTGCCCCTACTGCGCTGAGCTCGGGAAGGCTCTGCACGCTCTGCAGCTCACAGCCACCGGTGGGTTCTGTTACCATCCCCAATTCCCAGGTCAGGAAAGAGGCTCAGAGAGAGGCAGTGAGTTGCCTCAGGTCACACAGCAGGAAAGTCAGAGCTAGGTTTTGCACCAAGGGCCTGCTTGAGCTCTTTCCCATGCAAATCAACGTTGTCACCAAGGAGGGGGACATCACCATCATCTTAACATGATCAGGATACTGACGACGGCCACGCTTACACAGCGCTTACCACCAGCCTGTCCTCTCGGTGTTTCACATGTGTTTGCACGGTTAATCCTCACACAGCCTGATGTGGGTACTCTTCCCATCCTCATTATATAGGTGAGGAAACAGGCTCAGAGAGGTTATTTAAATTGCCCAAGGTCACACAGCTATATGGCTGAACTGGGATTTGAACACAGACTGTTGGAATCTACACACCTAACGACCCTGCTGCAACCCACTGCTCATCATGTGAGAGGTCAGCAACTTTCTTCCAGGTTCCCTACACCCTGGTCCGGCCACCGCTGAGTTCTGGAAGCCCTGTATTGAGCCTTGTCTGACCCCTGCCCTCTGATGTGAAGCCCTGGGCCAGCCCCTGAACCTAAGCTTCCAGGCACAGAGCCTCCCTCCTGCCTGGCCTGGCATCTGCCCTGGGCCCTGGCCCCCCAGCTCCACTCACTTGAGCAGGTACTTGTCCAGGCGCGGGGACGGTGCAAAGCAGCCGAGGCAGGCAGCCAGCAGGAGCCAGCCCCGCTCAGCGTTGTGGGCGCTGGGGTTGTGCCACACCTGGTTGGCCAGTTGCGCCAGGATCTCGTCCCGCAGCTCGGGCACTGCCAGTCCCTTCTGCACGATGTAGCTGCCGAAGACATGGTCCCGGGTGCCGTGCAGCTGGGGGTCACCCATGAAACGTAGGATCTGGCCACAAGCAGATTCTCCTGGGTCTCTCGGAGGGCTGTTCCCACCAGTCCCCACCCCCTCATATGCATCCCTCACATGTCCTTCCCAAGTCCCCCTGCCCATATAAAAGTTCCCCACAGTAAAACTGTAACAGGCTTGTGCATGCTAAGTCGCTTCAATGGTGTCTGACTCTTGTGACTCTATGGGCTGTAGCCTGCCAGACTTCTCTGTCCATGGGATTCTCCAGGCAAAAATACTTGAGTGGGTTGCCATGCCCTCCTCTAGGGGATCTTCTCAACCCCGAGATCGAACCCGCGTCTCTTACATCTCCTGCACTGGTAGGCAAGATCTTTACCACTAGCGCCACCTGGGAAGCCAGCCTGGTTTACCCTGGGCCAAGTGACCAGGGCTTGGGGAAAGTCAATATTCTGCTCATGAACCTTCTGCAGCCCCAGCCCCTCCCCACACCCCGGCCTCACCTCTGGCTCTATCCAGGCCCCAGAGGGCACTTTCTAGCATGCGTACCCAACCACATCCACCCATGGAAGCACTGTCCATGGCTCCCTTGGGTCCCTGGGGGCCCAACCTCAGCTCTGGGCTTGTTGGTCAAGGCCTCCTGCCCCTCCGCCCTTACTCTCCTGAGTCTCTGTTCTGACCATGGCAACTTTTCTCATCTCTACCCCTCTACTTGCCCTGGCTGGGAGACTCTGCTGCCACCTTCCTCTCCAGCCCAAACGCCCCCTCCTCCAGGAAGCCTTCCCTGACTCTGCCCAGGGCTGCATGAGGGGCCTCGTCTGGGCTCTCCGACCCCCATCCCCCACTCTGTCCACAGAAGTGGGTCACTCGTTAGGTCTGCTCTGCCTCCCCTTTCAGACAAGGCTCTACTCTGGAAGCTCCAGAGAGGCTGGGAGGCAGCCATGTTGCCAAGATGACTGCGAGAAGACAGGCCCCCGTCCCCAGACCCTACCCCAGAGAGGAGGACAGACACTGCCTCCCAGAAGTCCCTCCTCTAAGGGCTCAGGGCTGGGCTGGTGGATGGTCCAGGGGAGCAGCACGGGGGTCTCCTGTCTGGCCTTGGGGCTGGGGCTGTGATTTGGAAGGTGGTCTGTGCAGACTCGTACCAACTTGAAGATGCCCACGGCCTCCACATGGTACTCCGCCGGCAGCCGCGTGAGGGGTGTCCTCAGGGGCACGGTCAGCATCCCGAAGGCAGGCTCCTGAGCACAGAGCAGGCACCTGGGCACAGAGCCGGGAGGCAGGGGCACCTCCGGACCTGCTGCTCTAGGCTGGGTGGGGGCACACGAGCCTGAGGCGCCCGGGCTCTGGTCCCCAGCATGCAGACAGAGATGCAGTGCATCAGGGCAGAGGCCCCCTGAGACACCCCTGGAGGGCAGGAGATGAGCAGCGGGGGTGATATGCTGTGGGTCCACTCACTGCTTGTCAGGTTTCTGAAATGTTTCCAAACAGCCACTGCCTGAGCCCCTGAGGGCCTGCCACCACCATACAGGCCCCCAGAGCCCCCAGACTCCTCATGACCCAGTGACTGGAGGGCTCGGGCCTGCTCTCAAAGGGCGTGGCCAGGAGTCGGCTGTACCTGAGGACAATCCAGCTGTCACTGTGTCTCTTCCAGCTCTTACCTTGAAGTGGCACCGGACAAACTTGGCCATGGGGTAGCTGTTGATGTCCAGGGGCAGCGTGACCCGGGGCTCAGCCCGAAGCCGTGGAGTCCGCACAAGGGCCACCCGGGGCCCCTGGGCTGTCCTGAGGCCTGTGGACAGAGGAGGCCTGAGCGGCCTGGCCCCCTGCCCAGCCCACCCTCCAACACCACCCAGCGCTGACGTACCCGCCACAGCTCGCAAGAGCCCAGCCAGCTCCACCGGGACCTCCAGGTGCCCCACGGCCACCACCTGCCGCTTGCTCAGCTCCTGGGGGGTCAGCACAGGGTGAGGGGACAGGCCTGCCACACCCCCACCTGCCGGCCTCCCTTCCTGTTCCCCGCAGCCGCCTGGACCCCACACCCACCTCCTGCTCCCGCAGCCATGCCTCCTCCACCCGGAGCATCCGCTCCGCCCTCAGCTGCAGGAGAGCAGACGGTCAAGGCGGGCAGCGGCGGGCAGAGGGGACGGCAGCCCCAGGCCCACCTCACAGACGGGGGAGGCATTGGTGTGGCCAGAGAAATGGGTGTGGGAGGAAGAGAGCAAGAGACTCAGGCAGAGGGCAGAGTAGTGATGCTTTGGGGAAGGAGAGACGCACAGGATGTCAGAGAGCAGCAGAGAGGTGCGTTCTGGGGCCCCTCCCTGGAAAGTGTTAGTCCTTAAGTGGTGTCCAACCCTTTGCGACACCCCATGGACTGCAGCCCACCAGGGTCCTCCCGGGATTCCCCAGGCAAGAATACTGGAGTGGGTTGCCAATTCCTTCTCCAGGGGATCTTCCTGACTCAGGGATGGAACCTGGGTCTCCCACATTGCAGGTGGATTCTCTACCATCCCATGGCTACCAGGGAAGCACCTCCCTGGTGCCCCACAAAACTCCAGCAAGGGCTCACAGCTCCTTGGGGCTACATTTGTCCGTCCGGCTGTGGAAATGTGACAACAGGCCGATACCGTCACGGAGACAAGGGCAAAACCAGAGCGAGTGCTGCTGGGGTCGCCTAATTCTAATCATGCCCGGTTACTGGGCCCTGCTGTGAGCCCTGTGCCAGGCCACACCCTCCCCGCAGCCTCTCATTCAAGCCCTGCACACCCCAAGGGGTGGGTGAAGAGAACAGGGCTAGAGAGGGACAAGCGGGGATCGAACCCAAGCCTGTCCAGGCCAAATGCCTCCTCCCCGTCCCTGCCTCCCCATGGACCCTGACGGGACAGGCCTGATTCTGGGGGGAGGGACAAGAGCCCAGCCTGCAGCACCTTGAGGTAACGCCGGTGGCTTGTGTACGTGTGCACCAGGGCCCGGAACTTCACCAGACGCCTCCTCATCTGCTGATACCGCTGTCTGGGGCGGAGAGAAGAGAAGGGGTTTTGAGTAGGAGGGCCGGAGGGCAGGGGTCATGGGTGGCCAAGGGGAAGAGATGCCCACACCCGCCTTGCTGGGGTGTCAGTGTCCACACTTCACTCTGGGACCCAATGCAAAAAGGGAAATAAACTCAGAGAGGGGCAGTGACTTGGCCAAGGTCACATGGCAAATGGAGTGGCAGGGCCTGTTGGCTGTCCCAGGGTATGGGAGATGCAGGGTGGGGGGCCCCTCTTGGTTGGATGGATTTCTAACCACCAGTCACAAGGACCAGGGGGTGGGAGGGAAAGACACACAGAATCTTATCACCCTTCCCACAAAGGCCCCTACTCTCAGCTTGCATGCCTTTGGGAATGGGGAACTCACTACCCAAGTTCAGGCTTGGCCTTCCTGGGGCCTGGCCACAGAAACCCAGGGAGCCTTGCCCACTCTGGACCTGCACCTGGCCAGGAATCCACGTGCCCGGCTCTGCAGCAGGATGATCTTGCGGCGTAGGGAGCGGAAACGGCGCTGGACAAAGAAGCCGCGGAGGCAGCGCTGTAGCGTGAGGGCCGCCAGGCTCAGGACGTGGTCCCGCATGCCCTCTAGCAGCTGGTGCAAGTGCTCCTTCAGGAAGAGCTGGGGGCAGCAGGCGAGCGCTGAGGCTGAGAGCCCCAGGCACTGCCTGGGCCCGCCCTCCCGAGGAGTCCCTGGAGACAGAGGACAGGCCAGCCCCAGATCGGAGGGAGGATGGCCAAGTCTGGAGAAGTGGGGAAGGCAGGATGGTGAATCGGACAGGGAGAGCGACCAGGCAGAGTCTGGAGGTGGGATCAGCAACCTTGCCCCAGCTCAGCTGGATGGCCTCTGGCCTGGGCACTCCTGAGCCCACAGTTTCTAGCCACAGGGCACCCAGGGGCCGAATGTGGGTAGGACTCACCTTGCTGACACCAACACAATACATGTTTGGTGTGACCGTGCATAGGCGGCTCAGCACCGACACACACATGTCCCCACTGGCTGGCAGGTTGTGCTGGAGGGCCACTAGACAGCGGTACCTGCAGGCCCCAAACCCAGCATGGGGCTATTGGACCCATTCGGCTGCCTGCTAGACCTCAGGGTCACCACCCAACCCCTGTCTCCGGGAGGCCTGGATCCAGCAGATCCTTTACTCAGTCTTTTCTAACCAGAAAAGGGCTTTCTGTCCCAAGGCTACTTAAAAAGAGCATTAAATGGTAGTAAATGGTTTCAATAGAAGAAAATGCTTTTACGCCATCTGCTGGAAACTTGTCATATCAGTAATAAAAAATCACTCCTCTTTGGAATCAACACATAACATAATAAAACTATAAAAAATGCAAAGTAGTAAATATGTCTGCCATGTAACAGCTAGTATGTGGTATTCTTGTGTAGTGCACAACCTGAGCAACTGTGCATGGCCAGACCTATTCTGCCTGGGTTGTGAATTCCTGAGGCCATGGGGGGTTGGGTAGGGGTCTGCAGAGCTCAGGAAGCATCAGACCAAGGTACCTGTCGATGAACACCTGGAAGGGCAGCCGCACTGGAAAGCCCTCCTTCCGAATCCGCACTGTCTCCAGCAGCCCTGAATAGCGTAACTGGGCTGTCACCACATCACACTCAAAGAGGCCTGGCTCCTGGGGGAGGGCCCAGAGAGGAAGCCTGAATATTGGCCCAAACATGTGCAATGGTCTCCACGGTGGGCTGGGCAGATGGGCGGTCCAGAGAGGAAAGGCCACTTGCCCAAGGTCACATAGCATGGGGAGAGGACTTGGCTCCCCCAGGGGCCCCTGCCATCACATACCTTCTTGTGGTTCGGCTTCAGGCACCGGACGAACAAGGGGTTACACCTGGGCAGAGTCGAGAGGAGGGCAGTGTGAAGCCCTGGGAAGGAGGGTGCTTGCCCCCAGGGTCACAGGGTGGGTGCCCACACCCTGCCACACCCACCTCTCCATCTTTTCCACCAGGTCCAGAAGTGACTGCTGGAACTTGGCAGCCACCGTGTGCGCCTTGTAGAGCCGGGAGACAGAGCTACTCTTGCCCAGGCGCTGAGGAGCAGCCTGTGGGGCGTGGCTGGAGAAGAGGTGTGCTACCACCTGGGCCAGTGGTCAATATCAAGGTGCCAGGAGACAGAAGGGGGAAGGGCCCAGAGGCAGAAACAAGGAGGGAAATGGACAGAGAGAAAGAGAAAGGGGAAGAACAAAAGGCATCGGTCTCTGGACCTGGGGATCAGAAAGTGACCGCTGGACCCCTGCCCTGACTGAAGGCCATGCCGTCCTGGCTGGCATTCTTCTCAAGTCAGCATGCTCAGTACCTTCCAAGTGGCCCGCCTGTTGGGGAACATGGGGCACTGTCTCTGTGCCTGGCCCCAAGGGGGCCTGTGACATACCTGGCCATGAACTCTGGCAACGACCTGGGGGGATGTGGAGGCCGAGAGGAGGTGGGGGTAGGAGAACCACTCAGTGAGGGATGGGTTGGGGTGAGCCAGAGGCTGGATCAAGCTGGAAAAGGGGTCTGACGGTGGACTGGGTGCTCCAGGGGGCCGGGGCGGCGAGGCTTACTCACCCGAGTCCGGCTCCGCACAAACAGGTCAAGCACATCTTGGCGCACCTGGTCATGGTTCTTGTCCAGGAACTTGTGCACCTGGAGCAGGGAGGGGAGGGGCAGTTCAGTGTGGACCCCACCCTACCCCACCGGCCTGGGAGACAGGGCAGAAGGCTAACCCATCCCAGGGTGTGTGCACTGCCCACTCCCCTCCTCTTCCGTCCTCCTTACAGTGGGTCAGGGGCTCACGGCACCAGGTGACCCTGGCCCTGCCCCCCTAGGCCTCGGTCTCCCTGTCTGTCCTGAGAGGGACGGGCCCCTCCGCCTGCTATGGTTCCCCCCTTCCTGTCCCACTGTCCTCTCCACTCCCTGGGGAGGGGGAGACTGGGCAGTAGCCACATGCCCAGTCCACGTCATGGCCCATCCTCAGTAACTCTGTCCTGTACCCATTCTAGAGATGAGGAAAATGAGGCCCAGTGGGGACAGAGGCTTAGAATCCTGGTCTGAGACACCTCAGGGCAGGAAAGAGCCGAGATGACAGCAGTAACAGCGATCACTACTGATGGGCACTCCTCTTCACCATGCCCGCCGAGTGCTGGGCTTCTTCACTCACCCCGGGAGATGGGCACTATTGTTCCCACACTTTCGATGAGAAAGCTGAGGCTCAGAGAGGTAGAGGGACTTGGCCGCGATCACACAGCTGAGGATCAGCAGGGCCAGATTGCAACAGGTCTGGGTGTCTCTGGCGTGGAGACTGGGACTGAAGGCTGTGTGGGCCATTCAGGATCTCACCTGGTAGGTGACTTTGCCAGCATAGTGCTTGATGGTGAACTCGGGCAGCGGCATCTTGGGCTTGGAGTAGAGTGGGTTGGCGCCGTGGTGGTAATGGCACTTCTGCAGAAACGTGTGGTCTGTGGCCTGGGGGCAGGCAGGGGTCAGCGTGGGCAGGGCCTAGGCATCCAGTAGCTTGCCTGGTGGCAAATTCTCCAGCCCTGACTGGTCCCCCTCAAGCTGCAGGGAGGAGGAGAAAGTCCCTGCTCCTCTGGCTGCCTGCTACTTAGTATGGACGGCCTGAATGGACCCTGTGGAAGGGTGGGCTGCCAGCTGCCTTCCCTCCAGCCCACCTGTCTCTGCTCTCTCTAGTCCCACCGACCAGAGCACCCATACCACTCTCGTGTTTTCCAATCAGAATCTGAGGCCCAACCCCAAGATCACCTCCTCCAGGAAGCCTTCTGTGACTTCACGGACTGGCGCAGCCCCTCCTCCAGAGCCCCCATCCAGCCTCAATCACCCCAGGTTTAAAACCCCAGGTTGGGTGTCCTGAGCCCCCGACTCAAGGCCAGAGCAGAGTGGAGTGCAGGACTTGGGCCCAGTGGGGACACGGGCTCAGAGTGCCGTGTGCCCCAAGCAGCATACTCAGCGCACACCTGGGGGAAGCAGCACTGGTCATCGAGGATGCGCAGGATGCCGTAGGGCTTCAGTGAAAGGAGGTTGATGCAGGGCTGGTTGTCGGTGAAGGTGACCTCCTGCCAGTCGATCTGTTCGCGCATGTACTCCTCCTGTGGACAGCGGTCCTCGGCCTCCAGCCTTGCCCAGTGCCTCCACCCTGTCCCCCAGGTGGACACAATCCAGAGAGTCCCAGCCAGGGTACCTCCACCTGCACCCCTCCCAGCACAGGGAGCTCACTCCCAGCAGGGCAGCTCAACATGAGCCACCTCTGGGCCCTGCTTGTCCCCGGCCTGGACGGCCCTGCGAGGGTGAGGAGGACCACAGGAGGGCTCTTCTCTGGGCTCAGAACCCTTGCACCTGCCCCTCCAGAGCAGGGCCTATGCACATGCTGATCCCTAGCTCAGAGCGCCTCGCCCTCCACTGAGCCTATGGATGACCTCTCGTTTGTCCTCAAAGAGCCAGCGCAGCCTGTCTGCCTCCAAGAAGGCCTAGCGGCTGGCAGGACAGGACTGAAAGCGGACAGAGGCTTCTCACCTGCTCCTCCTGGAAGACAATCTTATTGAAGAGGTACTGGAGGCTCTCGTTCGCATAGTTTATACACAGCTGCTCGAAGCTGTTGAAGCTTAGGTCCTGTCAGATGGGCAGAGAGGCTGGGCCCTGCACTTCTGTGGCCAGCAGCCCATCTGTCTCCACCCAGGGCCTGCCCACCCGCCTTCCCCATGCAGGCCTATCCCTGCCTTCCACAACCACAACTTCAGCAAGCTGGAGCCCTGCACACAGACCCTCTGCTCAGACCCCTTGGGGCCTCCCTCTGGGCACAGGTGAGAGCCCAGTGGTTCGGGAACCATGGGAGGTGGTCCAGGTAGTGGCTGAGGCCCAGGCCCTGGAACCTTCTACCTGGGTTCCGACCTTCGGTCTGCCACTTTCTACCCCAAGTGCCTCAGCCTCCCCATCTGTAAAATGGGGATGACAGTGCCCACTTCCCAGGCAACTGTCAGGATTAAGTGAGTAACAAGCCGAGAGCTCAAAACAGCAGCCGGCACATAACAGGCACCATGGGAATCTCAGCGGCCACTTCTGCTGTTCTGATCTTGCCTGTATTTCTCCACGTCCCCCACTCTAACCCCCCAAATGACTCCCAGCTCCCCACACCCCTGAGCCTTTGCATGACTGTTCTTTCCACCTCAAATGCCTTGATTGGCTCTTAAGGAATCAGCTCAGGACATCTCCAGGAAGACTTTCCTGATGCCTGCCCAGTAAGGGATCTTCTCCAGGCTCCCCCAGCACCAGGATGCCTCTGTTATGGTTCTGACCACATGTGTTTGTCCGCGTCTGTCCACTGAAACCCCACGCAGTCCCTCCTGGAAGCACCCCAAGGGTAGCGCCCAGGTCTGGTCCTTTCTGGGGTCCCTGGTGTCACCCACAGAGCCTGGCACCCAGAAGCCCCAGGAAGTGCTTGTGGGTGAATGGAGGGAGATAATAATGGGGGAGGGCCCTGAACAGTTGATGGCACTCGAACCTCCCCCTCAGAGCCCCACCTCGAAGCCATAGATGTCCAGGACAGCAATGGACAGCGCATCCTTCTGTGGGGACACCAGTGCGTTGACCCTGGCGATGAGCCAGCTGAACAGCAATGCGTACAGGACCTTGGCGATGGCGTCCCTGGAGCAGAGAGGTGTTGAGGGGGCAGGCACAATGAGGAGGTCCAGGGGCCTCAGGTGGGGCTGCGGCCTCACCTGGCGTCCACGGCGCTCTCCACCGTCAGGGGGGTGAATATCTTCTCTCTCATGGTCTCCTGGGGTGCAGGGGGAGGTGGGCTTTGAGGGACAGTGTGCTGGCCACCGCCTCAGGGCAGTCCCCAGAGAACTGGGAGGCGAGGCGTGGGGCGGGGATTGTGGAGCTGGTGTGACTGGTCAGGCACAGAGTCAGTCAGGGGGCAGGACGCATACCCTCACCCCTCTGCTGCCTGGCTTGCTGGTGGGGTGGGGGCTGCCCCCACCGTCAGGGAGACAGGAGCTTGTATAAGCAGGCATAGCAGTGACGTCAGCCTCGGGAAGGGAGGAAGGGCAGGGGCTACGGTAGGGACAGGCCCAGCCAGGGCTCAAGCGTGGCTCTCTGGAGCGGGCGATGTCTGTGTTGGTTCCGGAAGGTTGATTGGGAGTGAAAACGGGAACAGCTATGCAAAGGTCTGGGGGCTATAACGCCTTTGGGGTCCGAGGTACCCAACTCTGGGCCCAACCCAGAGATGGACAGGAATGGGAGGCGGGGGAGGGGGGTAGGGGGCCCATACAGCATGGGGCATGAAGCAGCCCCAGCCACCAGGGACTCACGGTCACTTTGAAGGTGATGGCCTTCTGCAGGCCCTCGGGGGAGACCTGCAGAAGCTCAGCCACGGCCTGGATCTCCCGGGCGCTCACCACTGAGGCTACCTCCTGCGCGTCCGTCTGCAAAACACCCACAGGAGGGCCTGCTGAGCTAGATGAGCTCTTTATATAAAATTCATACAAAAAAAGGGGAAAATTGAAGGCAGGAGAAGGGGATGACAGAAGACGAGATGGTTGGATGGCATCACTGACTCAATGGACATGAGTTTGTACAAACTCCAGGAGATTGTGGAGGACAGAGGAGCCTGGCGTGCTGCAGTCCATGGGGTAGCAAAGAGTCAGACACAAGCGACTGAATAACATACAAATTCGGAAACAAGTGAGAACAGCCAGGAAAATTCTCAAGTAGGAATTCCAGGGACTCTGTGAGATAGTAAGACATAGAGTCAGAATAATTAAAACACTGTGGGATCAGATACATAGTTCATAAACAAATCAATGAAGCACAATAAAAAGTGTCGAATCAGATACAAAAGGACACAGGAATTGAGCATATGATAAATATGTATCTCTCAAGTTGGGAGACTGAGTGACCATTTCAAAAAAAACACAACAACCTGGTATCCCTACCTTGTACCTTACTAGGGTAAGTTTCTGATGAAGCAGAGATTTAAATTTTTTTTTTTTAAATCAAACAGAAACCCTAAGAGATCTTGAAAAAATTACAGGAAAAGGCTTTTATAATTTTAGAGAGATTAGTCTCTAAAAATGAAGTCTTAAAGTTTGTATAAGAAAAAACTTGATAAATGAAATTTCTGAAAATAATCCTTAAAATCTCTGTAGAAAAAAAAAATCCCAAACACCAAAAAACCTGTAAATAAAGTCAAAACATAAATGATAAATCAGAAAATATATCTGCAAATCCTACAGATTTCCTTAACACATATAAAGAGCTCTATATACCAATGAGAAAAAGATGAACCACCCCAAATTGTGGACCAAGCGCTTCCAGCTGTGAGCTGGCAGCTCTCAGCCTTGAGGGGAAGCCCATGTCCTGAGGAAGCTGTCCTGTGGCCCGGAGCCCTCACCTCGTCCTTCTCAAAGTAGACGTTGCCCAGGTGCAAGATGGAGGCCAGGATGCGGAAGATGCTGTCCTGGTCCTCCGCGCTGAAGCCCAGTACCTCCATGGCAGCCAGCAGCCGGCGGAAGTCATCCGCGTCGCTCTTCCCTGAGATCCCGCAGTTCCCACCCTGGGCAGGGTCAGAGTAGGGGGCTAGGACCCTGGGTGGAGGCCTCGGGGTCCCTGCTCTGCCCTGGCCTGCAGCCTGGCCTGGGCTCTCAGCTCTCAATCCACTCTCGAGGGCAAGGGGCTCCGAGCGGCCCAAGTCCCGTGCTGAAGGCTCTGAGTACATTTCCTTCACCTAACCTTGACATGCCCTACAATGCAGAACTATTCTGTTCCCATTTTACAGACAGGAAAGTGAGGCTCTGGAGGGAAGTGGGGACACTCCAGGCCACTGAGTTCTGTTCCAGGCTCCAGAGAAACAATCACATAGGCCACCCCCACCTTAGTTTTGGACCCCAGTGACACCTGTCCCCCTCGCCATGATGAGACACTGCAAAGGAACTCACCCCCCAAAACCCCAACACCTTCACTGTCCATCAGGACATGGTTCTCTGGGCCCACACAGTGTGATGGGGTGGGAGCACCTGACCAGGGGCCCTCAGACACCTGCTGGCTCTCACCTGGTTCAGGTAGTAGTAGGTCTCGGCCTCCTGAAGGCTGAAGGCCTGCCGGAGCTGGGCAGGCAGCCCAGCCAGGAGCTCATAGAAGATGTGGTAGTTCCTCTCATTTCTGGCCTACAGAGCGGTGGGTGGGTGCACAGAGGGGAGCCACCCACCCGGGTGACCCCCCAGACACACATACAAGCCCAGGTGTACCCACAAATACACACACACACATGGGCCTCAGATGAGACTGGCGCCTCTGTGTCGAGTGACCCCAGCCTGGCACTGGCGGGGGTAGGGGGAACTGGCGTGCTGGTGGGAAGGAGCTCTGAGCAGGGTTTAACTTTGGAGAAATAAGCACAAGGTGGAAGGAGCCCCAGGAGCCTTGTGGAGCCACCTGCTGGTGGGGAGACAGACTCCTGGCAGACCACTGTGAGTGGGGAGAAGTGCTGTGCAAGAAAATGCTGCAGCAGTGGGTGGGCAGGTCTGGTGGGTGGAGAGGCTGCATCTTTACTGGGGGACCTTCCCAGAGCAGGTGGCATATTGGGGAGGACTCGGAGAAGGTGAGGGGCTTGGCCTGGCAGGTGTCTGGGGGTGAGTGCTCCAGTTACAAAGAACAGCTGTGCAAAGGCCCTACAGCAGGATGGTGCCCGGTGTGCTTCCATAACAAGGAGATGGGCCACAGGCTCACACACACACACAGATACAGATACACACACATACATACACAGATACACAGAGAGATATACACACACACAGATAGACACACATATACACATACACAGAGATACACTCATGCATACACATGCATACATGCACACATATACACAAATGCACACGCAGAGATACATACATGCACACACATGGACATCTACACACATACATACACACACGCAAGGAGATGGGCCACAGGCTCACACAGACACAGACACACACACTGCTCAGCCAGGTGCCAGGCTCCGAGGGTCTGCATGCCCCCCACCTGGACACACAAGGCCTGGAGAGCCAGCCCACCTGAAACACGATCCTGGATTTCTCGAGCAGGTACTGGGAGGTTATGGCACCAGAGATCACGCCCCTGGGTGGGTGGGCACAGTTAGGGGTCAGGGCTGTGCCAGGCACAGTGCACACAGACCCTGCAGGTTCCTTCACCAGCCCACTCACCCTTCCAGAAAGATCTCCACAAACTTGCCGAAGCGGCTGGAGTTGTCGTTCCTGACGGTTTTGGCATTACCAAAGGACTCCAGGAGGGGTGTGGCCTCCAGGATCTGAGCACCGGAGGACAACATGGGCATTGTGGGGAGCACGTGGGGCCAGCCCAGGTTCCACTTTGTGAGGGCGGTGGGTTCCCTGCAGACCCCTGAGGCCGCCCAGGCCCCCTGCCCTGCCTCCTGCTGCCCCACTCCACCATACATGCGTGTGCACACACACCCAGTACCTTTATCTTCAGGAGCCACCAGGACCGAGGAGGAGGAGAGGAACAAGAACAGAAGTCGGTCACCTAAAGGACTGACCAGCTCCCCCAGGATGCAGGGGGCCTCGAATCACAGAGGGACTGGCCAAGCCCTCCAAGCCCTTGGCGGGCAGGAGAGTAGCCAGGTGAGAGCAGACCCCTGAGCCTCGGAGACCCAGGTGTCTGGGCTCAGGAACCAAGGTGTGGCTCCAGGCTGGGGGCCCTGAGGATGTCCTTGTGCTCCAGAGTCCTGGAAGGGCCTCCTTCCCGCCCTGCCTAGCTCCCACCTGGGGTCCTCTGCAACATGAGCGAGGTCTTGCCCCCGCTCCCCACAGCTCCCACCCCTTGGGCTTGAAGGCCTGGCACAGCCCCGCCTCATCTCCTGTCCCCTCCCTGGATCTGCCCAACACTGCAGTCCCCCTGACTGTGCCCGCGCCTGCCTCTGGGTGTTAGAGTTCTGTTCCCCTGCAGTCCTCAGCCCTTCACTCGGCCCCTATCTCCTGCTGGAATATCAGCCCCACAGGCAGAAATCTGTCTGCACGTGCCTGGTGCCCAGCATCCACACAAGACCTGGTCCTTAGGAGGCCGTCTACAAACATTTGCAAGGGGGCTTCCCTGGAGGTCCAGTGGTTAGGCTTCCACTGAAAACGGCACGGATTCAATCCCTGGTTGGGGAACTAAGATTCCCGTGTGCCACACATTGCAGCCAAAAAAAAAAGAATCTGCTGAATGGATGAAATAGGGGTTAAACAGCAGAGCCACCAAGGCATAGTGAATTACAGTGCCCACTTAGTAAGCACCTACTGCATGCCAGACCCTTCGTCCCAATTACAGCATCGTTAATGTTCCTACGAGGTAGATGCCAGTATCAGCCATTTACAGATCAGGGAGCTGAGGCTAGGAGAGGTATAGCCGTGTGCCCAGTACTCCAGAGTCAGAAGAGCGAGGGCCCACAGCCCAAGCTCATTGGTGTAGGCAGTGTTTTCTCTGGCTGCACTGTTTCCTCGGGATGAACTCTCAGGTGAAGCAGGAGGGCCCAGGGTACACAGAAGTGACACCTGTTACCCCGGCGACCAGACCAGTTCCCTGCATCTGGTCATGCACAGTCTAGCTTGGTCCCAGAAGTATTGCCCACTGCACAGAGGAGTGGACTGAGGCCCAGAGAGGCCTGGGGGCCAGCCTGGGGATGCTCCAGGAGTCAGGGTACACCTGGGCTTTGGTCTGTACTATCCCTTAGTCTGGGTGCCCCTTGAGGGCAACTGGGGTGAGATCTCCTCCTGGTGCCTGGCATGAGGCAGGCACGCAGCCCGGGGTGGGGCCATCAGGGCCCTGGGGCCGTCCAGCTTGGCCCACAGGTGTGGTGGTGCTGTGTTTGGGCTGGGAAGCATTCAGTGCCCTCCCAAGACCCCGCCCCAGGGACCCTTGTCACATCTCAGCCCAGACATGCAGCCTGTGGCCCAGACATAGGTTGATCAAGGCACAACTGGGTTCCACAAGGACTCATGACCGAAACCAGTCCAACAGGAGGAGCCCTGAGACGTGCTGGTCCCTGGGCCATGGTGCTGCAGCAGATGAGGAAACAGATGAGGATGACGGTCAAGCGTGGCAGGAGTGGGCAAGACAAGAGACAGTGTTTAAGACCCTAGCCCCAGCCATGCCCGAAACAGACACAGATGGCCCTACTGCAGGAGCAGGCTTAACAGGTGCTGTGGCATGCTCCCAGAGCCTAGCCTGTGCCTGGCAGATAGTAGGTCCTTAGGAAGCCTTTACCAAGGTTCTAACATTCTCAGTTCAGGGAACCTAGCTTTGAGCAGACCTTCCATCCTGCAGACCCTGGCCAGGCCTTCTCAGTGTCCCAACACCTTCTGCCTGCAATCCCCACATTCGGGCCAGTCCTGCCTCCTTCACGACCATGCAGCTGAGGCCAGGCAGGAGGTGTGGATGGCGCCCCTGGCCCATGCAGCCTTTATTTGGGCCGCTCCAGGAAGCTGGAACATAGAGCTCACGCAGGGGGACATGAGCAGGAAGGAACTCCCAGGGAGGGCAGGCAGAAAGAGTTCCCAGTCATACGAGCCCTCCCTGGGCGCTGGGCTGGGGGAGATGGATAGACCACGCAGCTGAGAGATGGACGCACCTGCCGTGTGACGCCCCGCTTCTGACTCATGGCCGCCAGGTAGCGCAGAATCAGCTTCGTGGCCTCGGTTTTTCCCGAGCCGCTCTCTCCGCTGCCGGGGCAAAGGGGCAGAGTGAGCTGCCACCTACTCACGGCCACCCCCCACCCCAGGGCTCCCCTGACCCCGCCGTGACACAGGAGGACACAGGTAGGAGGCCGGTCCCCAGCCCCACCCCTGCTCACCTGATAATTATGCATTGGTTCTGTTTGGCATCGAGCATTTTGGCGAAGGCGAGATTTGCAATTGCGAAGAGGTGGCTGGAGGGACAGGCCAGAGGGTTCCTGGGCAGGCCTTGCCCCATGCTCCCAAACCTCCCAGTGGGCAGGCAAGGGGCACTTCTGCCCAGTCGAGTGGCCAGTCCTGCTTCACACCCACCCCTAGGGGAATGTTCCCACAAGGCTCCCTGTCCAGAACTGAGCCTGCAGTTCTGCAGAACAGTGGCCTGCAGCCCAGTAGGGGCTATGGCCAGGGTTGGGGAGAAGCTGTTGGGCTGCCCACCACCACCTGCCCCAACCCCCAGCTCAGACAGGGCCCGAGACCCCAGGCTATCCCCTCTTCCAGCCCCAGAGACACTCACGGGGGGTTCTCGGCCAGGGCCCGCCCGCTGTACTGCTGCACCTGCTCCGGCCCATAAATTCCAAACATCCGGTACGGGTTCACCGACACCAGGATGCTGCCAATGTATGTCTGCTGGGCAGATAGTGGCCTCAGCACCTGTCCACATCCCTCCCTCCCCTACTCCTGGAGTCGGGATCCCTGTTTTGTGGGGACAGATGCCTGGCTGCCTGGCTCTGGTGCCTACACCTTGGCCCCTGGCAGTCTGATGGGTCATCTGCTCTGGTGGTGGAGTGTCGGGCACTGTCCAGACTGAGGCCAGAGAAGGCTGGAGCAAGCAAAGCCCCACAGCCATGATGCTGCAAGGATGGCCATGACAGCTGCTGCCTGCTTCATTCATTCACAGTTGGGGCTGCCCCCCTGACTGCCTCTCCTGGGACCTGGGTCTCTGGAAGCTTTAATCCATTGGACCCCTGGTCTGGAGGGGGGGGGTCACACACTTTTGGGTTCCCTGTCTCCAGGTCTCTGCTCCTGGCACCCACTATTTTCAGACTGTGTATTCTAGGACTTAAGATGCTAGTGCTCCCAGCTGTTGCATGCTATGCCTAAATAGTAGAAACTCCAGTCTGGGGTGGGCAGGAGAAATGCATCTGTCCACTGCAGCCCCAGGAGGCAGGGGAGCCATGGCCCTCAGATCCCAGCCCAGAGAGGGGCCAGCCCCAGGCCTTACATAGATGAGGTTCCGTTCAAATCTGGTCTTGAGATTGGCCAGCACGGTGGTCTCCTGGAGGTCTCTGCGAAGGCATGGAGGGGGCAGTCAGGGCCCACCTTCCCCTTGGGGCAGGGCGTTCGTCAGAGTGGTTAGAGTTCAAGTCCCATCTCTGACACTAACCATGATGCCTTGGGCAAGTTACTTAACCTCTCTGTGCCTCAGTTTTCCCATCTGTCCAATGGGCATGACAATCACTGTCCCCACATCTCTGAGGTGGGAATGCTCTCAGGTAGCAGACGTAAGGACTGTCCCCATGGTTGGATAATGATATTGACCAGCACAGCCTTCACATCTCAGGCATCTCCACTGTGCTGGAACCCCACAACAGCCTCCCCACATCCTGCGGGTGAGAAACCACGGCAGAGAGGCTGAGTAACCACCTGGGCCCAGCTGGTAAAGGCCAGGGCTGGGGTCTGGACACAGCCCCTCCAAATTATCGGGTTTTTGTGACACTGCCTGACCCTCGCTTTGCAGAGGAGGGTACGTTCCAGGAGGTGAGGGGTGCCTGGGCAAGAGGCAGTGGTCTGGCTGGGAGCATGGTGACCAGGGGGAACACTCACTCAAGCTGCGTCATGTCCTCCACACCATCCTCCTGCTGCTGCTCGCGGAGCTGTGTGGACGGCAGGTTGCGGATGGAGTGCATCTGGAGGAGACACCAGCGGTCAGCTGTGCGTGCCCCCCCGGCCCCCATGGCCTGGACACAACCAGGACCCGCTCGCGTTTCAGGAGAGGGAACCCTGAGGCCAGGTTGGGTGGGTCCTGCAGAACCCCTGCCTCGGAATGCAACCCTTAGCCCAGGGACCCACGTCCGGCATCAGTGCTCCCACATGTTCCCAAGGGCCCTGCCCAGGAGGTGAGCACATGCCTGTAGGAGCAAGGCCTCCCGCCTCAAATGCTTCTGCGGCTGATCCTCCTCGCCAGGGTGATGCCCAAGTTGGCTTATGTGATGACTAGATAAACATCCATGTCTGCTGCCTGGGGCCCTTCGAAGGACCAGGACTTTCCCATTTGACACCGCACCCCATGACCAGCGCTGAGCAAACTCAGACCCACCCACACAGACCCGGGCTCAGTACTGCCTGCCACTCAGGCTCTCCCCCAGCCCCCGCAGTCTTGCAGGGTGCCTGTGGACATGCACGCTGGCCTCTGGTCCATAGATGGGGGCACACATGTGCAGCATATACTCTTAACCTCCATTTGACAGTTTCTCCTGTGTGCCATGTCCCCACATCTGGGGGTCTCAAAACAAAAGTCCCAATGCCCGCTCTGGGCAGCAGGGCCTCCTCTGTGCACATCTAGGGTGCACACTGGGCCTGAAGATGCCACGTCTGCCTGGGCCATGGCACATGCACTCATGTGCTCTCCATGTTTGGCTGTGCTGGGCCTGAGCACTTGTCCCAGGCCTGCACGTGACCCGCGTAACTGAGAGCACAGCTGGGCACCTGCCTTTCCTGCCTCTTGAATCCAGCCCACACCCCTCCACCCGAGAGGCGAGGAAAGGGGACACGGGAGGCGGCCCTCGTGCTAAGTAGGGCACACTAGGTATCACCCCAGAGGCCCTGGCCTCCCGCCCACCCACCTGCCCAGGTGCGCCAGCCACTCACATATTCCAGGGTGAGGAGGGCCCAGGCATCCTTGCCCCTGACCCCTGGGCGCCTCGTGCCCCGCTCCCGCAATGCCGCAGTCCACACGGCACGGGGCACCCGCCGCCGGGGCCAGGGTCCCCCCAGCAGCCAAGCCGCCCCAGTCGCCATGAATGGGCCACTGGCTGCCCACTCCACCAGGCCCCGTCTGCGGAGGCTGAGAAACACGCGGCCCCTGAATGCCCCGCCCACCCCAGGCGTTCCCCGGGGGAGGCTCCAGTGACCACCCCCCTCCACTGAAGGCTGCCAGCACAGAGCTCGCGTTCCGCCTCAAGCGTGGCAGCCAAGCACGGACTTGGCACCCCTCAGACAGACTGCCTGCCCCACACCCTACAGGGGCCTAGACAGACTCCTGGCTCAGCGTGAAACACTATGTGATCCCTGGGTCTTGGTACCTGCCTGCCCCGTGCAGTAAAGAGGCTGGAAACCTGTGTCCTAAGTCCTCACACTGAGACAGTCCAGAGCCCTGCAGCCCAGGAGACTGCCCTTAAGCAGGAGCCCCCAAGAGAGGAAAGACCCCAGTTTGGCAAGAGGAGCAGCATGTATGTGAATGGGGGTGGGACAGGGTGGTAGGCAGGGTCTGTAGTTTCATGCTCAGCCAAGATCTCTGCAGGGAGCTGGAGGTGGATGTGCATTCCAGGTCGGACAGGGACAGGGCTGCTTGAAGCCCAGGATGGACAAGATCCCTTCCTCCACATGACCTGCAAGGGGTTTCTGGCGTCTCTGTCCTCTTCTTGCCTGTGCCGGGCATCCAGCCCCTCATTCAACCCTCCAGAAGCTCCAAGAGGCTGTTCTCCCCAAGCTACAGATAGGAAGACTGAGGCCCAAGCAGGCAGCCGCTCTCCAAGGTCCTGAGAATGTCTCCTGCCCTGTTTCCCAGGAAGGAACCCCAAGCCCTCCCTCTCACCTGTGCCCCCATACCTTGCTCCACCAGCCTTTGGTGCCAACCTCTTCCGAGGGGGCCCCATGGGGCAGGCCGGCAGCTCCAGGGACCAGGCAACAGGAAAGGGAGCAGGTGGGTACTTGCAGCTGGGGTTGGTGGGCCTCCACAGGCAGCCAGAGGCGGCACCAGAGCAGACTCCAGGCTCTTGGCCTGGGGATGGGCTCTGGCTCCTGGGTCAGCTGGACAGGGGGCTGCAGAGGGGCAGGACCAGCTTGCTGGAAGGAACTCAGCTTCTGTACACGAGGCATGACCACTGCAAAACGCCCAGGACTTGCCTGGAGCCGTTCACCTGCCTTGGGCAGGGGTCCCAGGGCCACCGTGGGCGCCAAGGGGGCTGGGGCACTGGGCAGCGTCCCCCACCGGCGCCATGGTGGCCATGTGGCTCTCATCTGGTCAGAAGCAGCCAGTGGGTTGGAGAGACTGAGCCTCAGTGCTTTCCAATCTGAGGGAGCATCCTTGGAGGGTGTTGGGGCTGGGGGCTCAGGCTCTGTTGGTGTCTGGGCGTCCCCTGGGCAGGCCTCTTCTTCAGGCTTCTTGGGGCTGGGGCTGGCTGATTCGGTCAGCTGTCCAGGCCCTGGGTCCTGGTGTCTCCCCAGGAAAACGCGGGTTGAGTCAGAGGCTGGGTCTTCAGCCTGGAGAGCAGGGGAGGGCACTGGGCCCCCGCGCTGGAGTAAGGAGCTTGAGGGCACAGGGGGTGGCCTGGAGAAGCCACGGAGATTGCCAGGGCCTCCGGGCCAGGGTGAGGGTGGACGCTGGATGGCAGGCATGTCCACGTCCCAGCTCGGGGCCAGCGGGGGCATCGTCCAGGGTGTCTCTGAGTCCTCGGTCTCGCCCTGGCTCTCTGGGCGCTCAGGGGCAGCAGCAGCCGCCTGCCAAGACCCAGGACCCTGCTGCAGCAGGAAGGGCTGGCGGGGCCGGGGCTTTATGGCCCTGGTGGGCGGCTCACTGAGGCGGCGCCACGTGCGCGGGAGGCGCGAGGGTAGGTTGAGCGAGCGGTGCCGCGGGCGGGGACCCAGCAGAGGGGGCGTCGAGGGCGGCGTCGGGGGGGCCAGCAAAGGTGAGCGGAGTGCACCAGGGCGTGGCGAGGCTCGGCGTGGGGATGGGGGCTCCCGCAGCGAGCGGGGACGGCGGGGTGGTGGTGAGAAGGGCGGCCGGAAGGGGACGGCACGGATGGAGGGCTGTGGGGACAGGGGCCCCAGGGGTGAGCAGTAGCCCAAGCCAGGCCGGCTCCTCAGTGAGGGTCGGGGCGAGGGTCCAGGGAAGCCGAAGGCAGCCCCCCGGCGGCGCGAGCCCCTGAAGGACGGCCGTGGTCCGGGGAAGGCCAGTGGGTCGGGGAGCCCCTCGGGGATCAGGGGTGGGGGCTCTGCCCAGGCCCACCAACTGGCCTGGGGTGGGAGGGGCACGTGAGCCGGGGCGGCCCAGGGTGGTGGGTGCAGGCGGAGGGAGCTGTAAGGCGAGACTGCCGGGGGCAGGCCCGGGGCCAGGCCGAGGGTTGGAGTGGGCGCTGGGCCGGGGCCGGGGCTGGGGCCCAGACGCGGGGTGTGCGGCGGGGTCGAAGGGCGGTGGGAGTTGTTGTTGTGTGCGCGTGCTTGCGCCCTACGCAGCACGATGGGTGTGCTGGGCTGCTCGGAGTCCATGCCCGCCAGCTTGTAGCCGAAGCGCTTGTAAGCTGCCTCCCTGACCGCCGGGCCTCGCGCCCGGGCCTTCTGGTTGCCCCTGAACCGCGGGATGGGCTCCTTTTCTGACAGGGTGTTTTTGAGGAACCGCGCCAGCGAGGTGGCCGGGCGTGGTGCGGGACGGCCGAAGTCCGGGCTGAAGCCCAGGCCCCGGGGGCCGCCGAAGGCCGAAAGGGCGCGCTGGAGGTGGCGCTGGCGCGACGTGAGGAAGCCCCAGAAGGGGTGGCCGTAGGGCACCGGGGACAGCGGCGGCATTTCGTCCTCTTCCTCGTCTTCATCTGCATCCCCCAGGGGCAGAGGGATGTCCAGGGAGGGCGGCAGGGGCACCTCCAACTTCTCCTTCCCGAACAGCTTCACTTGGGGCCGCGGGAAGAGGCGGAACCTGCGGATGAGGGACAGCTTGGACCTGGCAGGTTTGTCCATGCCCTGCTGCTCGAAGAAGGCGGCGCTGGGCAGGCGGAAGGAGGTGCCCGGCTGTTCGCTGCCTGCCTCCTCGGGCTCCTCCAGCTCCGCTATGTCATCCATCGGGTGGGCGTATGGGTTGTGGGGTGACAGAATGGGTGGAGGCACCCACGGGTACGCGAAGGCCGACTGCTGGGGCGGAAGATAGGGCTCTTCGGGGGGATAGATTGCCTGGGCCCCACCGTAGGTGCCTTCCGCGATGGGGACATGGTAGGGCTGCGCGTAGGGATCCAGGTGGGGCACCCCATAGGGATCCAGGTGGGGTGCAGCATACGGGAGTTCGTAGGCCAGGTCGTAGGGTGGGTACGGCGGGTAGAGCGCCTCGGGCGGGGCGTAGGTCTCCGGGTAGTAGCTGTGTGGGTGCACCTCGCCCGCATAGGCGTCGTAGTAGCCGTAGGGAGACGCGAACGTCGACGGGGGCGCGTAGGGGGGCTCGTAGTCGTCGTAGCCGTAGCCGAAGGTGTAGTCGGGGTAGAAGGAGCTGCCGTAGTAGTCGGGGCTGTAGTAGTCGTAGGGGTCCTCGGGCACGTACCGGTGCGCGTAGTCGTAGGGCGGCCAGGCTGGGCCGTGGGGGCCATAGGCGTCCTGGAGGGGCTCCTGCTCCTCCTCGTACCGGTACAGCGATTGCTGGTCGTAGTAGTCATCGCCCTCGCGGTGGTAGTCGTAGTATTCGCCCAGGTCCTGGAAGCCCTCAAGCCCGTACAGCGACCTGCGGGAGCCCGAGTGCCGGAACGGGGCCTCGTCCTCAAAGGGCAGGAAGCCCACGGGCTCGCCCGACGCGTAGATGCTGTGGGCGCGCGGAAACCGGCGCAAGCGGCCTCCCGGCCGCAAGATCTCAGCGCCCGACGGGAAGGGCAGCTTGCGCGAGCCCACGCGGGAGCCGGAGCGGTCCAGCCAGGCGTCTAGCGTGGCCTGCGTGCTGCCTGACTCCTCGGCCTTCTTGATGAGGAACTTCTTAGTGAGCCAGTTGATGGCCGTGGACGCCTTGCTGAGCGATTGGGCGCGCGGGCGCAGGCGGCCGTAGCCTCGCCGTCCGGGGAAGCGGATCACCATGAAAGACGGCTTCTTGCCCTTCATGGCGCGCTTCTTCTTGCCCACGCGCATCTGCGTCATGAGCTTCGAGGTGGATTTGAGCACGGTGCGCGCCTTCTTCTTGCGTTTGGTCTTCTGGGGGCCTGTGTGGAGGCCCCAGAAGAAGGCTGAGGCGCTCCGGAACTGGCCCTTCTTGGAGATCTTGGGCGTGCGGTCTCGGAATCCCATGAACAGCCGCGACGTCCCCTTCAGGCTCCGCTTGGGCTTCTCCGGCTCCGGTGCCTTCTTCCCCTTCTTCCCTTTCTTGGCTTTCTTCTCATCCTCGTCTTCCTTTGCCATGGTGGTCACCTGCTCCCTCCCAGATCGTCTGGTGTCAAAAGCTCAAGACCTTGGGGATACGGGGACCTGCCAAGTGTCCTGCCTGTGGCTGGACATGCAGCCTCCTTTGACTCAGAGCAGCTGGGACTGGTCCTGTGGCCTGGGAAGGTTCAGCCAAGCTCCTTCTGGCCGGGACCAGGATTTCAAGGGGGCACATCCATAATTCATCTCCTCCGGGCTCCTCCTAGAGTTTCACCCTCAAGGCTGGTGGAAAGTGCCTGGGTGTTATTTACTGGAAGCGGGGGAGGCCTGGCAGGCCCATGCTGGGGCAACAACTTGGCCTTAAAATCTCCACAGGGAGAACCATGCTGACCCCAGTTGAGCCCTCCCCAAGCCTCTGCCGACCCACCCACAGAAGTGAGCGCTTGGGTCAACTGGGCCCCAGAGAGGGGGAGCCTCCTGCCCTAAACCACACAGCAACTCTGTTCTGGGCCACAAATGGAGCCCCATCTCCTGAGCCAAAGCCAGACGTTTAAAGGCCAGCAAGTAACCCTGGAGGGGAAGCTGGGACCCTCCAGGTCCTAGGTAAGGGAGAGGGATGGTGGGCAAGGCAGGTGCTCAGGACTGCTGTCATTGTAACCAGAGCTGGCCAGCTCTCAGTAGTGTGAATAATTTATTGGGGGAGAACCAGGCTGCTGGCTCAGAAGGCAGGGCAAGAAGGAGGCATCTCAGTTCCAGCAGGGCTTGGTGGGGCCCCATGCCTGGCCAGGGCAAGGGGTGCAGAGGAGCAAAAGCAGAGGGTGGGTGGGGCCTGGCTCTGGCCCCAGCTCTGCCGCCAACGGGCTGTGTGGTTTCGGGAGAGCCCTGTCTTCCCTGGGCCTGTTTCCTCCTTTGGAATGAGTGATGACCCCACCCTGTCTTCTTCACAGAGGAAACAAGATGTGATGGAGCTGCTGGGCAGCATCCCTGACCGGGGGCACCATGCGTGTGGCCTGTGTCCCAGGCCCCTTCCTGGCCCTGCCACTCCTCCTGGTTCCTGCCGCTGCTGAGACAGCCCTGTGGCCCCCCTCCAGGTATAGCTGATTCCTCCAGGGTGGCCACTTGACCCAAAGCCATGTGCCCATTGTCTGGCCGGTGACCAGTCCACTTAAAAAACCCGCACTATGAGAGTCAGGGGCTGAAGCTTGTTAGATGAAGGGGGCCAGGGGAGAACTTAGGGGCCGCACCCCTGGGACCCAAGACCTGGGTAGTTTCTTCCCTCCCCCACCTCTGCCCAGGAATCGAGGATCAGGGCCTGGGGAACTGAGGACAGGTTTCCAGCTAACGTCAGGCTCTCCACTCATTGGACTTCAGTTTAGTCCTCGGACCCCACAGCCAACTCTGTGATCATCCTAAGATTTTCCTTAGAGACCCTGGGGCAGAGGTGCTCTGGCCCTGGGCCTACCACTTACCGACCCTTCGGAGCCTCAGTTTGCTCAGCTATGAAATGCAGAGAGGCCCTTCTCAGACAGGAGAGGAGCCAAGAGGTGGGTGTGTGAGCAGATGCGCCCCCTTCCTCCCCTCCTCTGACTCCCTCTGCCCCATCGCTTCCTTCTCTGCCTCTGCTTTTCCTCCCCCAAGACTCACCAAGAGCCCTTTGGTGCCCAGCAGTTCAGGGGATGGTGTCGGGGGCTGGGCCAGGGGCTGCTGGTGCCCCCAGGGAGTGGGAACCAGAGCAGCCAGGCAGCTTCCTGGGGGGCACACGGGAACTGGGCCCCCACAGGGTGGGATCTCAAGGGGGCATCCACCCCCATCTCCTCCTCTGGTGCTGTCTCCCCCCACCTCATTTTGGGCTGTGGCTGCTGCCCACTGGAGAGGACATGGAGCAGGGGTTCACTTTGAACCCAGACAGGCCAACACCCTGCCCCCCACTGCTTCTCCCGGAGGTGGTTTCCAACTGAGACCCTAGCCACTGTTTTCCCATGAGGGTCTCACAACAGGCTGTGGTGGGGGGATCATCCACTCCACTCTCCAGATGAGGAAACAGAGGTGAAGTGACTTGTTCAAGATCAACCAGCTAGGGACGGTGGAACTGGGCTCCGACCAGGTCTGGTGGTCCAGAATCACCCTTCTTAATAGGTGACCCTTGCCTCATGGCTCTTGGGTGCTCAGGCTATCATGTGGCGGGGGAAGCTCCAGACACTGGGTGGAAGCAGGGGCTCAGCTGGCCTTCCAGGTCTGGGGCCGAGGGCCCAGTGCCAGTGGGAGTTGCCCGGGCCCTATCCCTGCTCCCCCAGACCCCTCCTCAGCCTGGCCCCAGTCCCTCGGCACAGTGAACACTGGCTTGTCTGTTCATTCACTGGTTGAGAAGTGTTTGCTGGAAGCCTGTCCCGCACCAGGCGCCATTTAAGCACTGGGGACACAGCTAAGAAAACAGAAATCTGCCCTCATGGAGCTGACATCCTGGGCAGCAAATAAGGTGAGTGAGTGAAAGATACAGGCAGTCGGATGGTTTGAGTGTTGGTGTTGAAATAATGCAGGGAGGCAGCACCAAAAGGGGCCTGGGCAAGGTACCTCAGAAATGATACCCAGGATAAGAACTGCAGGAGGGGAGGGAGGGAGGGAGGCCTGGGGGGAACATGGTGGTCCTGACGTGTTGGAGGAGCAGCAGGGCCAGGGTGACAGAGCACAGTGAGCAGCAGAGGTGGGGGTGGGTTCGGAGGTCATGGGTGAGCACTTGGCCAGAGCTGTGGCAGAGAAGAGGCGGAATCGGACCTCCATGGTCTTCACAGAGTCCCTCCAGCCACTGCAGAAGCTGCTGTGGGAGCCACCGCAGTGGTCCAGGTGGGCAAGGCTGGGGCGGTGCAGAGGACAGAGTCGGGGGTGCCGGTGTGTTTGCAGGTGGAACCAAGAGTGCCTGCCAGGGTCCCTCACTGAACCGGGCGGGAGAGTGGAGGCAGCCAGCAGACAAGGCTATGGGCAGAGCAGGCAGGGACTGGACATCAGCCCTGCGCATGGAGGTCTGGGCCATCCACTGTCTGGGGAGCTGGCAGGAATTGCATGGATCAGAGCTGACAGCAGCCGTCAAGTCAGTGGCGTCTGGGTGGTGCCAAGGTCGCAGCTTGGCAAGACGGCACTGGGGTGGGGGTGTGCGGAGGAGAGGCCCCAGCAATGAGCCTGGGGCTGCGCTGCTAGGGACCGAGCTGGTGGCAGAGACCAGAGGGAGGTGTGGGGAGACCCTGCGTCGGTGTCACCCAGGCCACCTCCTCAGAGCAGACGGGAGCCATGGCCTGGAGCAACTGTATTTGTGGTACTAATGGTAGGCTGCCTGGCTCTGTGTTCGTCAGAGGGTCCCTCAGCTCTGGGAGCAGACAGTGCCCCAGTGCCCATGCTTACATACAGTCGAGGGGCCCAGGGAAGAGGCCACATGACTCGCTGTGTCAGACCCAAGATGGGAATGGGACTGACCCAGAGCTCTGAGCCATCCCCAGAACCCCTGGGGTCCCTCTCTGAGAACATGGGCTCTGCTATGGCTGAGCTGGCCTCTCTGAACAACAGTCTCTTCATCTGGACAGTGGACTTTGGAGCCCAAGGATGCCTACCTGAGGTTCCCTGCTGCCTGGCAAGTCAATGGCCGCAGTCCAGTGCGGGACTCCCAGACAAACACCAAGCTGCCAAGGACACCCAGCATGGACAGGCAGAGGTGTGGCTCCAGGAGGGATCCCTGGGCCCCTTTCCCCACCTCAGTCTCCTCAAATTTCATGTGGAACTGGGGGCAGAGTGGCACCCTATAGCCTCTGAAGGGGGCTTTCTAGCTGTTGAGGGTCCCGCCTCTCTCTCAGGGTCCCCAGCCTTGGCCACAGTCAAAGAGCGGCTGTCAGGGAATAAGTCTCGTTCATTCACGTGTCACCTGCCACCTGCCAGGCACCGTGCGGGGCAAGGGGCCACAAAGTGGAGCAGAACCAGGCACAGCCTCCACCCTCCCACGGCTCCCAACGTCAGGGGTATACAGACATTAAGCAGAAAGCCACACCAGTAAGGAGGGACTGTGACCTTGGGAAGAGCTGCGAAGGCCAGGCTATGACGCGGGGTGGGGGGAGGGTGTTGGATGCTGCAGGGGAAGCCTGGAGGGCCCCCTGAGTTGCTCTGAACCAAGATCTGTGAGATGAGGGAGCAGTTCAGATGGAAGAAGGAACAATTTTCAGGCAGATGGAATAGCATGCGCAGAGACCAGGTTGCAGGAGGGATGGAATGAAGTGGAGTGCAAGTGAGAAGTGGCCAGGATGGCAGGTGGAGGAGCCGGGTGAGGCTGGGGGCTGGGGCGGGACCGTGAGCCCTCCAGCAGTGGGGGACACGGCTGGGCTCTGAGCTGTTGGCGTGCTGCAAGCGTATCTGTGTTCTCAAAGTGAAAGTGACCAAGTGTGCTGAGCTGTACTACGTGCTGGGCCCCACATCTCACACCTCCCCCACGTAGATGCAGGTCTGTAATGGGTCTCAGGGAGATTTGGTCTCTGAGCTTTGGACCCCTGGCTGCAGAGTATTGGGGGCCACTATGTGGAGACGGGGTGCAGGGACGGTGGCTGGGCCTTGGTTGGCTCTGGTAGGGGACATGCTCAGGTCAAGTGGGCAGCCCTAAAGATGGCCGTGTGAGCTGGCCTGGGGCCCTAGGCAAAGTGGGAGGTGTGGGGAGATGACAAGTCTGGTCTGGGAAGCAAGAGGTGTGGGGGGTGACCGTGGGTCCAGGTGGAGAGTCAAGGAGGAGGACTAGGTGGGTGTTGGGGCTCCTCCAGCCCCAGGGACACCTCCCCAGCACAAGGCTCTATGAGGGGCCAGGTCATGCTGACCTAGCCTCACGCAGACTGGACAGCATAACTCTGCTGACCACAAATCCAGAAGGCCCAGGGCCCAACATGGACACTCAGACTGCCCCAGAAACAAGCCCCCCATGTGGAGGGACGTGGGGGGCCACTGACCACAGCCCCAGTCATGCCTCCCAACCAGACACTGGCCAGGGACACCCGGACTTCTGGCCTCATCCCCATCCTTCCCCAGCCCAACTGTGGAACAGACAGGACTGGAGGTGACCCCTGTGAGCCCAGGGCCCTTCCCCACATGTGAGGCAACCATCACCTGGGCAGAACCCCTCCTTTGGGACCTCGTGGCAGGGGAGGGGGTTGAAGTGAGCAGCCCACCATCAAGAGAACTGCACTGGGCCTTGAGCATCACACATGTCTCACAGATGAAGAAAGCGAGGCCAAGATGGACCTCACAGTGCGTCAGGGCAAGGCCCCAGCTCAGCCACTGCGTCCCCCTACCCCTGCACCCAGGGGGCTGGGGGCAGACCCCAAGGGCCCAAGCCAAGTCACCTTACCTGGGTCCTGTGGCTCGCTCCCTGCCCGCATGCCGGCTGATGGGGGGCCTGTGGCCAGGCCCCAACAGTGCGACCGCCAGTGGAAAAGCTGTCCTGGGAGAGAAGCCCAGCCCACCCCGCTGCCCGCCTGGGCCCCATGCATATTTAATAATGTCCATTATTCCTGTTTTGTCACTGGAAAGGAGCCTGAGCAGCTGACAGAGGAGCCAAGAACAGCAGGGAGAGCAGAGCAGTGGGCCTGCTCCACGCTCCAGCCCCTCCCCAGACCCCCTGAGGCTCTGTCCCTACCTGCCAGCCAGCACTGGGCTGTCCCCCAAGTGTGTTACCATCCCCCCGATCCCTGGGAGGGCCCCTCCACCCTGCCTGCAGAAGCAGCAGGAGCCAACCCGTTCTCACTGCAGAGCTTCCCGGGGGTGTTGGCCACCCTCCTGGGGCAGAGCCTTGCAGAAGCCCCCACTCCCCCTCGACCCCGTACCCCCAAGCCCAGGCTCCACCCACTCACTGCTGCCTCTGACTCTCAGCTGGCAACTGAGTTCTGCAAACTTAACACGTCCTAGTAAACAGGAATCGTGGTTACCTTTTTATTTCAGAAAGGAGAGCCAAGATTTGGGGAGGGAATGGGGTTCAGAGAGAAAAGAGTCCAGACTCTGAACTCCCCACCTTAGGGGTATCAACCAGGCTGGGTCCTGGGTTTTGTGCTGGGCAGGGGCTGCCCTGAGAAGGGGTGACCCTTCTGGACTGGTCAGGCCGTGGAGGGCGTGAACTGTGCCTTTAAAGCCCCAGATCTCTGGTTTTTATCACAGGGCAGTCCTGGGTGGGTTTGCGGTAGGGATGGGTGTTTGTCTGGGGCGGCCCCCTCCCTAAGAACCAGAGAAGCTAGCAGGAGCTGAGAGGCCCCCAGGACACAGGCAGGCCTGGGTCCCCGCCCGCACGGAGCCAGCTTCTGCATGGGCCCCAGCGCAGGGAGCTGGGCAACCACCTCCCTCTGCACCAGGAGTGGGGTGGGCACAGGCCCAGGGACCCACATTCAGGACCCCTTCGGGGCTCATCTCACAGGAAGCACCCCGGCCGAGTCCACCCAACCTCATCCTCCACCCAGTGAGTTCCTTATCATCTGCCCACTGAAGAAATGCGGAAACAGCAGACATGAGCCCCCTTCCCAGGGTGTGTGTATTCTGCTGGTTTGGGCTCCAGTGAGTCCCACGGGTGGGGGTGGGGGGCGCTACTTCTTGACAATCTGGATGACGTCCTCGTGCTCCATGGTGTGTGTCAGGCCCACCCGCTGCGGGCTGTACTTGGTGCTGGTGCCCTGGGGGGTGAGGGGGCGCTTGTCAGCCTCTGAAGCACCTGGCTGAGGCTGCACGGGAGAAGGGTGGGGCAGTGCTGGGGTCTAAAGTGGGGGTCCCAGCACAGGCAAACCCTGCAGCTTCAACAGCAGGACTCCCAGGAGTCAGACCGCCCTGGATCCCAAAGCAGGAGGCCCGTGTCTGGTCTGGGTCAGCATGTGTACTGTACATCTGGACAGCAGGACTGACGGACACCTTGGTCCCCATGTGGGAGGACAGGGGCACCTGCCTGACTCCAGGGCCGCCCTGCCCGAAACTCACCCACACAAGCGCATACTTGAACTGGCTGGCGAGTGACCGGTGGATGCGGTGGCACTGGGGGAAGGGAGAGTGGGACAGTGAGCCTCGTGAAGCCTCAGCTCACAGCCACTCAGATGTTCCCGCTTCCAGGGCACCCGCGGGCTGTGGGGCCACAGGAGGACCCAGGTCCTAGAAGAGGCCCTCTGCCCCCCATGCCAGAGCGGCAGCCCTGACAGCTGCTCCCTCAGATGGGCAAGCATCCCAGGGAGCGAGGCCCTGCAGGGCAGGCCTCCCTGGGCCGAGACCCAGGCCCCTCTGCAGCAAGCCTCGCCCCTGCGCCCTCCGTGCCAGCTGGCAGCACACGGCCCACACCCCACGGTTGCTCCTGCCTCTGGGTCTCTGTACCTGCCACCCACTGCCTGAAACACCCTTCTGCTCCCAGCTTCTCTGCTTTCCTTTCTGGCATGGCTGAAGCCCCACAACCTCTGGAGCTGGTGGCCAAGGGCCTGAGAGGGTTGGGGTTTGTGCCCACAGGAGATGCAGGGGGCAGCGTCAGGGAGGGCCAGCTCCCAACGGCACCTGGGTCAACAGGCTGCGGCCCCACCCCTTGGTCACTGCAGTTCCCCCCGTGTGGGACTGTTTAGCTCTGGGGTTGGGGGACTGGAGTCTGCCAACCACAAAGTACCCCATTCTGGCAGGCAGTGGTGCTCCTTTGTTAAGCACAGACTCTCCCTGGTGAGGGGGTGCAGGAAACATTCAGTCCCCTGGGGTAGTGGGCACGTGGAAGGGCCAGCATTTGGGGTACACGACTTGGAATGAACCACCCGGAATTGCCCAGGGTGGCAGCTTTCCTGACTGAACATTTGGATGGCCCCGAGGATCTGGCAGCTCTGATGTGACAGGATGGTGACGACCACTGCTTCCTGGGCATCCCTGCGCCGGGCAGCAAGCCTGTGCCCAACCTGTGGATGCTGCTCCACGCCCCTGACTACAGCTGGGTGGTGGGATGCACGCCCAGTGCCTGACTGCACGTGGCTGAGGGTCGGCCGAGGGCCCGGAGGACATCAGACAGGACCCCGAGGGGACAGGAGGGGCTCCCCACCCCTGGCCCAGGCAGGTCTCACTCACCACGTGCTCCACAGAGGCCCCCTTCCGGAGAATGATGGCGTCCGTGAAGTCCGGCCTCTCTGCACGGGTCGGGGGGTGGGTGGGAGTCAGCAGAATCAGGGTGCGATGCCACAAGGCTCCTCTTTACAGGGAACGAGGGCCCTTCTACTCTCCACCGACTGCCCCCCTACTCTCCGGCACACCCTCACTAAGAGTCCCAATCAGGCAGGCTCTACAGCCTCGACTCGACACGGAAAAGCAAAACACACCCCCGTCCCGGTGCAGACCCCTGCAAGACTGTCAGCCATGAGAGCCCTGGCCAAGGGGACCCACAGGAGAACCTGGGCTGGACCAGCTCCAGCCAGGCAGCTCATCTCCCTCTGCCGACGCAAACTGCCCAGACTCAGCTGTGAGGTGTGTGCTCAGGGGTGGGACTTGGGGGAGGCTCCTGTGCTACTGGGTCCCTAAAGCTTGGATGTGGGGCCTGTTACCGCGGGGGAAGTCACTGCTGGGCAGCCTCCCCCTCAGCGCCCCCTGGAACTCAGCTTCCTGTGCTACTAGGGCCCAGGTAGAGGATGGTGCTGGCTTGGAAACAGGAGACACTCTCACATGGAGCCTGCTAGGCCAGGGTCAGCAAAAGGGGGAGGGCGGCTGCACCGGACTCACGGCCTCTCTTCTTGGTGTAGATGCAGGTCAGGGCCAGGTACTCCCACAGCATCTCCAGCAAATAGTCCAGGTTCAGCTTCATGCCGCAGCTGCCGGGAGGAAGGAGGGGTTGGTCAGAGAGGCCCTGGGGCTCCTGGTACCAGGCTAGTATGGCCCTGATGGTGCTCAAGGCACCGACAGCTCTTCAGCCGCCATGCCTCCCGTCACCATCATGCTCCTGCCCACAGAACCCAGCCATCTCTCTGGCGCTGTTGGAGGGGCCCAGGGTACTTGTGACCACCAGGGCAGCTGGGGGCAGAGGATGACTGCACAGAGCCCTACCCCCTGGCAGCCCAGCAGGGGTTTCAGCAGTGGGGTGGGCCCTGGCTTGGTCCTGCCCTCCCCTGAGGTGAGAGTGAGCACATCAGGGTGGCTGGCGGCCCGGGTGTGGCAGTAAGAGGGGAGCAGGTGTCCTGAGGAGTGACCCCCGTGCCTGCTGCTCTCTATGGATGCTGGGGATGCCCAGGTCGTGGGCCCAGACCACCTTCCTGGTCCCCGAGGTCTTAACTCCTCAGAAGCCAAGCCTCACTGTGGTGCTACAGAGAGTGTGGGTGGAGTCAGTGGGCGGCGGGGGGTGGGGCATGAGGCCAGGCTGCCCCCACAAGGCCCCTGCAGCCATGCTAAGCCAGGGCGCAAGTGGCCCCCGGGACTCACTCCTCAGAGAAGCCCCACCTGAGGATGTTGGGACCTCTCCCTTCTGGTGGAGATGACAGAAGCCATGTCTCTCAGGGCCTCAGCAGCAGCGGGCTACAGCCTGGGGCTCCCTGGTTAACTAAGCCATGAAGCCCTAACCACTCTCACCCTGAACCTCGGTGGATGAAGTCCTGTTTCCTGAACCAGAGCTCACCCCACATCACCCCGTCCCAACCTGGTCAGCGTGGGACCCAGCCCAGGTCACAAGCAGCCCTAGGACGGCCTTCTGCCTTGGGCTACACAGAGGCCAGACACATTGGCTCTGCTCAGCCTCACCTGATGACCACGCTGTCGGGTTTCCGGGCCAGGCGGTCCACTTCCTCCATCGAGATCTGGTCAATCTTGTTATAGACCTAGGGTTGGAAAGGCAGAGGGTGCTGGGGAGGGGAGGAACAACGCTGTGTGGGACCAGACCCCACCTGCTGCCTCAGGGAGGGGGAGGGGGGTGCAGCGGAAGGGGCCTGAAGTCTGGCCCCTAGAGACCAGGCTGCACGCCAGGGTCAAGCTGGGTGTGCCTGCATGACTCAGCGGTCCCCAGGGTGAGGCTCTTGCTAGGCCACCCGGGGCAGGGATTCCTCCTCCCACAGGGCCTGGTGCCACTTACATACAAGCACGGCATGTACACGCGGTTGCCCACAATCACGTCTATGAACTCGTCTGGGGAGCAGTCTTCTCGGAAGAGCACCTCGGCATTGAAGATCTCTGAGGGGCTCAGGTTAAGGATGACCTGTTCACCAGCAGCCCCTCACCCCCACCCCCACCAGGAGGGCCCCAAACAGGCGGTCTGCATCAGCTGCCCTGCCCCCACCCTTCTGGTGAGGATGCTGTACTCGTGCAGGATCAACTGCACCAGCTTCTCTGAGCACTGGGTCAGCGTGACCGTGGAGTTGAAGGAGATGCCGCCTCCTTTCTTGGGCTGGAGGAGAGAGGAGGCACCACTGACGGAGGGGCAGCTGCAGCCCCGCCCTACCCCATGTGCTGATAGCCTAGCCCCCAGCTCGCGCCCAGGTGACAGGTGATGGGCCTCACCTTGAAGTAGATGTTAGGCTTGTGCTTGTTGAGGCGGATGCCCACCGACTCCAGCTCCTTCTCCAGCAGAGACCTGGTGGAGCCCCACGGCCTTCACAGGGATCCTGGGCAGGCTGCACTGCCTCCACATCACAGTCAGCCTCCCACCCCATACCTGGACAAAGACCAGCCTTCCGCCCCACACCACCAGCTCCCGAACATCACTTCCAGCCACCAGAGATAACGAGGAAGAGCCTCGGAAACACTGGCCAGCCCAAGGGGAGATGGGCTGGTGTGCCCTCAGCCGGTCAGGGCGTGAGCAAGGCTCTGCTGCTTGGGGCTGGGCTCCTGGTGGCTTCTGGGCAGCACTCGGCGCACCTAGCCGGCACAGCACAACCCCAGCCTCCACACACAAGCCTCTGGAGAAGGCCACCCACACTGGGGGCCGCTGTGGACCACCCTGCCCCTGCTCTCATGTGTAACAGGGCCAAGTGCCCCTGGACCAGCCACCAGGAGTTCAGGGACACAAGAGCTGCAGCCAGCGTCTCGCCATGCACCCCAGGGCTTCCCTGGGCGTGCCAACCTGCCCCGCCCCACCACATACCTCTGAACCTCGCCCTTGGTGGCGTCCAGCATCATGATGACGACGTCAGCTGTGCGGGCCACAGCGATCACCTGCCGGCCACGGCCTTTCCCTGGTCAGGAGGGGGGGACGGGTTACAGTGAAAAGCGCAGGGCTATGGGACCCCCAGCCCAGGGTGCCCAGACTCCCTCCCTTACAGACCCAAAAAGACTTGCCATCTGTCACCCTGGAGCAGGCATGTCTCTTAAACCCTGTCCTACTCATAGAAGATGTGAGTTTTAGGAGGAAGCCGACATCAGCACCTGGGGAGGAGTAGTGCTCTCCACTGCACCCCTACCAAGGGCTGAGCCTCCACCCCCACCCCCACCATCCACTCCTGCCCCTACCTTGTGCCGCGCCTTCGATGATTCCAGGGAGGTCCAGGAGCTGGATGTTGGCGCCTTTGTACTAGAAAGTAGGAGAGGAGTGAGGGGGAGCCGGCGGGCTGGGAAAGGCCCAGCTGAACCTGGCTCAGCCCCAGGGCCAGGTCTGAGCCTTGTCCCACCCCAGCCAGCCCAGTGCAGACCATGTCCTGAGAGTGGAGAGGCCTCCTGGGAGGGGCCCACAGCAGTCACTGCTGGTGGTAACAGTGCTTCAAAGAAACCACCTCACAGGGTAGGTGAGGTGGCCTACCTGTGGCCTTGGACCAAGTCCTGTGGCCTTGGACCCTGGGTGTCCAGAGCTACAAAGCTTCACGGAGAACAGGACCTGGCTGGCCAGCCTCAGGGAACCTGGGAGGGCTTCACACTGGCAGACCCTTGGAAACAGCCTGGACTGCAGGATGGGCCAGGCGTCTCTGGGGTCCCGGCAGGCCCAGTTCCCAGAGGTGTCCATGCTTGAGGCCAGGGCAGTTCAGCCAAGAGCCTCCCTCCCAACCCCCTCCCCCTCCCACACACAAGCTCATCCTTTCTTCCGGGACCCAGCAAACCCCAACTTACTTCAATGACCCCAGGGATGCAGGTCAGGGTTGTGAATTCATAGGATGCAGCCTCGCTGGCGGTGGAGGTCATCAGACTTAAGAAGGTGGACTAGGAGAGAGGAGGCCATTCCAGCGGGAGTCGTGCCCTGCCTCCTGAAGAAGCCCACGCACTGGGGGACCACCCCCCCATCACCCTGGCTGGGGTGTGATGACAATAGCTGCAAAAGTCACCTCGGGCCCTGCTCAGTGGGAATTGGACATCAGAGGGCCCTTTTGTGCCCAAGACCTCAAGCCTGTCTCAAGTGAGGGACACAGGGACCTGGTTCCTAAGAGGGTTCCCGCTCTGTATCAGGGCCCGTCCCCAGCTCCATGGAACCCCCAGACCCTCCTGGGCCTGGCAGACTTGAACTGGGTGACAGCCCCATGGCACAAAGCTGCTACTCCAGTGAGAGCAAAGAGAGAGGGATCCTCCAGCTTGAGACAGCTGACTGTGGGGGAGGGTGAGTGGGAAAGGGTCTGGATGGACCCTGAGTGTGGACTGAGAGACCTGGCCTTCAGTCCATCTCTGCTGGAGGACCCTGGACCTCCTCCTGATCCCAACCTCATGAAGGAGGTAATAAAACGGGGAGCACGATGACCCCAGTGATAGACGCTGTGCCAGAGGCCAGCAAAGCAGTGGGAAGTGCCAAGAAGGCAACCTGGCCTGGCAACTCCATCCTAGTCAGCAGGAAGCCAGGAACAGCTCACTCACACCCTCAGGCCCCCAGAATGGGGCTTGTGAAAGAATCACAGTCACACACTCTCCACACAGGATGCCTCTTAGAAACTTCAGGAAAGATAAAAACCTGGTGGTGCAGACAGGTGTGAGCAGGCAGGCAGCCATGAGAGTCACTGTTGCCAGAGGCCAACCTGGGGAACATCCTTGAACCCGCCTGACCCCTGCGGGGCGGGGGGGGGGGTCTGGGCTCTCCTGTGCTCAGGGCTCTGACTCCCAATAGGGCCCAGGCCCCAAGAGCATAGCCCCTGGTCACTAGAGTGGCTCCTTCCAGCCTGGGCTTCTCATCTGGGAGAGAATGCCTTGCAGATTGGAAAATAAGATTGAGGGAAAAGAGTAAGATGAATGAGTCCCCAGCAATGTTCAAGGAGTCGGAGCCTGGCTGTGCTCACTGGCCGCCTGCCTGGGGGCAGCTGGGCACCGAGGTTGCACCCGGCCAGTTCAGGGCCTCATCGCCACCCATCCTCCCCCTCCTGCCACTGTTGCTGCGCCCCGGGCCCCACCTGGGCTTGTGAGCTTACTGTTCCTTCCGCCTCAAGGTCCACTCCTCAGGGCTCAAACACCTGCTCACAGAGCAGTCACCCCAGCTCCCAAACCTGCCCTTCCCGCTCTCCTGCCCCCCACTTCCCAGCTCGGGGGCTCTGAGGGAGCAGGGAACAGAGCATGCCTGGCATGTGGTGCACACTCAGTAAACGAGGCCTAGGCCGAGGCCAAGGCCAGCAGAGCCTCTCTGACTGGGAGGTGACAACATCCCCGCAGGGCTGACAAAGGGGTGCGGCCTGACTCCGGAGAGGCTGGCTCTCCTCCGTCTGTGGAGTCGACTCAGAGGCAGGGAAGAGGTGCACCCGAGTGGGAGCGGAGACAAGCTACCTTCCTCCTGAGGCCCACGCTGCCCATCACTGACCTTACCCACAGAGGGAAATCCGATCAGTGCCACACGGGCATCGCCTGACTTCATGACATCAAAGCCCTCTCCTTTGGACGAGGACGATTTGGATGGTTCCAGGAGCTGGGCCCGATACTTGGCAAGTTTGGCCTTCAGCAGACCAAGGTGGTACTCGGTGGCTAGAAGACAGAGCACAAGACGGGAGGTAAGTGTCCATGGCGGGCTGGGAGGGACCCATATGCTCTGAATGCTGGCCGGGAGGCCCCAGAACCAGGCAGCAATCGTCGTCAAGGAGATCAGAGGAGAAGAAAACCACCGCTCAGTTACAATGCCCTTGGCTTTTCACTTAACTTAGGACAAAAATCTTACTGAAACCTGGAGACCCACTGTCAGGGGTTCTCAGTCCGGGCAGTACCACTCCTGGGGGCATTCTGGGTGTGTTTTCTGCTGTTGCTGGGAGGATGAAGTCCTTCAGTACTCATCAGGCAGCGGCCGAAGAAGCCAGCTGCCCTACAAGGTCTAAGTGCAGCAGAGCCAAGAATTGTGAGGTGACTTCCCAAGCTTGGAGACTGGGCCCAAAGCGAGGTCGGCCAGACTCAAGTCCCGATCGCTTCCACCTAGCGGTTCCAGGCTGCTGGCGAGGCTGTACCTGTTGGGTCTCCTCCTGGACGCGCCCCCCCCTCCCCCCCCACTAATGGACAGAACGCCAACTCCCCAGGCCCAGCCGCCAGGAGACCCGGGTCCGAACCCCGACCCTGCCTATCCAGGTCTGAAGCTGCTCCGAGAGCTGAGGTGCTCCACTCGGCCCCGAGGTCCGGGCCTGATCCCTCCCGGCCCCGACGGCTCCCGCCCGCCGCCCTGACCGGAGAGGCCCCGCAAGGGCCGGCCCTCACCCTTATTCTTCTGCGTGCGGGCGATCTCCTTCTCGATCTCGGAGATCTTCTCCAGGATCCCCATGGCGACAGCTGAACCGGGTGCACCGGCCGGAGAGACGGCAGCAGACCCCCGAGATCTGGCACAGTCTGCTACGGCCGACCAGCGTGCGCCGGAAGCCCACGGAGAACGGCGTCCCCGTGTGCCTGGTGCTCGGGGATTCAGAGTCCGGGCGTGAGACGTCGAGGGGAGCGATATTGGTTCCGCCGGCTAGGTTGGCGGGGGCTGAGGAAGCGCGATGGGGCAGACCTGGGCGGGGCCCCGGCCGGCGGGGCGGGGCCAGGCGAAGGTGGGCAGGAACGGGCATGGAAGGTAGAGAGAGACCCTCCGATGATGGACTCCGCATTGCGGGTCCCCAGCTCAGCCGGCTTTGCTGGTGTAAAGAAAAGGCGCCGAGCTGAAAGCCTAGTGGCTTCTTTTGCGTTGAGGTTAAACGCGTGTCCCCAACTTCGCCTTCCTACCTGCCAATCAGATGCCTCTTCATAGGATGCAGTCGAGACAGCATCTCCTAAGTGCAATCCTTACCTAAAAATGCTGTGTTTGAGTTTAGACTTGAGGAAACATCAAACAAACTAGAAAGTGGTACGTTTTATAGGACAAGTGGGCTGTCTTCATAATTGTCAGTGATATAGGTGGACGGGATGGGGGAAGGATTGTACCAGAATAAAAGATGTTAAATATAATGTGTGAACTTTGCCTGGATTCTGGTTGAAATTTTTAAAAGGAGTTATGAGAAGACATTCTGAGGACAATTGAGGAAATTTTGACTTTGGATAGAATGTTAGATATTACGGTTGTTGTTCTGTCGTTCGGTTGTGTCTGGCTCTTTATGACCCCGTGGCTGGAAGTCCAAGGTCAGGGTGCCAACATGGCTGGGTTCTGGTGAGGGCCCTATTCCTGCCTTACAGACCGCTGCCTTCTTGCCCTGTCCTTACATGACCTTTCTTCCGGGAGTCTGCACCAGGACGAAGGAGAGAGACAGAGATACAGCTCTTTGAGGATGCTTTTTTTTTTTGCCAGGCCTCGAGACATGCAGGATCTTAGTTCTACAGCCAGGGATTGGACCTGGGCTCAATGCAGTGGAAGTGCAGAGTCTTAACCACTGAACCACCAGGAAATTCCCTTCTGTGTGTTTTTATTTTATTTTATTTTTTTCTTCTGTGTGTTTTTAATACAAGGTTGTGAGTGGGGAGCTGGATATTGGAAATCATGCTGTGTTCAAATTCAAGGTTCATAACTGTGAGCTTGGTTAAATTTCTTAACTTCTTCTACACTCTAAAAACAGGGGTAACATGGTTGTTGTAAAAGTGAAATAATTTGCTTGCTCGTAAGTCCTCCTTGAATGCCAGAGCCAGTCAGTCGAGTCTCCTTCGTGGTGGAGACTCCCCACATGAATCTTCCCCAGATTCAGCCCATGTTTGCCAACGCCGTTATGCACAAGGCTCTGGGCTGAAGAGGGGTGTTGTAAGCCCAGCTTGCTCTTCTACTCCACTGCTGACAAAGCCATGATATGAACCCTGCAAAGTGCCTGACCCAGCAGCTCAAGCTGTTAACAGCGGGGCTGAGATGTGAAGTCCAGTGACTGCAGGGTAACAGACTGCAGGGAGAACACCTACATGTTTGGCTCCATGAGGTTCACAGGTGATGGGAGGGGAGAGCCTTTGAGAACTGAGAGGTACAGGCAGGTGTGGAGCCCTGGCCCATGGAGAGGGGGGTCTCTGAACCCAGATGCAGCTCCTGGCTTCCACTGCCACACTTGTGCCCATGGAGGTATGCTATGGGTTTACACTTAAGGACACAGAAATGTCCTTAAATGTGACTCACCTTCCAAGAACCCTAGGATCTCTGCTGTTGTGTCTGCTTCACTCACAATCTCCAAAGGGTCTCTTTCTTCATAAATAATGTGGAATCAGGCCACTCCCAGGATCAAGAGAGAGAACCTGAAGATCAAACCAGCCTTTCCTGCTTGGACGGTCTGCATCCTCCCAAGCTTGGGAAGACAACTAGGAACCTCATGTGTTCACATCACCCGAGGAATCTTTTTTTATTATTATTATTTGGCTGTGCTGGGTCTCAGCGGAGTCATGTGGGATCCTTTGTTGCAGCACACGGACTCTCTAGTTGTGCCTCTTGGACTTAGTTGCTGTGCAGCATGTGGGATCTTAGATCCCCAACCAGGAATCAAACCTGCATCCTCTGCATTGCAGTGAGTTCTTAACCACTGAACCACCAGGGGAAGTCCCTCGCCTGAGTAATCTTTGAGAGTTGACAAAATTCTAGAGAGGCTGCTGCTGGATCTCTGAGAATATTCAACTTGTGCATCAAACAGAGTGAAAAGTAAACCCAAAAAGTGGGGGAAAATATCTGCCAGCCAGGTACCTGATAAGGGGTTAATATCCAGAATATATAAAGAAGTCACTGACCAACAGCAACACAACCACCTGATTTTTAAAACGCAGAAAACACTTGAGTAGACATTTCTCCAAAGAAGATTTATTAATATGGCCAACATGTTAAAAGGTGCTCCACACCACTGTGAAAGTGAAAGTGAAGTCTCTCGGTCATGTCCGACTCTTTGCGAACCCATGGACTGTAACCTATGAGGTTCCTCCATCCATGGAATTTTCCAGGCAAGAGTACTGGAGTGGGTTGCCATTTCCTTCTCCAGGGGATCTTTCCAACCCATGGATCAAACCTGGGTCTCCTGTATTGCAAGCAGGGGCTTTTACCGTCTGAGCCACCAGGGAAGCCTACACCACTAGCCATTAGAGAAATGCAAGTCAAAACCAGTGAGATAACACCACACATCCATTAGGATGTGTGTAATGTATGTGTGTAATGTATGTACATGTAACAAGTGCTGATGAGAACGTGGAGAAATTGGAACTCTCGTACACTGCGTGTGTTAGTCGCTCAGTCATGTCTGACTCTTTGCAACCCCACGGATTGTAGCCTACCAGGCTCTTCTGTGCATGGGATTCTCCAGGCAGGAATACCAGAGCGGGTTGCCATTTCCTTCTCCAGCACAGTTGGTCGGAATGTAAAATGGTGCAGTCAACTGTGGAAAACAGTATGGAGGTTCCTCAAAAATTAAAAATAGACCTACCATCTGATCTAGCAATTCCATTTCTGAGTATATATCCAAAAGTGAAAGCAGAGACTTGGAAGAGGAATTTGTACACCCATGTTCATTATTTGCAATGCCCCTGAAGTGGGAGTAACTCAGGTGTTCGTTCACGGATGAATAGATAAACGAAAGTGGTCTATACAGTGGTCTGTTTTTCAGCTTTAAAAAAAGTTCTCAGACACGTTAAGTGAAACAGGCCAGTCACAAAAGGGCAAATACTGGTGATTCCACTTACACAAAGTCCCTGGAGTGGTCAGATCCATACAGACAGAAAGTAGAGTGGTGGGTGTCAATGGCTGGGGGTGAGGAGCTGGTGTTTAAAGGGGACTGAGCTCTACTCTGGGAAGCAGGGAAGGTTCTGGAGATGACGGTGGTGAAGCTTGTACACTATGAATGTGCTTAACATCACTGAATTGTACACTTCAAATTGGCTAAAATGGTAAATTTTTAAAATGGTAAAATTTTATTTTTGGCTGTGTTGAGTCTTAGTTTCAGTGCCCAGGCTCCTTGTTGTGGCTCCTTGTTGTGGCACCCAGGCTTAGCTGCCCTGAGGCATGTGGGATCTTGGTTCCTGACCAGAGATGGAACCTGCACTTTCCTGAACTGGAAGGTGGAAAATCCACCAGAATTGTCTTGATTTAGAAATAGGGCAGACTCGAAGCTTAAATACCTTTATTACTTTTTAAAAATTATTTGGACATTGATAGCTCTGCAAAATACTTCTCCCATCCCAAACCCTCACACCCTTTTCACATATCCTCCCCAAAGAAACAAAATACTCATCCTTTTGCCCATTCAAATCTAATTTTTAAAAACATGTAAGATTCAAAATCAAATATTACTTTTCTTTCCCAGAACTCGTTAGTAATTTTAAACCACAATGCACATACTCAATGGCATTTCTTTTTTAAAAATTAGCTTATCTGACTATTTTATGAGGAAAAACAAAATCATTTCAAGGCCTTAGAATATAAACTCCCTGTTTCTGAAAGCAAGACATTGAAAAGCCCCTCTGCCTCCTGGAGTCTGCTGTGCACATCACCCACGGAACCAGCGCTGCACGGGAGGCGCCACTCAGTCTGGCCGTCCACAGGTGAAGACACGTGGAGCTGGAGAGGGCGATGGGTGGGACGGGTGGCTCCGGGCAGAGGCAGGCTGGGCGTGCGGAGCAGAGCAGAGGAGCAGGAGCTGGGTCCTGAGTGGGGAGGGGAGGTGGTGGGGAGCCTGCACCCGCACTGGTTTCTCTGTGATGAACAAAAGTGTCCACCAGAAGCATTGCACGTAAAACCAGAGGTGCGTGGATTACTGAGGTGGCTCGGGAAAGAGTGACCGCAGCTGGGGGTGACGGTACAAGCTCCCCGGGAACTAAGGGTGGAGGGTTTGGGGGTTCCTCGGGGGATATGGAAACCCCTGCTTCTGCACCCCTGACAGTCGGGATTTTACGAGAACCAACCTTCATCACAGGTGTGTCCCAAAGAGCTGGCAAACGTACCACATCTTCATCCCCAAAACCACTGCATTTGACCCCTGGCTCAGCAAGGAAGTCAGCCCACAGCAGAGCCCGGCCCACTCAGGCCGCCGAGCAGCAGCAGCATGCCGACGCCCTGTCTAGCCCACCGGCTGCCCACTCACGGCCACACACATGGGCCCCAACCAGCTCCGGGAGGCGGGGAGGGGCCGCCTCCCCCTCAGGGATACCTGAGCCCTCCAAGGAGCTGGCAAAATGCAGGCGCTGGTTACTCGCTGAGAACTTGGGGGCAGGGAAAGGGAGCCTGTGCTACCCGGCCCCCGAGCTGCCAGCCGGTTCTAAAATTAAGAGGATGTTTCTGACTCATCTCTTGAGACGGACATGAGCCATCCTTCTGCTGCAGCCACCTTCCCAACACTTCTTAAGGCTTCTGACATGCAATCTCAGCAACATACAGCACATACTTCGATAAAGGTTTCTGAGACTAGGAGACCTGCCCCCCGCTCACCTAGACCGGAGGGCTTGGTGCCTTATCCCTCCGCCCTGGACCTGTCCCTCGCACCACTTCCGCTCCTGTGGGTTATGACAACACTACCTCTCAGTTAAAGCTTTCCCTCCCGGGGTTTTGAGTGAGTCTATAGATCACCAGAAGTCACCAACCCCGCCCCCAGGCCTTGCCGCATATGGGGGCTGTAGCAGATGCCACATGAAGCTCTCTAAATGTTTAAACAAAACAAAAGTCGTGCACGCCTGTGCACGCACACACACATACTTTGGCACGTGAGCCTCGGGTTACTTGAGTGTGTTCAAGCTGAGCCTCTCCTGTGCCCCGACACCACTGAGCTGCGGGTCTAGGGCTGCAGCGGCCCCTTCTGCCTGATGGGAGAGGTTGCTGGGAAGCGCTGCTGTTCTGAGCAGAGAAAGGAGGAGGAACAAGTGCTAAACTGGCCCCCAGAATGGTCCTCATGTTTAGCACTAGAATGGATGCAATGCTGCAGAACGTCTCACCAGGTGACCAGTTTCAAACTGCTGGCTGATTAAATATACATTTACATATAGATATAAAAATTACTAAGTCAACATTTGCTGTTTTCAATGTGAAAACGATAAAATGTAATTCTGAATAATTGTGCATTTGCCATAGGGTCCTTGCTAAAGGAACCATAAAAATAATTTTGTAATAAAAAAACTTTTCTTTTTTTTAAAGTTTAGTATTGCCCTCAAGTTCAAAAGTTTGGAGCAAACGTGCTGAGTGAGCAGGACTGAAGTCTGTTCCTGCCAGGGACCCGGAAGCCTCAAACCCTGTGGTCCCAACGGCAGGCCCAGGGGACCCACTGGCCACAGGCTAGCTGGGCTCGATCGCCCTCGCTGACCACTTGGCCTGCGCCCCGCACAAAGCTCCAGGGGCACATGGGAGCTGGGCTCTGCCTTCTCTTGACTTACCAGACTAAGCAGCCGGGGGCGGGGGGCCTGGGTGGGGACCACTGAGCACCGAGGCCCAGGGGGGCTGGGGTTGACCTACGCAGCTGGAGGCAGGGGTGGAGCAAGGGCTGTGCATCTCAGGGATACAGAAGTTAGCTGTGCAGGAAGGAAAAGTGCATTGACGGCAGCCTAGAAACAGCTCACGACCAAACCTCACAAGGAGGGAGGAGGAGCCGAGGTTGCCCTCCACCTGCCCTGCGGGCTGGCCGCTCCTCGGATGCTGCGGGCTGACATTCATGCTTTCAATGCGAATCTGCTCGTGAAGAAACAGGAACACACGTTCTCCCCGATTCTGGCAGGTACACGGTTTTCCTGGCAAAGTTCTTTTTTGCCAAGTTCAGTTTGTTTGGTTACTGTTCCGAGCCGATGTCACCGGAATTCGTAGATGGGGGCGCTGTGTTCTGGAACGTGAGTGAGATTTAGCGACTGATACCTGTGGGAGGAGAGGTAGAGGCGTTAGAGCATCCTAAAAACCACACAGAGTGGGGAACCCACCCCACAGGTGCCAGCAGACCTCATGCCCAGATGAAATGCAAGCTCATCTCTGCTTCCAGAGATGAAGCTGGAACTGAACCAGTGATAGCCTATCTCAGGTAAGGAGAGGCTGGTCCTCTGGGGGAGGATGCAGACCAGGCCCTCTGCCTGCTCCACCACCCTGCTTCCCTCTGAAGTCGTGTGACCCTCAGAGCTCCCAGGGGACCCAGGCACGTCCTGATCTGCCCGGAATCTGGAGGGCTTGGAATGATGACATCACAGCCACACCCCCAACCTCAGCAACTCCATCTTCCTCCTCCCCGGACATGGCTGTGAGACTCCAGAGCATCAGGGGCTCTGCGGTGAGTACAACCCTGTAATGGGTGCTCTCAGGAGCCAAACAGGGGAAAGAGAAACAGGCAGGGACAGCCCCCATTTGGGGACACCCAGCATGAATGGTGTGGTTGTCAGCTCCCTCACTTGTCCACAGAGGAGTGAGGTGCAGCACAGGAAAAGTGGCTCATCTCTCCCCCAAACACCTCAAGGAAGGACGTCGTGTTAGCCGTCAGAGCAGAGCCCTCCTCTCCTGGCGGGCCAGCCAGCATCACAAAGACATCTGAGTGCTGAGGCATGTGGGGACACAGGAGAAGCAGAACCGTGTGTATCCCTGGCAGGAGCGGGAAGCTGCAAATGCCATGGGATCCGGTTCCCTAAGAAGTGACCGCAGACTCACCCATGACCCAGCAACCTGCCCCAGCCGCACGCCCCGAGGAACTGAAAGCAGGACCCAGACAGCCTTGGGCACACCCACGTCCACAGCAGCCAGAAGGTGGGGTTAAGCCACAGGTCCATCCACTGATGAACAGATGAAGATAACGTGGCTCATCCATGTGACAGGAAATCACTCAGCAATAAAGACGAAGGATGACATGTACTCAACACACAATACAGGGTCTTCAAAACACAATGACTAGACCCAGAGGGCAAACAGTGCATGAGCCCACATTCGTAAAGCGCTCAGAACAGGCAAACCTATACTCAGAGCAGATTAGTGGTGCCTGCAGCTGGTGGGGGCGGGGAGCTGGGTGACGGCTCCTAGGGCTCCTAGGCTTCCTCTCTGCTAATGGAAGCATTCTGAAATCGAGTGACAAAACCGTGCTGACATGAAGGCCCCCTGGACTCTACACTTTTAATGAGGGGATTAGATGGCACATGAGCTGCTTCTCAATAAAGCTGGTGATTTTAAAAGAAGACGAAAAGTTTTAAAAACTCATTTGAAAACTGAACAGGTGTTGAAATCCCAACAATGTCTGTTCTCAGAGAAGCCAGGGTAGCACGGAGCCCCTGGGCCCTTGGCCACTGCTGGTCAGCCCTGGGCAGCATCCTTCATGAACCTTCAAAGTATACAAGAGTTGACAGGAAATAAAGAGCTTCAACATGCAGAAGAAATCAGGTATTTGAGGACACAGCCACCCTTCAGGTGGACAGGGCACCTACAGAAGCTCAAAAAGCCATGAGAGGCCCCACAACAGCAGCAAAGGCCACACCCGGGAGCACGTGGCCGCCACCTTGGCAGAAGGCAGACCCATAAGGCCCATGGGCCCTGGTTACCAACTGACTTCGAGCAGGAAGGTGAGCACAAAATCAGAAAGGCCGCTGACAGCAGAATTCACATGGGATCTCACTCTTAACTACTGAGTCTGGGAGGAATGAAAACAGGACCCCTAAGACTGAGATAAACGTAGCTGAAAATAGGGCTGCTTGAAAGCATTCAACAGTGAACCCCTGTACCCAGAACTTCACCTTTGCACCCATTTATGCCGTTCTGGGGAGGCAAAGGAGCCCCGGTGTGAGCACTTCGGGAAGTGTGGCCAAGCTCTCAGTCCTTACCACTCTGAGCTCCTGTGGTAGTAGTAGCCCTCTATGGAGGCCGCTGACTTCTGGAAGCAGATGTAGTAGAAGCCGGCAAAGGAAGCACCACTGATGTCCTTGATCGTGTGGTCTGGGACTAGGAACTGCTCCTGCATGCACACAGAGGGTCAGTGTCACGGCTCCGGCCCCCAGGCCTGCCTGCCCCTTGCAGCTGGCTCTCAGGCTCACTAGGCGACCGTGAACTGCGTGCCACCTGTGTGTTCTAGACCAAGCACGGCCCCCACATCTCAAGGGTCAGAGCCGGGAGCAGGCTCCGGGGTGGTACTCAGGTCTGGGCCGAGCCCCGGCCCTGGCTCTCAGCACAGAGCCTGAGAAAGAGAATGCTACAGGCTTTGTCAGTAGAAACACTGGCGAGATTTCACAATAAACAGCTTTATCCCACAGGCTGCAGGCCTGGGGTTGGAGGTAGGTGGAGGCTCACAAACTCACCTCCTGAGCTTGGTACCTGCAGCTCTAGATCAGGAAGAACCAGAGGGAGCCCACCCAACAGACTCCTCGGGGCAGAGGGGAAACCCACCCCCATCCCGAGCTGGAGGGACCAGGGGCACTGTGATGGCCTGCAGCCCAGGCGAGAGGGTGGCCAGGCAGGCCACTTCACTTAGGGGCTGAGAAGAGGGGTCTCCCAAGTCCATGGGACCCTCAGGATGACCCAGCCTGCAGGGTGGAAGATGAAGCCAGAGGGTGGGGGGTCACAGAGCAGGGGGAGGGGTCACAGAGCAGGGGGAGGGATCATGGTGGGGGGGAACACAGAGCAGGGGAGGAGATCACAGAGCGGGGGGAGGGGTCATAGAGCAGGGGGAGGGATCATGGTGGGGGGGGACACAGAGCAGGGGAGGAGATCACAGAGCAGGGGGAGGGGTCATAGAGCAGGGGGAGGGATCACGGGGGGGGGGATCACAGAGCAGGGGGGGGGTCACAGCAGGGGGAGGGGTCACAGAACAGGGAGAGGGATCACAGAGCAGGGGGAGGGATCGCAGAACAGGGGGAGGGATCATGGTGGGGGGGGGACACAGAGCAGGGGGAGGGATCATGGGGGGGGAATCAGAGCTGGGGGGGGTCACAGCAGGGGGAGGGGTCACAGAACAGGGAGAGGGATCACAGAGCAGGGGGAGGGGTCACAGAACAGGGGGAGGGATCATAGGGGGGAATCACAGAGCAGGGGGAGGGATCATGGGGGGGAATCAGAGCTGGGGGGGTCACAGCATGGGGAGGAGTCACAGAACAGGGGTAGGGATCACAGAGCTGGGGGAGGGGGTCACAGAGCAGGGGGAGAGGTCACAGACCAGACAGGGTGAGGCTGGGCCCCCTTACCTTCCACCTCATGAAGACATAGTCCCCACTCTTCAGCTCTTCATAATCAAAGTCGTCTGAGTTAAACGATTTTGCATACTGATAAAAAGCCAGAAACTTGCCCTGAAAGCCAAAAGCAGAGCAAAGGATGAGGGCTGGGCGGGGCTGCGGGCCCGGGGGCGGGGCCGAGGCACTCACCCAGTGCTTCCGGTCCACGTCCTCGTCAGCGTCCCACTTTCGGGTTAAGAAAGGGTGCTTCCTGCTGATTATCTCTCCTTCGAAGAAGGTCGTGAGGGTTGGGTACTCCTGTGGCAAAAACGCAAATATCAAACAAGATGTCCAACAGGCGTTCTAACTTTTCACAAAGAAACGAACCAACTTCGTTTTAATTTCTCCCCAGAACTTTGAAAAGAGGACCACACTGATGGGCGACCACCCAGACCAGAACCAGCACCCACGGCCGAGGAGGGGGCCTGACTTAAGGGGCCCGGGGTGGAGGTGGGGTGTCTCCTGGCTTCTGGGGACTTTGCCAGAAGCAGAGAACCCTTCTTTGGCACGCTTGTGATGTGTTGATGGCTCAGGAAAGAACTTGGACAAGCTACTTCTGAATATTCTAGCATACAGAGCAGATGGTAACTTGGTAGGTTTTACTTTCCAAGTAAAACACCCAGAGAGACTATGAAATCACAGCCCCGTCTTCATGCCCCAGCCTGGTCATCGCTTCTCAGACTGGCTCAGTCTGTCCCGGGGGTGCCAGCTCTTCAGTTTCGAGGGGCAGGGAAGGGGCTGGAGAATACCCTGATGTGTGAGGCACTTGTGTAATTCTATCACGTGAGCTAAGACAACTTAATGATGGGAAACACTGATGACCATGTCTGCCCTGGGAAACCATAACCACCAGAAAAGCAAATGAGTGGTCATCCTGACCGGGTGCCTGAAATGTTAATACTCTCAATAACCCTGCTGTTTGTCCCTCTGCTCATACAAAGGCACAGAAGACTCAGAAAAAGTTAATGGAAGAACAAGTAACCACTGTAAAAAGTTTACCATCTCTCCCACCCACCCACCAGGCAACCCCTCAATGTCACCAGGCAGCCCCTCAGCGCTGCCCACCAGCCTGGGTCATTCCCGGGGGATGCGGTGACGACCCCCACCTGGCAGAGCACAGGTCACCATCCTGATGTCCTGGGACCACGGAAGACCTGCTCTCTTCCTCACACCCATCGGCCCCTCTCGCTCAGCATTAAACATCTACCTGTTTAAATCCATTCCCAAGGCTTTGCCACTTCTCCCGGCCTGCCTGCCAGGTGGCTGGGCACCCCCACCAGGTACCGCAGCCTCACTGGCCTGAGGCTTCCAGGAAGGCCACAACCACTTTACTGCACATGCCGAGGTAGCCTGCCCTCATAGTAGTGAACTTGAAATACTACAGATCTGCCATCCCCCTAAAACTGAAACCTTCACCCCAATGCTGGTGCTGCATTCCTCAAACACATACTGACACAGACAGAGCAGAAAAATTAAAGAGGACAAAACTGCCTAAGTGGAAACCTGATTTTTAGAGGTATAAACCAAATTACAGCAATCCATTTGAGAAAGGCCTGCTAAGGGAAAAAATGCTTTGTAAGCTGGCAGCTGACTTGAGACGTTAAATTAACGGCTATACAGTATACTGACTTCCTGAGTTTTGAATCTTTGTATTTTATCAAGATGTCCACAAAGAGAGAGAAGGATGAATGATCAAGTGGTCCTACTATGTAGTAACAAAGAACAAGCTTATGTTCAAGTCACGCGTTTTCCTAAACAAGTGATTCTGCACTGACCTCTCTCTAAAATGTTCCAGGCAGTCTACCAGAGTGACCACTAGGTATGCACAAACTCTGAGAATAAAATAAAATAAATATCTAATGAATGAAGGAAGGAAGGAACAGAAGGAACCCAAAAGATAAAACCCCTCGCAGGGCAAGCAAGGACATTCAAGCTCTGACTACAGCCAGGAGGAAGGGGGTCACAAAGGGAGGGCAGGCATGGCTAGCATCCCCAGGTGTGGGCCCACTGCGCTGGGACCCCCTCACCTCACTGGCTCCAGGCTCACCTGCCTGGAGGTGAGTCCAGCTTTCCGTGAAGACCCACCTTCTGGAAGATCAACGATTGATTGACCAGTAAGGCAGTCTGTGGGTCTGGTGGCGTGACCACCTGTGTTCCAAGTAAACCCAGCACAGCCTCAGGAGTACCCAGCACTGTCTGGGGAGCATGTGGTGGTCCTGACACCCCCCAGCTGGGCTCCCAGCCACCTACATTGGGCTCCCCAAAGACGCGCCTCTCCCTACAGGTGGCTGACTGGGACTGCAAAGAGAGTATCACTTGACACCCATTCTTCACAATTCTGGGATTCAGTTTCCACAAGGCAAACAAACTTCCCAAACTGTATGTTTGTGACTCAAGGCAGGTAGGAGGCCAGTCATTTCCAATTATAAAGTTAGTTTTCCCTATTTCCGTACACATGAGGAAGACCATGACTGATCAGTCACATTAAAATAAGTCAGATATCTGCTATTTCCACAACTATAAATGGAAAAGCAAACAAAAACAGCTGTTTGCTTTTTTTGCCACACCACGTGGCACATGGGATCTAAGTTCCCTGATAAAGGTCAGAACCTAAGCCCCAGCAGTGGAAGCGTGGTGTCCTAACTACTGGACTGCCAGAGAAGTCTCAGGTTGTACATCTTAAATGGGTGAATTCTGTGCTATGGGAACTATATTTCAGTTAAAAAGAGTTTTAAAAAAGGTAAATTCAAAGACTTGGAAGACTCGGGCAGGATGACAGACCCTCAAGAAGCACAGCCCCTCTGACGAAGGTGGCTCTGGTGGGGAAGAGCTGGCAGCAACCCGCCCCCCCCCCCACCTTGGGAACACGGCTGTTGGGTGGCTTGGGGCGCTACCCTGCATTTGGGCCACCTGCCCCCAAGGGGCCATCCGCAGCCTTTCCGTCTGTGGGATTTTAGTCCTGCCCACCATCTGTGTGCAGCTCGCTGTGACCATTTGGAATCAGGTCCCCATTCCAAACTACAAACTCTGCTGGTTTCTTTACGAAGTTCAATGTTTTTGTTCTGCACTCAACACACACGTATGGCTGCCTGCGAGTTGAGCGTGTTCTGTTGCTGGGTCTTCTACAGCACAGACCCAGGTGAGAATCCTTCCCTGTGCTGTCCTTTGCTGCCTCGACTTGACGTGACATGTTTCCAGAGGTCTGTCTCAACAACCGAATTCTCAGGAGACTCTCAGACAGCTGACAGGAAAGTGGGAGAACCAGGGGGACAGGGAGACGGAAAGCAGTGCTTCCCGACTGCGGGGGGCCCAGCCTGGGGGTCAGCAGCTCCCAGAGCTGCCCGCTCACTGACACTGCGTTCCCTTGGGACCTGAAGTGGGCACCTGGAGCCCTCACCTCACAGGTAAGCCAGCTGACACAAACAGGTGAAGGTTGTGGGGCAGGAGGCGAGGGCGTCCGCCAGCCCCTCACTGTGAGCAGCGTGGCCAGGCCCTCCTCCTGCTCGCCAGTGGGAACACAGAGGGTGCTCTCTCTCGCCTGTAACATTCCTGAGTTCTGAAGGTTGAAAAGCTGGCCTTGAGGGAGGGAGCAGCTCCTTCTGCCGGAGGAACCTCCAGGACCACGGTCTCGGAGGGGTGCTGATCATTCCAGAAACTGAAACTGACCACGATGGCGGCAGCGACGCTCTGATTATATTTTTGTTTCCCTCAAAAAGGATTAAAGTAAAATCAGTAGTGTTGGTCACATGGTGACCTGTTTGTAAACTTTAACGTCTGTGAATGCACACGTCCACACTGCCTGCTCCTGCTCCCTTACAATAACTGCACTCGAGATATGGGGCTCCTAAGTCAGGCCTGCGGAGTCGAGCTCACTGGCCCTTCACACCCAGGGTCCCAGTGTTTTGTCCCCACCAGGCCCCCGCCTGTGGGAAGAGCACTTACCTCAGTAAGGCCTTTGATCTTCAGATACCCGCAAAGGTAAGAGTTCCCTGTGTCCACGTGCTGAAAGGACAGGACACACAGCCTTGTTACAAACGCAGGGTCCACCGGGGACAGTGAAAGCATGTCTGGCACGCAGAGGCCCCTTGGAAGCCGGGGAGTGAGGGAGCCTGGGAGTGGTACAGCTGGGTCTCCCCAGTCCTGCAGCAAGCTGAGTGTTTAATGCTGAGTGAGGCCTCATGTTAAGAAACTAGGGGGACTCCCCTGGTGGTCCAGTGACCAAGGCGCCACATGCAGGGGGCCCAGGTTCGATCCCTCGTCGGGGAACTAGATCCCACATGCTGCAACTAAAGATCTGCATGCCAGCAAAGAAGACCAGGTATAGCCACATAGATAGATACATATTAAAAAAAAGAAAAAAACTAGGAACGTTTGTTGCATTCCTCAGATCTGAGGACCCGATAACTTCCAATGCACTATGAGTCAAACACCAAAGTGGTGCTTCAAAGCTGCAGTGAGCTTGGCCAGCCCGACGAGGTCAGCAGCAAAGCAGTCGGCTTCACAAAGCTGGAGCGGCCCCATCGTCTGGTGCAATGGACAAAGGTCCGCACCTGAAAACCACGGCAGCCCTGCAAACATCCTCACCTGCTGACATGGGCGTCTGACGAAATGGAGCAGCCAACCTGAACTTACAGGGGTCAGCAAGGGAGCTGTGTTCAAGGACTCAGGGCTTGACCCCGGAGCCGTTTCAAGCGTGTGATTCTCACCAAATTCAATACAGTTTGGGTTTCACAGCTGCCGGGAAGGGTATCAGGTGGCAAGGATACTTGCTAATAAGATTAAACACAACTAAATTGGCTAACATTTTGCATGGATTATCACATGCTTGATAATCAGAATTTCAGTTTGGCCTCCATCCAACCATGTGTCTCTTCCTCTCTGCCCAAATTGATCTTTTTGAACCAAGAGAGGGTCAACCTAGCAATCAGCCAGCATCTCAGTGAGAGAGTACAAGGTAAAGGCTCTGCAAGAAGATGCTCTAAGCACAGCTGTGTCCAACAGCTGCTCTTCCTAATATTCCTCCTACAGTGACCCGGCCCTTACTTCATGCTTGGCTTCATGGATGGCAGAGGAGAAAGAGAGTAGTCACAGTAACATTTAAAAAAAAAACGCCAGGTCAGAACCTTACAAAGATTTGAGGAACTCTTTAAATTGGAATTTTAGGGGAAAAGAAAGCACTCCAGAAGCACATGAAGAGAGGCCCATCGTTAGTCATCAGAGAAGTTCAATCAAAACCACAAGAGATGCCACCTCACCCCCACTGGATGGCTACAATCAAAAAGAGGTACCGTGACAAGTGTGACAGGGACGTGGAGAAACTGGAGCCTCTGACACTGCTGGTTGAGATGGAAAATGGTGCAGCCACTTTGGAAATCAGCCTGGCAGCTCCTTAAATGTTAAACAATCACCATACAACCCAGTATTCCACTGGTAGGGAGACACCCAGGAGAAATGCGGACAATGTCCACATAACAACTTGCACATGAATGCGCACAGTGGCATGTTCATGACAGCCCCAGAGGGGAAACACCCACAAACACCCATCTATGCATCAACAGAGGAACAGAATGCTGCAGAGTCACTAGGGGACTGTGACACAACAATACAAAGGGAGGGAGCACTGGCACCTGCTGTGATGTGGATGAACCTCAAAATACTGTGCTCAGTGGGACAAGCTAGACACAAAAAGTTACTGTATGATTCCCTTTACGTGAAAGGTTCAAAATAAGCAAACTTAGGGGAAGAAAAATTAGGGGCTGCCTAGGGCTGGAGTCCTTGGACTGCATGGAGATCAAATAAGTCACTCCTAAAGGAAATCAACCCTGACTATTCATTGGAAGGACTGATGCTGAAGCCGAAGCTCCAATACTTTGGCCACCTGATGCGAAGAGCCAACTCGTTGGAAAAGACCCTGATGCTGTGAAAGATTGAGAGCAGGAGGAGAAAGGGGCGGCAGAGGATGAGATGGTTAGATAACATCACTGACTCAATGGACATGAGTTTGAGCAACCTTCGAAAGATAGTGAAGGACGGAGGAGCCTGGCGTGCTGCAGTCCATGAGGTCACAGAGAGTCGAATATGACTTAGCAACTGAATAACAACAGAAGTGTTGGAGGGGTGTGGCAGTCAAGGATTCTTTCTGGGGATAATGAAGATGTTCTAAAATTAGACTGCAGTGGCAGTCACACAGCTTTGGAACCACACTAAAAACTACTGAATTGTATACCTTACATATGTGACTTGTGTGACAGGTGAATCATACCTCAATAAAGCCCCTATGAAAAATAGAAAGAAAGCAGGAAAGAGATGAAGTTACAAAAGTCAGAAGTTTCTAAGACGACAGAGCCCAAAAACCCAGTTGTGGCTGAAAAACCAGCTGATGGGGCAACTCACAGGCCAGACTATCTCCACAACAGTAAGACGCTCACCCATCCAGGTGCAGGGCGGTGTTCCTGGGTGTGACCACCACCCCCGCCAGCAGATGGCTGACTCCAAGTGGCCTCCAGCCGCTGGCCAGGTCGCTCTGGCCACCCTGGGACCTGCCAGTTGTGCACCAACTCAATCCCTACTCCCACCGGTTCACAAGGGAATTGGCACCAGCAGGAATTAAGAAACAACACACAGGACAGGGAGGGGAACTGCCGCAGGAACCAAGACTTGTCTGTGACACCAGGCTGCCCCGCCACTAGTTCCCAACCCCATTAGACACCATCAAACTCAACAAGGGGCCCAACTCAAGATCATCCCAAACATGACCCACATCAGGCACCTCACTTCTAGAATTTTATGATAAGCTGCAAAATGTAAGAGAGTCTGTATCTTCCTACTCAAATTCTCACATTTGGAGCAGAAGAGAAGGGAGATTGCCACAGTGGTCGTCTAATGGTGAGAGCTGAAATAACTCAGCCACGACCCTTTTCTTTTCCTGGCCTTGTCTCACAGCTCACAGGATCTTAGTTCCCCGAGTAAGGACTGGACCTGGGCCACAGTAGTGAAAGCGCCAAATCCTAACCATGAGACCACCAGGTAATGCCCATCTTTTCAATTACGATAAATATCATAGCTCGTATTAGAAATTTCAGTTTGTAGACCAGAGACACAATTAACAGAGGTGGAGTTCTCTTGATCTAAAGTAAACGATTTACTCCCACAAAGCAGTAAGATAAAAAAAGGGAGATGAATGATCGGCAGTTGGTGGAGACAAAACATATCCCTGTTGTCTTTAAGGTGAGAGAAAGAAAGGCTGAGAAGAGAGGCTGTTTGAGATTTAAAATCAGTAAAGAGCAAAGGGCAGAAGAAAAATTCTCTCCTCACACAGGACCTACATTTTACATCTACATCCTACATTCTGTCCTCACACAGAATATCGAAGCTTCTGGAAGACCTTTGAGGGGACAATGTTTGGAGGAGTTTTTGGGCACAGCTTAGGAGGTGAGGTATCAGACTGAAGACAAAGGGGCGAAGGGAGGAGGAAGTGGGTCCTGCTACAGGCCTGGGCAGCTAGACAGGAGGAACAGTTTTCCAGTAAGGCAGAGAAGAAAGAGGATTAACCACTGCCGATCTCCTTGGGCGGGGAGGAAATGTCAAGTGTGCTCCCATCCTCATGACAGGAGTGAAGTGCAGGAAGGGGCCAGGACAGGTAAAGCTAAAGTTCCAAAGCCATTAGGAGCTGGCAGCAGGTTCTCAGAAATCCAGGTCAAATGGGGGGAGGTGGGAGGACACGGGGAGGAAATACCATATGAGAAACAAAAGTGGATGAGTTACATTTCCCAGCAGGAGTATCAGAGGCTAAGGAGGAAGTCCTCACATGTGGATCAAAGTTTAAAATACAGTAAGAGGGTCCCCTAGAGCCAGGAAGGAGAACAGGGTGATGGGGAGGTCTGGGCAGACAGATGAGGAGAACAGGAGTGGACTGGAAGTGGCTAGAGGGTGGGGAGTAGGGAGTGTCAGGAGGCTGGGCCAGGAAGAGACTATGGGTTGGGGGGCTAGGACACCAGTTTGTAACAGATTGTGAGGAGCCCGCCTAGGATGTGAGAGCCCAGGCTAGGGAGTGGGGCAGGAGTCGGGGTGGGATGGGGGCCCTCAGGTCCCCGGGCTGATGGAGGGAGAGGGCGGATGAAGCTCTGCCGAGGAGGAAACCCCAAGAGGAGGAGGCGGGCCCCAGGGCCTGGGCTTCATGGGACCGAGAAAAACGTGGGAGGCAGCAGGCACGTCTCGGGCCTGGGAGAGTCCAGAGTCAGAGGGAATCCCTGGAGAGTTTCCCGGACGAGGTCCGAGACGGACTGGAAGGACTGTTGCTGGGGCGACAGGCCACGGGGAGGCAGGGCCGGATCAAAGGCGGCCGGTCCCCAGCTCGGGCCCGCAGGGTTGGGGTGCGCCGGAGGGCCCGAGGGGGCGGCGGCGCGGCTCGGTCCGTGGACGTCTCGAGAGGCCGGGCCGCCGGCTCACCTGCAGCACTACCTCCACGTCGTACGAGTTCCCCTTGCTCTTCTGGTGGCCGCGGAACTTGGAGCCGCTGTAGAGCAGGCTGGTGGCCACGCCGGGCTGCTGCGTGTTGATAGGCGGCGGCGGGATGAGCGAGGCGGCGGAGGCGGCCGAGGCACCGGCCGGCGGGGGACACTCGGTGCGGACCGGCATCGCGGGGTCCCCCGGAGCCAGGGCTGGGGGAGGGGGAGGAACCGCCGCCGCCGCGCGGAAGCCGAGGAGGGCAGATGGAGGGGAGGCCGGCGCGCGCGTAGGGCGGTAGGGGTCCACCCGCCGGCCACAAGCAGACCGAGCGCTCCGGCCACCACCGGGACCCCGGGACCTGCGAGCAGGGCCTCCGGGTCCTGAGCGAACCCCCTCCCCGCCTGCGCTCGCACACACGCCCCTTCCGATTGGCTTGGGCGCGCTGGGGGGCGGGAGCAGGCTGGCTCGGCGCTTCCGCCCATTGGCGGGCGGGGACAGCACGTGGCGGGCGCCGATGCCCTCTGGGACTTGTAGTCTTTTTCCCGAGGCGCGGCGCGGGGGCGGGGTCGGGGCGTTTGTGATTCTGATTGGCTGTGGCGTGCGCTGAGGCGCGCGGCGACGGCGCGCTGCGAGTGTCGTGCGCAACATGGCGGCGCCCAGAGAAGGTGAGGGAACCGGCGACCGGTGAGAAGGTTTGTGGAGTCAGAGCACGCAGCGTGTGGTCCCTCCGTTCCGTGTTCCCCGCCCACTGGTCTCGAGCGGTCGTTCTCTGAGGCCCCCGCGCGATGTGGAGGAGCTGCCTTCGGCTGCGGGATGGGGGGCGTCGCCTCCTGAACCGGCCCCGAAGTGGCCTCACCGCCTCCGAGGGGTTGGAGCCAAAACCCCCTACCCCCATCCGGGCCTACGTGCCTCCGGCAGGTGAGGGAGGCCAGGGCGGAGCAGGCTGAGGGATCGGCCTTGCAGGGTCACACGTCGGGAGGGAAGTTCCCCGCGAGGGCAGGGATCGCTCCAGGGCACACGCGCGTCGTTTCCTTTTGGCAGGTGCGATTTTTCTCTCTTTCACTGGGGAAGCAGAGGTCATCCTTGTTTTCAGGCGGGGAAATTCGACTTCTGGGTCGGGATTGCGCCAGGGGCTCAAAGCATACTCTGAGAGGTTTGCGGGGCAAAGGCCAGTCTGCTAGGCTGCTTTCTGTGTCCCCGCGACCGGTACTGAAGGGGCCTGAAGCTCGGGCTTTTAAGTCTTCCATCCCGGCCGCTTGCTCTGCAGCTGTCCTGTCCCTGCCTCCTCTGCCCTCCCAGAACACCTTCCACCTCTTCTAAGGAGTTGACACCCCGTGCCTTCTTCCTGCACTTCCGACTCGGATGAGACTTTATGTAGCGGATCTTTCATTACTTCTAGGGAGAGATTTTGGGATAAGAGTGGGACTGTAAGTAAGTGAAGACAGTAACGCTTTCCTGCCAGCCAGTTAGTACTGTGCTGAAGGCGAGGGTAAGAAGAAGGTCACTGTGGTGTTGGAGCTGTTCCGAGGAAGCCCATGTGGCCTCCAGCTCCCTACCAGCTGTCCCAGCCGTCAGCTGCATAAAGAAGAAAGGTCTTCAGAGAGCGTTCCTGTCCAGCTGAGGAGTACACCGGTGAAGTCAAAGCTGGGGGGTCTCTGCTTACAAGTTGTCTGTCGTCTGCACAAGTGGTTTAGCTTCTCAGTGTCTGCCTCGTCTTCAGAGACTGCTTGTGCTGGGTTGAGGGAGATGCTGTAGATAGGGAGGCCAGCCTGCCACCTGTTTTTGTAAATAGTTTTCCTGGAACCCATCCCCCCTCATTCATTGACACACACCTAAGGCTGTTGTCACTATGGTGCAGAGTTGGCTGGTTGTGTCAGACACTGGATGGCCTGCAACGCTTAAAACACTTTGGCTTTTTACAGAAAATGTTTGCCAACCGTGCTGTAGATGCTAGAGCGGTTTGGGGGAAAAGTATTTATTTAGTCATCTAGCTTGTTTATAGTAATTGCTGTAGTAGATACATTTGCTCTGAAGAATTTATAAACAGCTTTACTGAGATGATGCACTTAGAATTCACTCACTTAGAGTGTACAGTTTAATGGTCCCTGTTGGCTCAGATGGTAAAGAATCCCCCTGCCTTGCGGAAGACCTGGGTTCAATCCCTGGGTTGGGAAGATCCCCTGGAGAAAGGCATGGCTACCCACTCCAGTATTCTTGCCTGGAAAGTCCCCGTGGACAGAGGAGCCTGGAGGATTACAGTCCATGGGGTTGCAGAGTCAGACATACTGAGCGATTAAGCACAGTATACTCAGAGTTCTACAGCCATCAGTTCTAGAACCTTCTTATGACCCCAAAGTACCCCTGTACCCTTTAGCTGCCACACTCTGAGTACCCCCGTGCCCCATCCCTCCATCCCTAGACAACCACTACTTCACTCTCTGTGTCTGTAGATTTCCCTATTTTGGACATTTAATATGAATGGAATGTGGTCTTTTTTTGACTGACTTTTCTCCGTTTAGCGTATTTTCAAGGTTCTTCCTAAGGTTAGCACGTGTCAGTACTTCATTCTTTTTCATAACTGGTAATACTCAGTTTGGGGACACACCAGGTCTTATTTACCCAGTCATTCATTGATGAACATTTGAGTGGTTTCCATCATTTGACTGTTCTGAATGCCTTTGTAAACACTTGAATACAGGTTTTTGTGTGAGAATGTGTTTTCATTTCTCATAGGAGGTACCTAACAACAGACAGGACGTCCCCAGTGGCTCAGTGTTAAAGAATTCACCTGCAAGGCAGGAGACCCGGCTTTGATCTGTGGGTCAGGAAGATCCCCTGGAAAAGGGAATGGCAACCCACTCCAATATTCTTGGCTAGAGAATCCCATGGACAGAAGAGCCTGGTGGACTGCAGTCCATAGGGTCACAAAGAGTTGGACACAACTAAAGCAACTTAGCACGCACGCAAGAGTAGACTTGCTGGATCAACCGGTAGCTAACTAACTTTCTGAGGATTGGCCACACCACTTTCCAAGGTGGTCGTGCCATTTTCCATTTCCCCAGCAGTGTGTGAGGATCCCAGTTTCTCTGCCCCCTTACCGACATCTGTCCGTCTGACTATAGCCTTCCTAGCTGGTGTGAAGGACTGTGATTTGTATTTCCCTGAGGATGAATGATGTCGAAGAACATCTTTTTAGGTGCATCTTTTTGGACACTTGTGCATTTTCTTTGGAGAAGTGTCCATTCAGATGCTTTGACCATTTCTGAATTGGGTTACTTGTCTGTTTATTATTGAGTTGAGAGGGTTTTTTGTATACTTGGTCCCCCCCAGTTGGCCGGCCCAGAGCCGCCCCAGGATTGTGGGCAGTCAAAATGTAGCTGTGAGGCATAAGGCCCGCCAGGTGGCGCTGTTTAGAAAGAGACCGCTGTCACGCCGCTCGGAGGAGGCGCGGCCTCCGCTCGCGGTACATTGTGGGGGTTGCAGTTCTGTCCCGAGTAAAGGCCTGCCGGGGAAATTGAGGCTGATGGAAAGAGCATTAACTGGCCCGGGGAGCCTGGGACAGGACGAGGGGTGTCGGGGGAGGTGACACAGAAAATCGCCTGTTTCTTTATATGGATTGGAGCAACCTCACAGGAAAAAGGGGCCGCGTGGACATCAATTTCCACTTAACGCTCTCTTCACAGGAGCTGCTTGTTAGCGTTCTCTGCCTATACAGCCAGTTTTCTGTTGACCGGCTTTTAAAATTCAGTGCTTCTCCACATTCGCATTTCTTTGTATCTATATAGTCCTTAAAATTGCCATTTAAAAGGCACCGAGTGTGGTTTTATCATAGAAACAGATATTCTGTAAAGGGAGTGATTTGTGCTCAAAATAAGGGTTCAAGGTGATTAGCCTGTCTTTCCCATCTCCAAGGATAGGATTTCCATTGCTGTCAGCTCACCCTCTCATCACTGAACATGTGGGTGCTTCACGGGCTCCTGGTCTTGTGAGACCCAGGACCTGGGAGGGTCCAGGAAAAAAACCTCCATCTTTTGAAATTGGGGAGTGTGGATTCCACCAGTTGAGTTTTCCGGATCCTGTTCTCAGCGCCGTGTGAACCCCCAACGTGACTCCCTACTCCGCCAGCCCTCCTTGAGGTGAGCTGCCAGGCTCCTCCCCAGATCTGGGCCTCTCCAGCCATCCTCTGCCCTGTGACTGCAGGCTTGCCCTGCCCACCAGCTTTTTAGCTCCGAAACTGCTCTCTGAGGCCCAGCACCTTTCTGTGAGCTGTTCCTTCTCCTGGAAACTCCCCACTCCCACGCCCTGGAAAGCCACCAGTTCAGGTGGGCCTGCCCACTCTCCTGCGGATCTTGGGTGCCATCTGGCTGTGAAGAGGCCTTCCTCGCCTAGATGAGACGAGCCTTCCCAGTGCGCGTTTGCAGCTTGTCTGGTCCTCTGGCATCCATGGTTGCTTTATTGTTCGGCTGGATTAGTGTCTGTCTTCCCATGAGACAGGATGCACCTCACGAGCAGGGTGGCTTTTGAGTTCTGCTCTGGGAGGGGGCTGGTCCTCAGCAAGTTTGTTCCTCCCCCCAGCAGAGCCCTGAGCCCACTGGCTGGCATCTCTGATCAGGTGCAAAAGTGGCCTGGCCAGAGCAGAGGAGGTGGGCAGAGGACGAACACCCTCTCGAGGGAGACCTTGCTATCCCGGCAGCTTTGTGAAGTTCAGGCTCTGTTGTCCGTCTCTGCCTGTAACCTCCCCGGCTGCCCCTCAGCCCCCAGGTCTCTTTCTCTTGAACTATCTCCAGCCCTTGGCATGTGTAGAACACTGCTGGTACTTCCTGCTAGTGGGTGGGCCCTTCCCCCAAGCCCTCCCCCAGAGATGAGTCAGAGTCTTCAGATCCGCACCCCCCCCTCACCCTCCGCTTCCTGCCAGATCTGGCCTTGAACTTGCTGCCCCGCCAGGCACTGGAAAACATGCTGGATATAGTCTGGATGCCTTGACCCAGGTCTCCCAACAGATGCGGGGTCCGCTGGACTCAGTCTTACCTGCTGTCTGAGTGAGACCAGGCTGGCACATAAAGCAGTGGTCAGTGGGAGCTTCCTATTTTGGGTCAAAGGTATGAGAGAATTACTATTGTGATTTCAGACAAAGGTGGTAAATTTTGCCATCGTAATACTTCATCATGTTGGTGGTCACACCATCTGTAGATTCTAGTGTGTTGTGCCGGGGGGTGGAGGGGTGTTGGAGAAGTCTTGGGGTCAGGTAAGCTGCAGCTTTGTGACACGGCCACTGTCCTTGGGAGCTGGTGGGGCTGCGGCTCCTCCTCCCCTGCTTTTCCCAGTAGCTATTGACCATGTGGAGAGAGGAGACTGGGCACTGCCAGGGAAGTCTGGATGGTTAGTCAGTGTCAGCTGTGAGGTCATGAGCGCCTCCACTCCTTTAACTGCCCCTTTTGAAAAATCTTTCCCACAGAAAGGAAGAGGTTCTATCAGAATGTCAACATCTCACAGGGTGAAGGTGAGTGGAATTTTCGCCGCCTCTTGTTTTTGTTTATTTCTGTGAATGGGAGGTGAGGGACACTTTTCACCTCCAGCCAGCTCCTTAGTGAGCTTGTCCCAGCGCTCTTGTTGGGTATGTTTCTATAAGCCGCTCCCCACGAAGGGACTTGGGGCATCTTGCATCAAATCAAGTAGCTAAATATAGGGGTGATCACTCCATTCTGCCTATCAACCTGAGAGGTTTCCATTTGATCTTTCAAGGTGGCTTCGAGATCAACCTGGACCACAGGAAGCTGAGGACGCCCCAAGGCAAGCTCTTCACTCTCCCCAGCGAGGCCCTGGCCATTGCCGTGGCCACCGAGTGGGACTCCCAGCAGGACACCATCAAGATGTACACCATGCACCTGGTAACAGGTCACAGCCCACCCTTGTGGCCACCACAGGCTACTTGGGGCCCTGGGCAGAACTAGGAGTCCTGTCCTGATTCTAGTAAGGCTCTGGGAGGCCCCCAGCAGACAGCCCACCCCACCCTCCAGCCCAGGGCCTGGCTTCTCCGGGATCTTGGGACACAAGTCCTTCCCTGACCACTTTTCCACTGCAGCAGCCACACTTTGTTTGGTTGGCTCTTGTGTTCTCTGGTGGTCTGGGTCAGGAAGAGACGATGTGGGGAGAGTCCATGTGTCCTGGCACGTGGACCCAGGTCCCAGGCAGGCTCCTCGGCCTCAGGTGAACCAGCTTCCCCTGGACTGTGGGGGAGCAGGGGTGACGGCTGCAGACGGAGCCTTAGAGTGACTCTGCAGCCTGCAGTCGACAGGGAGGATCCAGAGAATCTGGCTGGCCTGGCAGCTCTGTCCCCCGCCGTCTGAGGCTCAGGGAGCTGGGTGGTGAGCGACTTGCCCAGATCCAGCAGTGCGTGAAGGCTCCTGACTCTGGTCTCCCTGGGCCTGGGTGTCCACGGCTCTGAGATGTCACTGCTGTCACAGTGGTAGCACCTCCTGGAAAATACCACAGGGCCTAGTGGTACAGAGCCTGAGACCTTGGGGGAGTTCATTCCTCCCGGAGCCTGGGCAGGGACCTCAGGATGCTGATGGGCTTTCTGTCTGTGCTTTTGATCCAGACCACACTGTGCAACACGTCTCTGGACAACCCCACCCAGCGGGACAAGGACCAGCTCATCCGGGCGGCCGTGAAGTTCCTGGACACCGACACCGTCTGGTAACGGATGTGTGGGTGGCCTTTCCCAGGGCCCCAGCAAGTCCCTTGGGCCTTTTGCTCAGGGTGGCCTCCGTGAGGAGGCAGGGGGCCCTTTAACCCCGGGAGAGAGGACGTGCCAGCTGCACTAGTGTCGGGAGCAGCCCTCCTGTCCGGCCCAGCAGCTGTCCCCCAGCCTGGCATGCAGGGCGCTGTTAGCCTCTGTGGCTGTCGCAGGCTGCACAACCCAGGGGGTCACTTCTGCCACTAGCATGTTCTCACAAGCATGGTCATCGCTTCTCAGGTGGGATGCAGATGGTCTGTCCTTGGCATCCAGAAGCTGGTCTCCTTGGCTGCGTTTTCGCACCCAGGTTTTTAGGGTGTTGATTGTATATGGAAGGAACAATTGAGCCCCCCAGATGCTCTGGGGTTACTGCCCAGGTGGCACTTGAGGTCTGCTCCGGGGTGAGGGGCAGGGTGGGCCCCTGCAGAGGTCGTGGTGCTGTTGTTGGAATGTCTATGCCAAACTGTGTTGAGGACAGTTTGGTTACAGGGAGGGTGCCCTTCCAGTCCAGTTCAGGGAGGGAGTCTTCTTGAGAGCATCCCGGCTCAGAGAGCAGAGCCATGGGAGCCTCCCTCTGCCCTGTGCAGCACTCCCTCCATCCCCCTGCACCCCCACTGCCTCTCTGCCACTTATGCTCACACCAGCCTGGCCTCCCTGAGCTCCCCCATCAGGTTCCTGTCCCCAGCACCCTTGAACTCAGCTGACCCCAGCTCTGTCTCTTGGTCAGAACAGTGGCCTGGCCTCAGGTGGCATCAGGCAGGGCCACCAGCAGCCGCATCTGTAATTGGGAGGGAGGCGGGCTCACAAGGGGTGCACAGACGGCTGGGTCTCGCCACCTCTTGGGAGAGGAGGGGACAGCAGGACGCAGTGATGAGCTGGCACAGAATCCTAGGACCAGGGGTGCGAGTCTGAGGACAGTGTAGTGTTACGAGCAGCACTGGGCAGCGCTGTGGGCCCTGACTAGTCAATAACCAGGGACGTTTGGAACAGTGGGACTCAAAGTCAAGGGTCCAGGGAACCTTTGGAGGGCTTATGAAGCTGCAGGCTCCTAGTCTCCTCCCTGTGAGGGTGTGGGTTTCCAGCAGGTCCTGGATGAGCCCTGGGCCGCTCTTTGAGAGCCCTGCTAATTTAGGAGGAAGGCAGGGCGGAGGGGTGGTGGTAGAGAGGTTTTCTGCTGTTGCCTTTCGTGTTTCTGTATCTATCACTGGATGAGAGGATTGTACTTTTTTATTAATGGAGGAACTTTTGCACTTAATTAGCTACAGGGTGGAAGAACCAGAGACGCTGGTGGAGCTGCAGAGGAATGAGTGGGACCCAGTCATCAGCTGGGCCGAGAGGAGGTGAGATGCCCCGCACCTGGCAGCTGGGGTCTGGGCCACACTGGACAGCCAGGGCCCTGAGCTGGTTGACATTCTGAGTTCAGGGCACCAAGGGGCCTCAGACAGTACAGGCCCCCTTGTGGGTAGATGCAGCTAAGGGCTTCTGCCCCATTGACTGTGTGACTCTGGACTGGTGACCCGATTCCTCTGGGCTTCCCTTTCTGTGCGTGGGGCTCGTGACCCCTGCTTCCCTGGGTGTCGTGAGGAGTACATGGAGGGCTACACACTGCTGGGCACACAGTGGTGCCCACACTGGCCGCTACCATCCTGCTCGTTGTCACAGTTGCTCTGCAGCTGAATCAGAGCCAGGTGTGTGACCTGGACACACATGGAGGACAGTCTGGGCAGGGACTTGTGGAAGGACAGTCCAGGGACTGGTGATGCCCAGTGGTTTCCTCCCAGGAAGACACTTGTGCAGAGTGGATAGACCAGTGATGTGAGCAGGGTTAGGTCAGGTTTATTTCATCTGTACACATTTCCTCAGCACGCATGATGTGTCGGCATCCTCTGATTTTGTAGTAAGAGGCGGAGCCAGTGCACTGAAGGATCAGGTAAAACCTGACAACTGGAACGCCACGAGAGCACCGTGAAGATGTGATCCCGTTTCATTGGGGAGTTCAGTGATGTGAGATGGGAGCTGGGTGCCTGCAGGTTTTTGCTTGGTACGAAGTTGTCCGCTTTGGGTGGCACTTAAGATTTCTCACCTATAATATTAATAGATTACAGGAACATGTGGCCCCTTCCTGTGTTTCATTTGTACTATTAGAAACTTCAGGAAGAATGTTTCTAAACCAATGAGAAAGATCAGTGATATATGAAAGAAAATTACAAAAATTGCTTTCATTTCATTACGTTTTTCCTGCATTTTACATAGCTATGATTGTTCTTGAAAATGTTTTGTTTTTGAAGCCAGCTCATGCCCACTGGGACAGTGCCTTGTGTGTGTGATGGAGGCTTATTAATAAACGTGTGAAAAAGTGATTGACTGATACAGGATTGTGGCTTAGTCGGTAAAGGATCTGCCTACAGTGCAGGAGACGCAGGTTTGATCCCTGGGTGGGGAAGATCCCCTGGAGGAGAAGATGGCAACCCACTCCAGTACTCTTGCCTGGAGAATCCCATGGACACGGACAGAGAAATCTGTCAAGAGTACAGTCCGTGGGGTTGCAAGAATCCGACACGACTTAATTACTAAACCACAGGATATATACAAATACCGTTGTAAGGAAAACAATATTTGAAAGAAGCCTTTTATAGTTCACATGTGAAGACTTCCTTCTGAAAAGCAGGCAGCCCACAGGTCTGATGGACCTTCATGCTAATGAGTTCGAGTTTCAGGAGCTGCCTGGGCTCCTGCTTCCTGACTTGCCAGCCCTAGCTTCATGCATAGCTGCTCTGTCCTCTGCTCCTAAGGGACAGAAGGTTATAGGTCAGGAGACCTGATAGCAGTGGCTCCCAGGACCCCCAATGGGGCCTGTGTGTGCTGGGCAAGCTGGGGCTTTGCTTCTAGGAGGAAGTGGGGCTGTGCAGACAGACAGACTCATGCAGGGCCTCTTCCTTCCAGATACGGTGTGGAGATCGGCTCTTCATCCAGCATCACGGGGCCCAGCATCCCCGCCCGGACTCAGGAGGTGCTGGTCAGCCACCTGGCCTCTTACAACATGTGGGCTCTGCAGGGTGCGTGGTGTTTCCTGTGGGCCTGGAGGGTGGGCATGATGGGCATGGTGTGCAGAGCTCAGGATCACCAGAGCACTTGGTTGGTGGGGGAGACACTGTCACCTGGTTCATGGACTGGCAGGCTCACCCCTCCCAGGAGGATGTGGCTGTCTCTTCTTCAGGAGCCTCCATTCCAGTCCCCCTGGCCTGGCTTTAGTCATGGGGGTGGAGTGCTTGCTCTGACGGGCAGAGCTGGGTCTGGGGCCTACTTAGGCAGGGCCAGAGGAGGGACCCCTGAGGAGAACAGAGGCTCCTGAGAATGTGGAGGGGCTGGCACCCCACCTGGCGGCTCCCTGCAATAGCAGGACCCTGGGGCCAACCTGGCTGTGTCCCCGTAGGGATTGAGTTTGTGGTGACCCAGCTCAAGTCCCTGGTGCTGACCTTGGGCCTGACGGACCTGCACCTGACGGTGGAGCAGGCTGTACTGCTGTCGCGCCTGGAGGAGGAGTACCAGGTGAGGCGGAGCTGGAGCCCCACTGTGTTGGAGGTTCAGGGTGGTCTCCCAAATGCCCTGGGGCCACCTGTGTGCTCACGGAGGCTAAGCCTGTACACACAGACAGGCACCCTGGTCACCGAGGCTGCTGCGAGTCCATGTCTGATGTAGTGGTTCAGAATGAACAAGGCTTGGCTGCTCTGTCGTTGGCAGTTTTTTAACTCAGAATCACCGTGTTTTCTGCAGTCCCCTTGTTACTTCTCCAGCTTCAGAAGGTTAATTGCTATTACAAATTGACTCCTAGCATGATGAAAAGCCTTTTGTAATGACAGTTTTTCCCAAGTTGGTCTAGTTATCTGCTCGGAAAAATGCTAGGGGGAGAAGCTGGTTTGTGTCACGAGAGAGCCAGCGACTCTGGTGTCAGAGTTGACTGGGTGGGGGTGGGGGCAAGCAGCAGGAGCAGGAAAACTGGCTTCTGGTCTGGGCTCTGTCCTTGGCTGCGGGACCCAAGTGGGGCCGTCATTCCTTAAACCTCACTTTCACCCCGACAAAAAGTTCTCTGAATATAAAATGCTTTTCAGATGTTCTGGACATCCCGGAATGCAGGCAGATCTCGAGGGTCAGGGTGGGCAGGCCAGGCCTCTGTTCTCACCTGCCATTCCCCTGGATGCCTCCTCCCCTCAGCCGTGGGGGGTTATGGCTCTGGCAGTCACCCTGCAGCCTGTCCTGTCCTCTCCTCAGATCCAGAAGTGGGGCAACATCGAGTGGGCCCATGACTACGAGCTGCAGGAGCTGCGGGCGCGCACGGCCGCCGGCACCCTCTTCGTGCACCTCTGCTCCGAGAGCACAGCCGTCAAGCACAAGCTGCTGCAGGGGTGACACCGGCCCTCGGCCTGAGATGGAGATGCTGTGGCCAGTGGAGGCCAGTTTGGGCTGAACCAGGGCGCGGGTACCTGTGATTGGTCATACTGAACATTTCTCCACCTGGAAGTGAGAGGAGCTGCCACTCATCTTGTTCCTACTGTCATGTCTGGGTCCCAGAGGCCACCCCGCTGACCTGCAGGACACTCACTGCCCAGCAGGACTTCCTTGTCTGGGAGGTCTCGGTGGCCCTCAACCTTTTTTTTCCCCTGGTTTTTAATCAAACTTTTAAAGTGAAACTGTCTGCTTCTGTTTGCTCCTGTTGTTTTAGCAAAGTGATTTACTTTTGAAAATAGAAAACAATCTTTGTTGTTTCTGGGTGAAAATCCTGGGCAAGGTCACCTGCTGTGCACACATCCTGTTCAGGGAGCCACCGCAGGGCCCTGACACAGGGGGGTCTCGGGTGCCTGGGCCCAGGTGTGGGGGCCGGAGGAGTCCACAAGATAGGGCACAAAGGCTCCAGAGCCACCCGGCCTTGTTCACCCGCGCCCCCTCTGGGCGCTGCCTCCCCAGCACCGTCGCCACACCCTGACTGTGCTTGGAGGAGATGCTTGTTACCTCCCCACCTCACGGGTAACACCAGCTCTGCTCTCGGCTCCGGAGGGTCCTTCCTTGGGTCCCCATGGCCTCCACCTTGGAAAGCCGGCTGAGCCCCTGGGGAAAGGCCTGCCCTCGACAAGAAGGGACAGCCAAGAGCCTAGGAGCCACTCTAAGCAGTCACCAGCTGCTCAGACGCAGATACAGAGGATAGAGCAAGCTGACAGAAGTGTTTTATTTCTCTACCTGTGAAGGTGGTTGTGGGGGGTGGGCAGCCCTAGTCCAGGAGGTCCCCGTACTCCAGGCTGTCCAGCTCGCTCTGCACGTGGTCGATGTACTGGTTGATCTCCTTCACACGCTTGCGGTTCCTCATGATCTCATCCTTGTGAATCTGAGGGCAAGACAATCTTGAGTCTGTGCCTGAGTGTGCCCCACCTCCACCCACATGTGGCTCCACCCCTGGCCTGCAGGGTGAGATCCTGCCACCTGCCCTCCCCACACACCTGCTCACCTTGTCTAGCAGGTGTGTGCACCAGGAGTTGACCCTGGTCACCAGCTCATCCTCGCGATTGTCAATCTTCAGGAGGTGGATGTCATGCGAGGCCCCAACTGCGTTAACTATCGTGTCTTTGTCAATGAAGAGCTGGGAAACAAAGAGTGGGTGAGGGGCCTGGATCCACCCTGAGCACAGAGCTGCTGAGCCAATGGGGAGGGGGCTGAGGTCCCTGGGGACGGAGGCGGTGCCCGCTCTGTGTCCCCACTTCCTTGCTGTTAGCCCAGCAGTGCCATTGAGGGGCAAGGGTCCCTGGGCAGCAGGGCAGTGCCCCTGGGGAATGTGCCCTTCCCCCAAAGACAGGACCAGCCCTGTGACTTCACCAAGGTTCTCAAGTCCAACTTGCCTGAAACCTGCCATCAGGTGAGAAGTGTGAGGCCAGCCGGGGGCCTCGGGGGCTGCTCTGAGGACAGAAGACCCCATACACCGATGGGTCTCTGCCTCTCTCATGTCAACCCAGTGGGCCTGGGCTCCTGCCTTCATGTTCCCACCCCACTCCCCACTGTGGATGACACTGTGGGTCGGTGCCCCCACCTTCAGCCCAGGCCTGGCTGGAGGCCCCCTGTCTGCAGGCAGACAGACCCCTGCAATGCTTCTCCAGTAGACAGAGGGAATCTCAGACTTTAACCTCCTTTGTAGTCACTGCATCTTAGAAAGTGCCAGAACCCCCACTTAGGGAAGGCAGCCTGTCCCAAACCCAAAAGGTTTCAACCAACCTGTCAGTTGAATCCACTTAGTGGTCAGGAGCTCCTCTTTAGTGGGGCCGCTCTGAGTGCTTTACTTATTAGCCCGTTACCTACCTTATCTGCCCTTCTGCAGGTGCGAAATTAAGGCTTGAAAGGGTTTCAAGCTTTCCGGAGGGCGGGCCCCACAACTTCACCGCCCACCATGAGCCCCGCCCACCGGGATCGGGCTCCGCCCCCCGCAATCACCGAGCGCAGGTCGTCTGGCAGGTCCTCGTCCATCTCGCCCTTGACTATCTTCTCCAGGATGTTGATGGCAATCTCCAGGAGCTTCTCGTGGTGGTGGTTCTCCAGGTCCCGGCACTGCGCCATCGTGCAGCCAGAGTTAAGCCAAGGCCGGGCCAAGCAGGCTGGGGCACCCTCCCCTGGGCTGGCCCAGCTTGTCCTCCCCTTACGGGCCCTCTTAGTCCTTGGCTCCCTCCACACCCCCTGGGATCCCTTCTGGTCCCCTCCCGCACAGCCCTTTGTCCCCGCAGCTCTGAGCTCTCACTCTGTTGTATCCTGAAGGCCTCCTCTTGGAACCACTTCTCCCCATCCTCTGCTGCCTCCTGAGCCGGAAACATCCTCCCCACCTCTCCAGCAGGTCCCTCTGGCCCACCCTCCAGTCCTCACTTAGTGGACTCTCCCTCAGGGAGGGTCCCGGCCTCCGCTCGGCTGCCACCATCGCTCTGATATCAGGACTGGGCTCAGGAGGACAGGGGAGAACTTCAGGGCCCTGAGTTCAGGTGACAAAAGGCCAGGCATGCCCCACATGTCAGCCCCTAACCTGACATTGATCTGCTTACGGGTGACTTGTCAGTGGCATCAGCATAGAGGTCGCCTACCACTGGACCCAGCACCTGCAGCATGGACTGGTCCAAGGGGAGGATTCTGGGGTGTGGTCTCCAGGTGGTCACTTGTGAGGGAACAGATGGCCAGGACTCCTGCTGCAAGCAGCAGCCTGTGGAGCAACCCGCTATCTGGACTTCTGCTCTAACAAGGCGCCTTTGTGCTTGGGGGTCAGGAAACTCTCCTTTAATGTTCCAGAGGGTTGGCAAACCTCCACCTCTTAAAGGTGGGCTTCCTTCCTTGGTGAGAATGGGAGGTTTTACAACCCCAGTTTCAAAGGTGGAGATGCCCACTAAACAGGGTCCTGTTTAATCTCACCTTGGTGGAGACACAGATCTTCCTGTAAGTCAAATGGGGCATAGGCAGTTCTGGTAAAACGTGAAGTCTGATTATAAAGCGCTGGATTTTTACTCTCTGCTAGTGTGTCTAGGACTTTGGTGGCAGTGGGAGGGGGCAGGCATGGGAACCCACAGGGGGCCAGCTGGAAGAGACCCCACTTATTTTCATCTTTCGTAGCAGTGCAGAAGCTCTACCCTCTGTGTCTTTGGTTTAGAATGTGGGCGCCCCCCCGTGGATCTGGTGGTAGGCACCATGTTGTGGGCAGGAGCCCCTGGCCCACAGTGCATCCCCAGAGGGTCCTCAAGGAAAGGATATAGGCTCTGGACGTTCTCCACAAAGAGTCCCACCAGGTCGATGATGTTCCTTTCAAACATGTTTATAGTCTCCTGGAAATGATCAAGAACATGTGTGTTTAGACGTGAACTCCACTGACTTCACGCCAGAGCCACAGTGCTGCTTACCGTTTACCGGATGGTGACCCAAAACGTTGCGGGTAAAGACCAACCACCTGGCCTCACAGAGGGTGGTGACCACCTTCCCTCAGCTGTCACCCTCCAGCCTGTTCTCTCCTTCACCCCTCAGCCTCAGGGCTTCAGTGGGTGCCTTCTCCAGGCCTTAGCCTGTGCTATCTCTCTGCTGCCCCCCCCCCACACCCCTGCAAGTATGCACACACAGAGCTTTTCCCCTCCCTGGGGCTTCCCAGTGGCATCTGGCCCCATGGACTGTAGCCCAGGAGGCCCCTGTCCATGAAACTCTCCAGGCAAGAATACTAGAATGGGTTGTCATTTCCTTCTCCAGGGGAATCTTCCCCACCCAGAGATCAAACCCGAGTTTCCTGCATTGTAGGCAAATTCTTTACTGTCTGAGTCACCAGGGAAGCCCCCAGCCTCCATCACCTCCGCAGAAACTAAAGGCGGGAGTCGCTAGGAGCCAGGCTGCCTGCCAGCTCCACCACTGTCTGCAACTCAGGGAAAGTCATTAACTTCCCTGGGCCTCAGCTTCCTCTTCTGTGAAATGGATTTCTTCCACATAGGTTGTGGTGAAGCAGGAATGGGTTTCTTCACACAAAATGCTTTGGGAGGTGCCTGGCAGAGAGGAGACCCTTGGGATTGCCGGTTGCTCCCCAGGCCTCTTACTTTCAAGGCTCCCAACTTCCTCCCTGAGGGTGGCCCTGCAGGACTGCATCCAGTGCTCGTCAAGGCACCCAGCCTCACCCAGGTACCATGGGGAGAGCTGCTGCCCCGGAGTCGTAGGGTGGTCACGCCCCTGACCTGCCCTAGACTCCAGGGGCCGCAGAGAGTGCAGGTTGAGTCTGAGGACTGTGGAAGCCGAGCGACACAACTTAGCGATTAACAATAGCACTGAAAAGCAGGGCTCTACTTGATAGTATTTTGGCCTTTAGTAAGGCAAGCACAAGTTCTGGAGGACTGGGCGGTGATAGTGAAGGAGTCTTTTGGGCCTAGAAAAGAAGACAACAGTCTCAAAGGCCCTTACTGAATCCTCTAACTTTGGAGAAAACAAAACAGAACTTTAGTTCTGCCCTGATGCTCCAGGCCGGTTGCATCTATCTGGGACTTATCACCCCCTATCCAGAAACCTTCCACCCCCTACACTTGCCCAGAAGACTTATCACCCCCTACCCAACTACAAATGTCATCTCAACAAAAGAATACTCAAAATATCCCGCCTAATTAACGTTTCCCTTATCACTTCCACAAACCTCCCTATAAATATGAAGCCTCCCTGACACCTCTCAGCACTCAGCCTGGTCGTTAGGCCGACTGTCGCCCACCCCCCGCCTGAATAAAGGTAACCTACTTCTGTTGAGGTCATCTTTCCTTTTCTGCCTCGCCCGAACTATACCTAACAGATAGAAAGGGGGTCTCCCTGCTTAGGAAGGTTGGGGGCTACTACCTGAGCCCTGATGCCAGCGGGCTGTTTTTAGCAGTGCCAGAGCCCCCACGGGGAACAAGCTTTTCTCTGAGACCCAGTGGGAACCTCTCCCAGTCTGGTGGGTCACTGTCTTTGCCCAGCCTGTTCCATTCATCGCTGTGCTCAGGGCCCAGCCTTGGCCGCTGGCTGCCTGCTGAATACACAGGTCAGTCTGACTGCCCCAGATCAGGCAGCAGCACTTAGTTAGGCTCCTTGCTCTGCCCTGAGATATGGTAACTACAAGTGGTGGTGCCGGCAGCCTTGGCTCCATCCCAGATCTCCAGATCGGGGGTGGGGTGGGTGGAAAGTGAGGGTCCACTTTGTTTTTTGACAGCTCCGTGGGTCTAATCAAAGACTCTCCCTGCCGGGGCTCCAAGCTCTTCCTGGGTCGGGCGCTCACTCCAGAGAGAACCACTGGGCATCTCAGTGGCTGGAAAGTACTGGAGGACAGAAAGCTCTGGTGTGGGCTGCTGATTCACACCGGAGGGTTCTGGCCCCCAGGAGGTGTGGCCTTGGCGGGTTCCTTCACTGCAGCCGTGGCTCATGCTCACAGCCACGCCGGGCCCCTCATCCGGTTCCTGCACTGGAATTGCACCCAGGCCCGCCTCACCTCCAGCTGCTCCACCAGCTGCATCTCCAGTGTCATGAGCACGTTGAGCAGCGCCGTGATATCCTCGCTGTGCTCCACTATCTTTGTCTCGATGTTACTCAGTTCACTCTCCTCTCGGATGGCGTTTAAACTCTGCAAACAAAACCGTGCTTTAGGTAGAAATCTATGATGAAGTGTAATTCCTGAAATGACAGGCGGTGGTTTGGTTTTGTGGGTCGGAACCTGGATTCTGGGGTCGGCCCACATTCAAGTGTCAGTTCCGCCCCCTCCATGCAGGACAAAGCGGTCAGAGCAGAGGCTCCACCAACCGGAGAGTTATCGGGAGTGGAGGGGACAATGGCTTCAGAGTCACCTGGACCTGAATCAGGACCAGGCTGGGTCACTGTGTGACCTCAAGTGACTCCCATCTCCTTGGGTGCAGGGCAGAGAGCCTGAGCATCACAAAGCCAGGGGATGGGGTAGCATCTCTGAGGTCTTGGCTCAGTGGGGCTCTGATCAGGGTGAAGAGGGTTATAAGACAAAGTTGGATCCCCACAGTGCCCCATGAGCACGTAGCTGCCAGCAGTAAGCAGACGTAGGTCCATCTGTGAAGAGAGGTGCTAGTGGGCTGGACAGCATGGGTAGTTGGAGCCGCACCCAGTACCAGCCGTTCACTAATGAAGGGCGCTGGATGCAATGTCAGTGGAGAGACCCAGCAAGACTGGGGTGAAGGGTGCTTGTGGTCATGGCTGCCCCTTCTGGAGAATGGTCAGGTTTCTTCCCTAGCTCAAGCCTGACATGAAAGCAAATCCCCACAGAGGGAAGATTAACTTGTAAAAAATAAAGTCATAAAAGTACCTCAAGAAAGAAATGGGTGTTGCTGACCTCATCTGAGGGGGGCTGTTGTGCTACCTAGCACCAGCCAGGGATGAAACCTTGGAGGAGGCTGAGGAGCAGCAGGAGGGGGGAGGGAAGGGAGCCAAGGGATGGACATCTTGTCATTTTTTTCTTTTTTTTTTCTTTGACTCTTTGAATAAATGTCACTTTTTGAGGCAAAAAAAAAAAAAGAAAGAAAGAAAGAAATGGGAGGCCTTTAATAAATAATCTCAGAGTGGAGAAATCCTTTCTAGGTGTGACTGGAAGAAAAGATTGATAATTTCTACTATATTAATTTTTTAAAAATTCTGAATGTCAGAAGTGCCATAGACATAATGGCAAGACAAATAGGAAACAGGAGAATATTTGCAACCCATTCACTGACATAGGGCTAATTTCTCAATCTATAAAGAGTTGCTACAAAGTAATCTTTAAACAAAAAAAGAGACAGAGATAAAGAGATCAAAAACCAAATGGGTGAGGGCATATTATAAGAGCCCAGGAAGAGAAGGCTCCGGTCAGCTGCCTGGTCTGAGGCGACATTTGAGCATCTCCATGGTGGGGGTGTCAGCCCTCTCTGAAGACATGCCCCAGGCCTGGGAGCTAGGTCAACCAGTCCGCCCGGGGCTCCAGGAGCAGTGGTTGGAGGATGTCCAGACATCCCAAGCCCAGTGGCTACAGGGATCCAACGTGATGGGGACGGGGACTGGGCGACTCAGCCAGCCCAAGGGCAGCTGCCGCCAGGGATGTCGGCAACCACACTTCTGTGGAATCCTCCCGTTCCACAGAATGGAACACACAGAATGCACAAAACAGTTTAAAACCCTCTTCAGGCCAAACGCAACACATGTGTGAACAAATGAGCTCCTGCCCTGAGGTCTGAAGCTCTGGCTGAAGGTGGCTCTCATTGGTGGGAAGCCTGGGAGCCCTGTCAGCCTGACCCATGTCACCGGAGGTGGGAGGGGGGGGTTCCTCCGCTTTAAACTAAGTCCTCAACCAGCTTCTCGCCCCTTTAACCTGGACGCTGTGGGCACTCACAGGCTTGCTGTGCCAGTGGTTTTTGGAGGAAAGGAAAGTCCATAGCTTTGGAGCAGGTCAGTAATCCTGTCTGCAAAAGCAACGTTAACTGAAACTGCTCTGCTGGGTACACACGGCCCTGCTCGCAGTGCAGCCCCTCTGCCCAGTCTGCGGCCCACCCTACTGTAGCCCCAGGAGAGATGCCCGGAGCAGCGCTGACCCCTAGGAGAGGAGGGGGCCTGGCTGGCACTCATGCACAGTGGTCATCCTCTTTGTTGTGACCACCGGGGTAATGACACCACCGAGGCAAAAGGTCGTGGAGACCCCACTGTGAGCCTGGGACAGTGGAGGAGCCGCAGTGGGTGGGGCAAGTAGAAGCCTGAGCTGGTGAACTGGTGAACAGGGACAATGACCAAGGGGCTTGGATCGTCAGAGGGGAGGGGCTGGGCCTCTGGCAGGTGGGCACCTGCAGCAGGAGGCGGGGAGGGGGTGGGACCCACCAGCAAGTGCTTCTCCTCGAACTTGGCAATCGTGAGCTTGCCCTGCTCCTGGTTTTCCTGAATGGCCTCCTGCACACACTCCATGAAGGTTTCTAGCTCTGCCTTCCGTTTCTCCTGCTGCTTCAGGCCATACTCGAAGATGTTCAGACAGATGATGACAAACTTGTCCTTGTAGGTGAAGGAAGCCGTTAAGGAAGGCTGCAGCTGCCATGGAGGGTGGACTGCCTGGGGGGTGGGCTGCCTGGGGGATGGGCTGCTTGGGGGTGGACTGCCTGTGGGGTGGGCTGCCTGGGGTGGACTGCCTGGGAGGTGGGCTGCCTGGGGTGGACTGCCTGGGGGGTGGGCTGCTTTGGGTGAGCTGCCTGGGAGGTGGGCTGCCTGGGGGTGACTACCTGGGGGGCAGGCTGCCTGGGGGGCTCTTCCTGAGGCAGAGCCACAGTTGGGATGGAGTATAAGATAGTGATCGGGTGTCTCCACCCTCAGCCTGAGAATTCAGGGAACGTCCTGTGTGGGTGGCTATGGTGACAAGTGCCCATCAGTCACATCCTCTGGGGGAAGGGATCAAGCCCAGCCCACAGCCCCTAACCGTGCAACAGGTCTCCCTCTGCAAGCCTGGCCTCCCCAACTGCAAGCCAGGGTCTGGGACAGCACCCACCCCGTGGGTGGTGACACAGTTGTAAACACTGGGTACGAAGCACACAGCAGGAACCCATGAACAGCTAGGCTCCATCCCCAGTAGCCTGGGCCCTGCTGACCAGACACCCCATGTGTTCTGACCTGGTCCTCGCCGCCCTGGGTGCATCGCCCTGGGGCCCAAAGGGGAAAGGGACTCCCCCTGGACTCCCACACCCAATCCCTGTGGGGTGGCCGTGACCCGGAAGGATATGTCTCCAGGAGCTCGCCCACGCCAGGCAGGTTGGATAGCTTGCTGCCCTCCATGTCCTCAGCGTACATGCTGTCGAACAGGAAGGTTCCATTCAGCTGCTCCACGAAGGCCACCTGTGGCCAGAGACACAGCAGGCTCACTGGGGCAGGACCCTGTGCTGGGCACCGGGGCCGTGGGTGCCTGGCCCTTGGGAAGGCAGGCAGGGATGGGCAGGTGAAGGGCTGGGTGAGGCCAGAGCTACAGAAGCAGAAAACTGATGGGTGCCCTCAGCTCGATCTTGCTAAGCGGCGGCACTCTGGGAGGAATGAGCATTCCAGGAGAACTGACCAGTGGGCCTGAGGACCAGGGACTGCTCTGAGAAATGGCTGGGCACAGCGTCCCCAGCCCTCAGGCTAGAGAGGGGCCTGGGGGCTGTGGGACAGAGTCGGGGGCGGGGGCACAGGTCAGCGTGACTGTCCTGACTGAGGCTTCGGCCGCCCAGGGACCCTGGATACCGGCTGTTTTCAACCAAATGACAGGTTTTGGGGGCCTGGGCCCTGCCGACCTTCAGGAACCGGGCCGCGACTGGCGAAGGGTGAGGTGGGACAGTGGTGAGGTGGGGCGGGGCGGGGCGGGGAGGATGGAGAGGGGAGGGGCGGGGCGGGGCAGCGGGTCCCCAACGGGCCCCGGGCACCTTGTGTTCCTCCAGCTCCTCCCGCCGGGCCTGCTCGTCTTCTAGCTGCGCCTGCATCAGGTTCTCCCGGTGCTTCAGCTCGTCGATGCTGTACTGGTGCTTCATCTCCGCCAGCTCTTTCTGTCGGAGGAGCAGGAAGGGGCATCGTTACCCCGGGACCAGGGGTCCCTCGGAGCCGCTGGCCTCCCCCGCATGGGCGGGGCCTGGACAGGAGTGGCTTGTCTTCCCTCCCCCACCCTTCCCAAGTATTCTGAGCTTGGGTAAATCAGTGTGGGAGCCCCATCAGCAGGCTGAGTGAGGGTGTGGGCCGTCCCTGGGGTGAAGGCCCTCTTGCAGATCCGCTGGCTCCCCCACCCTCCCCAGCTGGGCTCTTGCCCTCTTTTAGGGGTGCACAAGGGGAGAGCTGCAGTGGGGGGTGCGAGCCACAGGCCTGGGCACAACGCTCTTGGCTTAGTCTCAGCATTTGAGCCCCTGCTGCCCTTCAAAGTATTGCCTAAATGCAAAAACTAAGACTTGAGAGTCTTGAAATTCAAAATTTCACAGTCCTGTCCTGTTCCTGGACAAGGGAAGGGCATGGTTGGGGAAGGAGGGGCAACTATCTGACCCCCCTGGTATCTGTGGACCCCCAGTCTCTGTGGATCCCCACTGGTCTCTGTGGACACCCCCAGAAAGGTTCCTGCGAGCAGAGGGCTCCACACTTGGAAGGTGGCACAGCAGCCAGGCTGGCAGGGTCAGCACAGAGACCCAGGGACATCGCCTCAGGGCCTCTCCCCCACCCCAGACATAGGCTCCTTTCTCCCAGGAAAGGCAGCAGCTTCTCATGGGGGGGTGCCAAGTCCCCCACCTCCTCACACCCTGCTTTCATCCCATCCTGCTGCCAGAGGCCTCCCGTTCGGTGGGGTTCTTTTTCCCTGGGGGCAAAGCATCCACAAACTGGTCACAGGGCAAAGGGTAAGAAGCTCCCAGCAGGGGTGTAGGACAGAGGCGGGGGTGGCCTGGCCAGGCAGTGGACGGGGGGAGGGGCCCTTCCTCCTGGGATGAGGCTCACGCAGGCCCGAGACCCTGGCTCTGCTGCAGACCAGCTGGGCCCAGCTCTCCGCTGGCCACCTCTGCCATGGGGTCCTGGGGGCATCTCTCTGGGGACAGTGAGGTTGGCACTTTGGGGTGCTACCATGACCTGTCAGTGTCGCTCCTGGGGTCACCTGTCGTGGGAGTGAGTCCTGACTGCCCCGAGCTGCTGCACCCATTGAGGGCTGACTCTCATTGAGTCTCCCAGACTGTTCACAGAGAAGCAGACAGCAGGACGGCAGCGAGGAGGCGGGAGGAGGCCCAGGACAAGGCCCGGCTGAAAGCGAGCTCCACAGTGTCGGGGGCCGTTAGGGTCAGGAGCCTCCAGGAGGGGCCACTTTCCTCTCCTCCCGGACGTGGCCCTCCCCAGATGCCTGGGGCCTGGACTCTGACCCATGGAGCCGACATCCAAGGGAGATGCTACCGTGTGGTCGTCGAGGCGCTGGAAGTCCAGGTACACGAGGTCGGGGAGGTAGGCGCAGATGAACATCTTGTAGTCCTCGTTCTCAGCCACCGGATTCCCAGACAGGCTGAGTGTGCGCAGGGCCTTGAACCGCCGCAGGTAGATGATCTGAGGGGAGAGTGGGCCTGTGTCCTTCCTCTGCCCTCTGCCCACACCGGGAAGCCACGAGGAGGAGGAGCCCGGTCTTTGCCAGGACCAGTGGATGGGGTCCCACACTCAGTGGGGGCCCAGTCTTCTCATCTGTGAAGGGGCCACAGGGGTGTCACACACAGGTGTTGAGAGGACCCAACGCTGCGAGGAGTGCCAAGAAGAGGGCTGGCACCCGCTCCCCAAGCACCCGCTGTCCCACCATCCTCCGCTCTCAGCACAGGCACCCTTTCCACCTGGCAAGTGCTCTGAAAGGCCCTGCGCCCTGAAATTCAGCAGAACCTGGATCTACTGGGTGGCAGCTGGTGGGACCACTGCTAACAACCATTTAATTTTCCTGTTGTTAGTATCGGGGGACATTCAGCAAGACCACTGGCCCCTCATCTGACAGCATCTCCTGCCCTGTGTGAAAGAAACCTGCTTCTCTTCCTTCCTGAAGGGAATCCCTTGTCAGTTGTTTATTTGTTCAACAAACATGACTGAGCACCTGCCAGCCTTGGGGACACAGTGGGAAAAGAGCCCTCAGAGCAGGAGCTGACACTCTAAGGGCAGGGGACAGGAATGTTTCAAAAGTCAGTAGGGAGACTTCCCTAGTGACACCGCAGATAAGAATCCGCCGGCCGATGCAGGGGACACAGGTTCCATCCCTGGCCCCGGGAGATCCTGCTGGGCAGCTGAGCCCCTGTGCACCACAGCCAGTGGGCCCACGCGCCTAGAGCCTGTGCTCTGCAACAAGAGAAGCCACGGCAATAAGAAGCCAGCATGCCGCATCTGGAGAGCGCGCCCCCCTCCTCCATCTCCACAGCTGGAGGAAGCCTGAGGAAAGCAGTAAAGACCCAGAACAGCCAAAAAATAAATGTTTTTTAAAAGTCAGAGTCATTGCTGTTGGTCGTAAGTGCTCGAAGAACTCAAGGCAGGGAGGTAGGGAGGGAGCCTTAGAGACGATGATGGGGTGGGGTTCCATTAGGATTTGAGCCTCTGAACTCTGAGGAAGCAGTGGGAAGAGCAGTGGCGAGTGTACTCCCAGGAGCAAAACCGGCACAAGCGAAGGCCACGCTGTGGGAAAGAGCGTGGCCGGTCCAGGAAGCAGGGAGGGGCTGGGAGGTCTGAGATGAGACTGAGAACAAGGCCAGCGCTGATTCACCTGAGACCTGGTGGGCGGTGGTCAGGAGTTTGAAAGCTGTCTTAGGGAAATGGGAGCTGTTGGAGTTTTCAGGGTATGTGGGGTGGGGCGGGGGGTCAGGACCTGATTTCATTTTAAGAGCTCTCCCGGTGGGATTCCAGTTTTCATCTTTGGGATCACCAAAGCAAGAAAGGTCTGGGAGCAAAGTGTACTGTGGGTGGTTAGAGGGACAGGACTTCTCATCGCTGCTGGGTCTGTAAGTGGTTCCACTTCTGTAGATGGCCACGCAGCAAGACCCATCACAATGAGAAAATGCCCTCGGACCCAGCAACTCCACTTGGAGGAATTCATCTCCCACAGGGGCTAACCCAGTCAGCCCCGATCAAAGACATCCCCACGGCCTGTGACGGCATGAGGTCGGAGAACACCTCAGTGTCCACCCATGGGGGCTGGAGAACTCTGTCCTTCAGGATCTAGGCAATGGAATGGCCAGTGGTGTGTGGAGGGCACCGATGACTTGGGGGTGGGGGGTGGGGACGACCCAAGGCAGGCTCTGGAGAGTAGCTGGACAGGTGTGACAAACGTGTGAAACATTTAGACAGTAAGATGTCCAGAAAGACATGTGTGATTTAAGAGCAATTGTGGCCTCTGGCAGGGGACACGAGGGGCTCTGCTGTGCGTGCCCTGAGTTCTACTGAGTCAGCCACTTGCTTTTAATGCAACGAACAAAATGAAAACAAGCCTAATAAATGCATAACAGGAAAGTCTATAATCAGATGTCAGAAACTCACGGCAAGTAAGGACTGAAACTAGAGATGCTCTGGGCTTGTCGACCGTGAAGCCAGCGCCCCCTGCCTGTCTTTCTGGGAACCAGCTGCACCTGCTTCTCTTGTCTTTAGGGAGTGGGGGTGTGTGTGCCTGGCACCCAGCACACCCTGGGGAAACGGGGACAAGAGAACAGCCCAGGCCAGGGAGGGAGGGGGGCACCCACAGCAGGGTGGGGCATGGCCTGAGTCGGTGTCCCCTCCCTGCCCAGGCCTGAACCTGCTCAGGATCAGGGCCAGTGTCTGAGGATGACAAGTCAGAGGCAGTTCACTTACATACAGGCTCCCAGGTGCTGGACCTACCCAGGCAGCAGCAGCTCTAAACACTCAGAAAGGTTCCCACAAGCTCGATTTGGGGCTATTTGGGGTTTACCCTTAATCGAAAATTCCTGAATAAGCACCATTTCCTCCATAGCCCCTTTGTGCCCTGCCCTGCCGCAGCTGCCCTACATGGACAGCCTGGACTGCTGTCCATCCTCAGGAACAGACAGGCACCAAGCCCTGGATGCCGAGTCCCTGGCCCAGGGCCTCCCCCACCCCGCCTGTTGCTCTCGCTACTCTGCCTGGGGCACTGCTCTGTACCCTCTGCTGGCCCTGCCAACGAGGTGGGGCTGCTGTTGGTCTCTGTCCACACTGGGCACAGGCCAGACGCCCCACAGGCAAGAAGGCCCCCGTCAGCAATGTCTGCTGAGTGAGTGGTGGGGTGGGGCACGGTTGCACCCACATGTAGGCCCCCACGGGCTAAGCTGGTACCTGAATGTCCTTGAATCTGGATTTCTGGCTTTTCTAGGATGGGGTGCGGGGCAGTGGGGAGCCCCCCCCACCCCTGCCGGCGCCCACACTCACGTTCATCATGTTCCCAATATGGTTGTTGCCCAGTGACAACACCTGCAGCTTGACCAGCGTGTCCAGCGAGTCGATCTTGCTGATGCGGTTGTTGAACAGGCTTAGGTCCTCCAGGTTGACCAGCGTGTCCAGCCCCTCGATGGCCTCGATGTTGTTGAAAGACAGGTCTGGAGGACGGGCCTGGCTTAGGGGGACTGTCCTGGAACTGACCCCCACCTCGGCTCTACTGTCTCCTTCCTGGTCGCAGAGGTGGGCAAAGGCTCCCATCTGTGTGGCCCGCAATCTGGGATGGAAACTCACTGGGGGTGGGTCAGCGCATCTCGGGGAGGGGGACACACTTGGGGCCGGGCTGCCCCACACTCCAGGCCCAACCCCAGCTGACCTGAGGACCCCCTCTACCGCAGGTTTCTCATCTTTGAGAATCAAACTACTTTTTCCCACCGCGGGGTTGGGGTTTGTGGGGGGTCAGGGCTTCAACACTGTCCTGAACACGGATGGCCCCAAGGCCCAAAGTGGGAACTTTTCATGAGCTTTCAGCTAAAGCCCTCATGTTTAAGGGGCTCTGGAAGTCGTTTAGCCTCCCTGGCCCCTCGGGGGACGCTGTCCTGGGACACTTTCCCTCCGCCAGGACCGCCCCATGCCTTTCCTTGTTTCACCCTCACAGCAGAGGTGTCATCGCCATGCCTTAGGGGTGAGGGAGCCGAGATTCAAGGGTGCCAGGTGCCCAAGGTCAACAACATGTAAGGAAAGTGAGGTGCGGGAGCTGAGCTCACGTATCCAGAATTCGTTAGCAGCTCGGCAGAGCAGGGCCTGACTGGGTTCCCCCACTTCCTTACCTGCCAGGCTCTGTTCTTTGCAAACAAGCTGGTAGATGTTTAACAAACGGGTGGGGGGGCAGTTCAGATTTGTAGCACCTGCAGATTGCTGCGGTGTAAGTACTCCTGCCAGTGCCAGGCTACCAACAGGGCATCCCTGAGTGTAGAGTTGGGACAAGATGTGGGCAGCAGGACTAACTGGCTCAAGCTTACCCTCAGCACTGGGACAGCTGACTGACCACCAGCAGGGCCTATGCATGTGTGGGGCGGGGGTGGGCTGTGGGTATGGGGGGCTGTTGGTACAGGTGGGGGCCATGAGTGCAGGCAGGGGGCCGTGGGTACAGGCAGGGGTGGGCTGTGGGTGCAATGGGGGAATGTGGGTACGGGGGACCATGGGTACAGGGGGACCATGGGTACAGGTGGGGGCCATGGTTGCAGGCAGGGGCCTGTGGGTGCAGGTGGGGGGCGGCTCTGGGTTCGGGGGGGCTGTGGTTGCACTGAACCATCAAACACCCTCTCCTCACCCCACACCCCTGTATCCCAGGGCCCAGCTCCTCCCTGTTGTGGCTGCATCCCTGGGTGACCATCACTGGACAGAGGCTTTCTTGCTTCCAGCAGTTGGAGCACCTGCTGGAGGGGGCCAGCGCCGGGCCAGCAGGGAAGCGGGGCTGTGCGGGGCCTCACCCAGCCAGACTAGGTGCGTGAGGTTCTCCAGGCCCTCGATCTTCTCAATGATGTTGTTGTCTAGCTGCAGCTTCCGCAGGCTCTCGAACTGCCAGAGGTTGTCGATGCGGAGGATGTCTGAAACAATGGAGGGTGCGCCCAGGTGGGGGTCAGGGTTTATTACCAGGGTCATGGGGGCTGGATGACGGATGCTGACTGTGGGAGGGGCCCCAGAAGCCCCGTTGCCTTCCCTGGGGTGCTGAGGACTCTGGAGGTATGGGCCCAGCTCCCTGGAACTCAGTCCCTGTTAGTCCTGGTGCTGGGGCCACACCGCAAGGTGGAAGCAGGCGGGCCTTCCAGGGCAGGGACTCCCACGGCTCCCCCTTGAAATGCCTGGGCTCGGTCAGAGGGCACAGCAGGGCCCCCTGGGGTGACAAAGGGAATCAAGGATACAGGGACGGCCAGTTGAGCATTTTGGGGAGTGCTCTGGCCACAAGGACCCTGCATGTCTCTACCTGGAATTGCATGCTGTGTGTCTGCCCAAAGATGGGGGCCCACAATGGGCAGAGGAATGGCCCCCAAATGTCCATATACGATGAGGGGAAGAACTGCCCACACAGAGGCGGGCTCCTCACATCACTGATCCTGAGTCGTCTGAAGACCAGTCCTGTTATGTGGCCAACTGCCCCCTTGCTCCTGAGGCAGGCAGAGCCTCTGTCACAGCCACCAAGAGTGCCACCCTCACTCGGTATCAAGTCTAAAAATTACGCATGCTGGTCTTGTGCCTTTCAACCCAGATGGCCTGAATGTGACCAAGGACCATAGACTGTGGACTGTGTGTGGAACTGGGGGCTGCCCGTGCCCACCCGGGACACGCACTCTGGAAGTCCAACTGCAGGGACAGGACGTCCTTGAAGAGAATGCCCTCCTGCTTGGCCAGCTGCCCGGCCTCCTCCCGTGGGCCCTGCTCCCCCACAGCCAACTTGAGCATCTCATCATCCATCACTCTGGGCTCCATGTCGTACAGCCGGTTCATCCTTCCTGGAAAACACCAACACCCTCGCTGAGGCTGCCTCTCCTGCCTCCCTTTGGGGGCGGGGCCTGGCCAGTATCCTTTCACTGCGTCGTGGGGTAGTGTGGCAGCCATGACACTCTGAAGGCAGGCACTTCCCACCCTTGGCTGCTGCACCTGGGCCTCCCCAGACCCCCACTGGCCTGGTGCCCACCAACAATGGTGCACCCCTCGGCTCCACAACCAGACTGTGACCCCTACCCTGGCCCTGATATCCATACTGGTCCCTTTAGCCTCTGGAGCTCAGCTGCCTGCAAAGCCATCACCATCTCGGGCCTCTGGCTTTCTGTGCCCACCATTGTCAGGTTTCTCGACACCAACCACTGATCACAGTCCTTGGTGGCCCCAGCCAGGCTTGCCAGGTCCGGCCCCCCTTTCCCTGAGAGCCTCACCCCCTGAAGGTGGCCATGTCTGTAAGCACCCCCAACCACAGGTGCCCAGGGTGTAGCCACTGGTGCACATGGACTCAAGCTGGCCGCTTGTGACCCTCCCCAGAGAGATGTGAACTGCGGCCGCAGGACAAAGCACCCGTCAGCGCTGGTTACTTGAGTTAGGAAGGCAGTGGGGGCTAAGGGCTGGTCAGGGACATGGTGAGTGAGAGAGTAACAGGGCCTGCAGAAGACGGACAGACAGAAGTGAGATGGGAACTTGATCCAGGAAAAAAGACAAAGGGACAGACAGAGGCTGCCTCCCCCTCGCTGGCTTCCAGGCCCCTCCTGCCCCAACCCCAGGCCCCTGGACCTCTGACTCCAGGCCCCTGGACAGGGCACTGACTTCGCAAGTTAAATCCTCATTTCCCTAAACTAACCCAGGAGGTATCTGTTGCTACTGGTCCAAAGGGATTTGGCTGAGGCACAGTGGGGTGGGTCATGGACGAACCTGCACTGCTGTTCTTGGTTGGACAAAGCTATGGTCCTGGGCAACTTGACCGCAGTCCATCGTTACCAGCCGTCCTAGCACACCCAGAAGGGCTGGACCCCGTGGGAAGGTATGTGCTACTGGAAGTGCCCTGATTCTGCCTCGGAATGCTCTGGACATTCAGTATTCCCCCTACTCTCCACCCCGTTCTCACCTGCCTGCTGGCTTCACCGCCCACCTTGGCCCTTGCGTGTCCACGCCAGGCCTCCCTGCCCTGCTGGTCCCTGATGACGCAGCCCCGCACTTGGCTTTTTATTCCGGTGAGCATTGCTGGGGAGACTCCTGGTGTTGGGCAAAGCAGGGCGGGCCTGGCAATCCTAAACCTGGTCTCAGAGACCCCCTGCCTGGTTGCCTCTCCCCGACTCCGCCATGCAGCTTATGCAGTTGTGCATCTTCTGTTTCTGGAGTATCCACGAGCCTGGTCCCAGTGGCTCCAGAGCAGGCACAGCCTCCCTCTTCCTGCACTCACTTCTCCTCTGAGTCTCCCCCTCTTACAGGTCCCTTCACACTATCTCATCTCCTTCAAGTGATTGACTCAACCCCTGAAAGACATTTCTAGTCCTCTACCTCTCTCTATCTCCCCATTCTTTGGAGACAATTTTTCTAAAATTTCCCATAACTTGACACCAGCTAGTCTGGGGAAATTTTAATGTGCTGTATTTGGCAGATGCTACTTGAAAGTGTTTGGGCTTTATTTTTACCTTTTTTTCCTTTACAGACAAGTGCTGTGCTTTGGGAAATGATTCTACTATGATTTCAAAACTTTGGCTGACTTCTCATCACTCCTGTCACACAAGGCCCTGGTCCCTGAGCCAGGTCGAGCCTGCTTCCAGTCAGGCCCAACAATCATCACACAGTGTGGAACAGCTGTGTTTCTTATGCACACCACAGCTGGATTGCACCCTTGCGCAACTGACTGCTTTCCAAGCCTTCAACCTCCCATCTGTAAAAGACGGGTAACTCCTCCCTCCAACATTTGTTTAAGATCATTTATTTAGTCCACGAATGTGCAACAAACAGCCACCACATGCGTGGATAAGACTTGGTTAGTGGGTTTAGGAGTATTGTGATTTGTAGACCTCCTTACCTCTGTTTCAGACCCAACTCAGATGATCATACAAACCTTAATTATAAATGGTGACAAGTCTGTGGGTGTAGGGAACTGTGACAACATACTTGTGGGGACCTGGGCTGAGACCTGGAGGATGGGCAGGAGAGAAGGAGGAGGGGTGTTTGGGGTGAGGGTCCTGAGCTGGGAGAGGAGGAGGCAGGTTCTACCGGGATGCCCAGAGTGGCAAGGCCTCTTGTGTGACCATCCCAGGATCCCTAGGAAGCTCCGAGGCATGATGAGGACAGTGACGTGATCAGAGTTTAATTTGAAGAAGCTCATTCTGGCTTGTTGCACTGAGAATGTCAAGAGTCGAGAGGTGACTGGGTTGCAGGTAAGAAGTGGGTTTTGAGAGACCTCTAGAAACGTAGTTTATGTGAGTGACTGATTCTGCAGTTTTCAGGTAAGAAAATGGAAGCTGGTTAAGGAGATCAAATGACACCCATGCTGACAGACACATCCTGTGCATGCAGAAGCAGGAGGTCAGGCATGCAGAGCTCAGGCTCTTAATCAGACTCAACTGCACCCCCACGCTGTGGGTCATTGTCACAGTTCACACTATTTCTCATAACTGTTCCAGGTTTGGCCCCAAACCAGGACAATTCTCCCCTGGGGGGTTTATCAGTACTTCCCCACCCAGCCGGGGCTGCTGTTGACTTGCCTGACAGTAGTGTTGTTGTGGGCGGGGAGAACAGCCAAGAGCCTTACACCTCCTCACGGAGAACCAGATCCTGAATCGTCCAGAGAAACAAGGACTTGGCATCAACAGGACCTGGAAAATGGAGCCCCTATTGGCCGTGAATTGATAAGAGAAAACCCACCCTCTTCTGAGTGCTCACCGCGCTCTGGAGTAACGTTCATGATCAAATTACAGGTCTGGTCTGGGAGCCAGCAGAGAAGGGAGCCCTATTGCCCTGACTGTCCAGACGGGGAAACTGAGGCCCGGGAAGGGAGCTGCTGACGGGGCATCCACGTTCCAAGCCAAAACCCTTCACTAAGAGGAAGGGTAGCTCTAAGGAAGAGGTCAGTGATGTCCTCCTGAAGAGGGATCAGTGGGCCGGGTACCTCTCTCTGGCCCGGAGGCCGGGGGTGGGACCTTAAAGTTCTCGTTAGGGCCTGCGCACATAGGAAACGCCTCCCGAGCTTCTCTCCCCACGAGGCCTGAAGGCCCTGACTGGTGTGGGGCGGCCAGCAGGCTCCTCCGTGAAAACGTCAAGTCCTTCAGCAGCCTCTCGGCTCCGGGCTCTCAGCGTCTCTGGCACAGTCCGCCACCTGCTCCTGGTGGCTGAGGTGGGTTGCTAGGAGAACCAAGCGCCGCACTCCGTTGCTAGGGGGAAGTCAGGGAGTAGACATCCTGGGTGAAAGTTGACTGCCACGTGATCATATTTCTGGGCGGGGAATGTCACTCAGCACCAACCAGCCTTAGAGAAAACAAATGTTTGTCCAATCAGCACTCTCTATGGGCGGGGAACTTACTAGCCCCGCCCTCCCCTGCCCGCTTTTTGAGTGAATGATTTGATTCTTGTCCAGTAACATTAAGGATTTACTCGATTGACCAGTACATAAATGAATCAAAATACACAGACTCTCGTCGGGAGGCGGGCCAGGGGAGGTGACGGAAATTCCTGTGACTTAGCTAGCCACCCAGCCCAATCGGACGCCGCGGGGTGGGCGGGACTTCGCGTAGGGTGGTGTGGTTACCAATCGGAAGAGGGCAAGACACTTCTCGCCCAGTAGGGACAGGTGGGGCGGGGCCAGCGGCGGTCACCGGCGTTCCAGAGGGTTGGGCCCGGGCAAGTGTCAGTCAGGCCGGGAGCGCGGCAGCGGACGCGGAGACCCGGCGGCTGACGCGCGGCGGCCGCTGCCGAGCCGTCCGCCCGAGATGGAGTTCCTCCTGGGGAACCCGTTCAGCACGCCGGTGGGGCAGTGCCTCGGTAAGGCCCCCACCGCGGCGTCCCGAGGCCTGGGCGGTGCTCCGCGCGTTCGTGCGCGGAGGGGCCCAGCCCCGCGCCCCAGCCCGGCCGCCGCGGTCCCAGCGGGCTCCCTGCCCCGGGCCCGCCGGGCTAAGCCACTCTCAGCGGCGGGGAGCGGGCGGGCGGCGCGCCCCTGGGAAGGCTGGCGGGGGTGGGGGCGGCCGTGCCGGCTGAAGACCGGATCCCGGGCCTGGGAGCCTTGCCGCCGACTCTCCCCGTGACCTTGTGCGAGTCGCTGCCCTGTCAGGTCTGAAGTTCCGTCTGTCAGAGGTGGTCCTCACGTCCCTGGGGCCACTGCCTGCCTGGTGGCTGTCGCTTCCCAGTCCTCAAGTCTGCAGACGCCGGCCTTCTTGGGGCAGGTGGAGAGGAGGGTACTCGGCAGTGCAAACCCTCGGGGCCCTGGGCACCGGGATGACCAGCATCCCGGTGAGGAAGCCCGAGGTGGAGGTGAAGGACCACCAGAGAGGCCCGCCCAGTGGAATTTCCTGACTGACGAGCAACGTGCCTTTTCACCCAAGGCGGGAGCTCACGCCAGGCGTGATCTGTCAAGAATGTGGATTGGTTTCTTTTAAAGCTGGATTCCTCCTGGTTGGTGGAAGGGCTGGTAAAACGCCTTCTATGAGCAGGGACCTTTGGCGTCCTTATGGGCCTGGCTAGATTAGGCTGGAGTGATTTGCCTATTTCCTGCTTTGTAAATTTCCAGCTGACTTTTCAGCCTTTAGTGGGCCTGTGAAACTATTGAAGCTTCTCCCGTTGGCTGACTGGCACCTGGGAGCCTTCCACTGCTCACTGGTATAGGGTCTCTGATAAGGGGTGATGGACACTGGACCCTGGAGGGTCTTTTCCCGCCTTTCTGGAGGTTCCTACCCCCACTTTCTTCTTCCTCAGGTGCTCTTTCACGGCATCTGTATTCCAGAAACTCATTTCTGATATTGAATTCCAACCAGTTGTGGGAGGGAGCCGGTAAACTTGGGGGGATTTTTTTTTTCCTTTTCTGTCTCCTTTATAATAGGAGGCTCTGTTACTACCTTTGAAACACCAAGGTAGCTGTTGAGGGGTATAAGTTAAAGGAAATTTTAAAGTATACAAAATAAGGGATGTAGAGGTGGGTAATGAAAAGAGCAATGAAAAGAGCATGACGCTTCACTCAGGAGGACCTGGGGTGAATGTTGCTTTGCCCATTTCAGCTGTGGGGCCCCGGAAAGTGGTGCAGTCCTCCTGAACTTTTCATTTTGCTGTGGTCGGGGGTGGGGAGATTGACTCATCTCTGCTTTGGAGAGGAAATGGGGGACCGCAGGCCCATCTGTGACCAGGCCCCAAGTCCACCGTCCCTTAGGACACTTGACCATGAAGAGAATGGGGCCCCTTTGTCACTAGCCACTGAGCCAGCAGGTGAGGCCTCGGGAATTTCGTAGCTCAGTTCAGATAAGTGATTAGAGGCCAGAATAGGTTCTAACGTGCTCATCACCTGCACCCCCTTCCTCCAACGTGTGTTCTGTGCTTTTGGCACAAAGTGTAAAAGTGACCCTCATGACATTTAGTGCTGGTAGTGTTCTTTTGTTGTTGTTGTTGTTAGTGTTCTTGAGAAGTATATATGCCAGGGGTTGGTAGAAGGGAGGGAGATGCAAGAATGAAACCCCAGCAACAAAGCTGGCTAGTAGGAGCAGCTGGTTTACCTCACACGAAGCAATTTGACCACCATGACTTTCTCCTGAAGCTGTTCTGCATGGTGTTATTATCCTTCTCACTTTAGGATGAGGAAACTGAGGCTTAGTGGGGCGGAAGGACAGCCTGCCGGGCTGTCCCAGCGCTCAAAGGGTTGATGGGGTCACCAGAGGGAACAGAGACTCGGGGGACAGTGGTGACCAACGGAAGGCCACCGTAGCCAGTGCCGAGTCGCCTTGTGGGAACAGGAGAGCTGTCAGGAGGCCAGCACACTGAGAGGTGCTGGGCCTGGGCCGTTGGTGAGGAAGGGGAAGGAACCTCACTCACAGAGAAGAGGGCCCTGTGCTGGGGACAGGTGGAGGAGGCGAGAGGCGGCGTGGGCCCCTCTGTGGTCCCCTGTCCAAGTGGAGCAGAGGTGGCTGTGGGGGACGGGGGCAAGTTGGGTTTGGGCCCAGGATGGAGCCCTGTCCTGGGTGGGTGACATCGAGGCCTCATTCTTTACTGACCTCAACTCTCAGTCTCTCTGGACCTCGTTTTCCTCCCTCAATAGCTGCTGGGGCTTGTACCTAACTCACCCCATCCATCTAATTCAGCAGGCATGTTGAAAGGGTGCTGGGTGCCAGGCCCCAGGATATAGATGTTAAAAAGCTGCTCTGAGGGGCCTTCTGTAGCAGTGAGGCATCTGCCCAGGTGTCGTGAGCCACAAAACCTTGGGCTCACTGTCTGGGGGTCGGTGGATTGGCCTTTAGCCTGCCTTGGGCCTGGCCTACCACATGCTTCCCAGCACTGTTGGGTCAGACACATGGAGAACTGGCAGTCATGCCCCAGCTGACATCTGATGTGGTTTCCAGGGCTTTCCGGTCTCCGTGCTGCCTGTCGTCCTGGGAGGTGATTCTCGAGTAGAGGCCACAGCTTGGAGCCCGGAGGCACTGTGGTGTAAGCGGCCAAGAAGCACCCAGAAAGACTGAATGCTTCGTTGTGCCACCTGATGCTCTCTTCTGAATCGGGTTTCAGAGGGTCCTGTGTTAACGGTTGTTGTGTCCAGGAACCACAAGCCAGATCCAGGGTGCTTGGCAGGTCCACAGCTCTCCTGTGTTGGCTGAAAAACGTTTTCAGATTATAAATTTCCAGGAGTAAAGTTTGGCTTCATTTAGATGAGATCAGTGAGGAGTTAGTTAATCCTGACCTGAGTGTTGGAGGACCAGCTCCCTCCTGCTCACTGCAGGGTCAGTGTCTGGGGCCTGGGTGGTGTGGGGTCTTGACTGCTGGGGGAGCCTCCCTGTCTCCCGAGATGGCTGCGAGCTTGATGAGCCGAGGTGCTTGTTTCGAGAGGAGTTAGTTACCCACTATGAGGGGGCGGCTTTGGGGTTTTATTTAGTCTTCCCAAACCTGTGAGATAGACAGGACAAGAATGGGAAGGAACTTAAAGTTTTTAAGCACCTACTTGGTGTGAACTGCACATGGGATCTCCCTGAATCCTGAGTATGATGATCATCCCTGTATCGATTCTAAGAAACTGGAGCTCCCAGAGGTTAAAAGACTTCTGCCAGGTCAAGGCCAGAGTCCGGCAGAAAATCCCATCCTGATCTGGGCTTCATTCTGTGCTGCCATGTTGCTTCTTGCTCTGCAGACCCCGAGAGTCAGAGTCCTCAGAATCCCTGGAGAGCTGCTTGAAGCTGGTGGTGGGGTTGGTTGGGGTGAGCTATTAAGGTCTGAGGATGCTGACACTGTGGGTCTGGAGACCACACTTTGAGAACTGTTGCTTTTGATGAAAAGTTCTGCTCCTTTAATCGCTTCTTAATCTTTCTTCAAACAGTAAATGTGAGTTTTCTTGTGGACAGACTATAAGGTTGATTATTTAGAATCATTCATGCATTTGGTGGTTCTGTCACCTCTCTGTATGCACCACGCTAAACACTTGCTAGGATGTTCAGTCTAGTAAGGGAGCTGAGACAGGGACCTAAATCAGATAAGATGGCAAGTGTTGGCAGCAAATTGGAGAGATAAATGAAGTAAGGAAACAGGACAGGAGGGATCATCTCCAGCAGCAGTAATAGTGGTTAACGGTTTTGCTGTTTTAGAGATGGGTGCTGGCTTACCATGTGCCAGAGACCACAGTAGGTATGCTGTGATCTTGTGCTGTTTTAGTTCTTACAACACCGCTGTGAGCGTCTACTCTTTCCGCTTCGCGGATGGGACCTGACTCTGCAGCTGCAGTCCTGGGGGATGGCGGTGATGAGGAGGGGCACCCTGGGGGCTGGAGGAACGTGGCGCTCAGGGGGTGGGATTTGGCTCCTATAGGAGAGGAGAAGGAGGGTTGGAGGGCACTCTGAGCAAAGGCTGGTTGTGGAGGGGTGGGGGTAAGACCAGCCGGGAGAGCAGGGATAGGCCAGGCAGATGGTGTCAGGCCTGATTGACGAGGCTTCCAGTGTCACCGCATGGTTTGGACCCTTCTCTTGGCGGCACTGAGGAGCCATGGATGATTTCTAGGGAGGGGAGTGGCCCTGCTGTCATTACAGTGGCAGGGAGGGTCCCCTTGGCAGCTGCCGAAAGGCCACCTCGGTCTTACTGTGAAAGCCTCCACTGTGCAGAGTGGGGGTCCGACAAGGGAGTCAGCGCACGTAGTGCCAGTTCCCTGAGGTCTGGGGTAGGGCCCTTCCGGGGAGCCCCCAGAGAGATGAGAGGGCACCTGCTGAGGTGGGTGGGCAGAGCACGGGTGGAAGTCTGGGGTTCTGAGAGCACCCGTCCTTAACTGCTGGGACGGTTGTAGGGTAACCAGCCTGCTCACGTCCCCCTGCTTTCCACGCTTGGATACTCAGACCCGAGCTGAGAGGCTCCCAGGACCTGGCCAGGGGGCTGCCCTGCTTAGAGGGTGTGATGGGGCTATGAGCAGGTGCTTTAAAGACCCAGTGCAGACCTCTGCGGAAAGCTTGAGAACATACACTTATGGAAAGGGGGAAAGATCACCATAATGTGCTTTCTTATAAATCCTTTGAGATTCTCCTCATCTCACAGAGTGAGTGGAGTAAGTAGAGTGCTGTGTGCTTCATCTTCCGTTTTCTCAGGCCTTGGAGAGGCAGTGTTGTGTGACTGCTCTCAGCCTATTTCTGTATGACGTGCTGTGCTGTGCTGTCGCTCAGTTGTGTCCGACTCTTTGCCACCCCGTGGACCGTAGCCTGCCAGGCTCCTCTATCCTTGGGATTCTCCAGGCAAGAATACTGGAGTGGGTTGCCATTTCCTCCTCCAGGGGATCTTCCCAACCCAGGGATTGAACCTAGGTCTCCCACATTGCAGGT